GTGTGACTGCAAAAAACTTTGATAAATTTGAAGACGTGCTTCGAGAGGCAGATATTTTTTAAGTTTGTACATGACTCCTATGTATCTGGACATTTTCATTTTCATGGCAGAGATATGATGGGACCAGTTTAGTTTATCATCTATTATAACTCCTAAAAAACGGGCTTCTGTTTTTCTCTCAATTGTGACACCAGAAATTGCCACATCACGATAATTAAGATTTCTTTGTCGAGAGAAGATCATATAATTTAATCATATAATTTAAAGAGTCATCCTCCTCAGTTATCCTCCTCCTCCTCCTAGGTCCTCCTTCTGGGTCCTCCTCCTCCTCCTCCTCCTGGGTCTTCCTGATCCTTCTCCTCCCTCTCAGTCATCCTCCTCAGCCATCCTCCTCAGCCATCCTCCTCAGCCATCCTCCTCAGTACTCTTCAGTACTCTTCAGTACTCTTCAGTCCTCAAAATGTTTGTCCGCTAATGTCCACCAATGTCCGCTAATGTCCACCAATGTCCGTCCAAGTCCGCCAATGTCCGTCCGGGTCCGCCAATGTCCGTCCGAGTCCGCCAATGTCCGTCCGAGTCCGCCAATGTCCGTCCGTGTCCGCCAATGTCCCAAAAAACACGTCCGTTGTCTCATAGAATCCAAAAAGGACAGGACATAGGCGGACATAGACGGACATGACACCCCCCCCTACATAATATCTTATACACTGACGGCACAGATGAACTTAAGCTCATACTATGGAAAAGTCGTAATATGTTTATTATTTAATTTTATGTTGGTTTGTCATTTATATTATTACCTTACTGAATGATTAAATTTGATAGCTGATTTATGACTTTAGCCCCATAAATTCTTAAGATAATGAAAATCAAAATTACAATATTAAGTAATGACTGTCCAAAATTTGTTAAAAAGTCTGAATGAAATAAGTGTGAAATGAGAATAGCGTCTGATCTGATCTGAGCTATCACTTCAGAACTGGATTCATGTTCTTTTCGAACCTGACAAGACACGAAATCACCAAGGATCACCCCGAGCTGAGAGTAGGAGCTGTTGCTAAAATACTCGGTTTGTTAAATTATTATTATTTGTATTTAATTCATTATGATATTATCTAATTATCTAATTACCACTTTCCAGTTTCCATGAGGGCGACATTTTCCATGTTATCACCCATATGTCGAACATTTCTCCATAAATTTCTCCGGATCGAGCTTACTAACTTTTAAAAACCTGAATTGTTCCCATTATTATAAACTAACCAGTATTCTTAATAACTAATCAGTATGTATAATCTCAGGGGAAAGATGGCAGAAGATGGGGGAAGCCGAGAGAGCGCCCTACCAAAAGATGGCTGACGACGACAAAGTCCGATACACGCAGGAACTGGAAGCCTTCAGAATGAATAAAATGATGATGATGAACGGAAAATAATACGTCCCCCGACAAAACCTTCCTCCTAACACACTTAATACATACTCAGAGACAAAAACATTTTTAACCAAATGATAATAACAATGATATGTTTATTACATAAATTATGTTTAATACATAAATTAACACCCAATTAAGCGGACTGTCGCTATATAAATATTCATATATATTCATAATTATATAACTATAATTTCGATCGCACATGTTGATTTAAAGCAGGGTGACCAGAAGGGGCTGAGACCCGGAGTTACATGTCCACTTTTTAATCACGTGTCCACTATTTAATCACGTGTCCACTATTTTAATCACGTGTCCACTTTTTAATCACGTGTCCACTGCTACTTATCGTGGTTTTTGTGATTTTGTCTAGCTGAACTAATCTTCACAGATGAGCAATTCCTCATGCTGATTGGACAATGGATATATTGTATGGAGTGGAGAATGCTTGCGGAGTGGATCTAAATTAAATTGATTTTTGTTAGGTGACTTGTAAGGTTGTAGAACATTTGATTTAAAACTAACAATACTTGCCGGGCTTCCGGGTGTTTATCACAAGGTGTCTTGCGTTGATTGATCAGTGTTTTTATGTATCAAGATATTCATGTTACCATAGTTACGGGCTATTTTCCTCGCCAGGGACTTGAGCTGAGTTTTCAAGTAAACAGCCATTAAACAAGCCCGCAATCGCTGTTTATCTTGAAACCAGTGAGTGTGAGCAGAAAGCTCCTGGACAGTCAACAGATTACATAATGTTCTAAGTGATACTGCATATAATTTTTTAAATATTTATTTTTCTTGTACTACGTGTCAGTGCCACCCGTCACGTGACGTCACATCCCCACGTGACGTCACCTCCTCACGTGACGTCACCTCCTCACGTGACGTCACCTCCTTTTCTAGTTAGGGTTACGTGGGACAGTCAGTGTAATTAAAAGAATCTTGGGAGATAGGTATACTGTATACAGAAAACCTTACAATTTGTAAAACTAAATATGTATATTATTTTCCATTATAAGGGGACGTTCACATATTACGTAATCAGCCGAGGGGGGGGGGGGGGGGGTTTCCAAATGATTACGCTAGTGTAATTTTAACTATGTGTAATACTGATTAAGAAGGGGGGAGGGGGATTATGAAATATGTGAACGACCCCATTATGTTTACCTTTAATTGTTGAATTATGCAGTCAAGTGAAACAACCACTTACCCTCCTGGTGTGTACTCTGAAAATGCTACTTTGATTAACTTCTCGTCACCTCGGTGTGACCGGATATTTTGACGAAAGAACGGCGTCAAAAGGGACTCGTAGTATGTGGTGATGCGCGACTCATCAGCCCTTGCACGCTTCTGGGCCGCGCACATGTCAAAATATGTGGTCACACCTCAGCAGTGGAATTGGGAATTAACTCCCATTGCGTACTCTCAAAGCACCATTTTCAGACATTTTCCCCGATAAATTATTACTCTTATTTTCAACTAGTTTCTTAAATTTTTACTGTTTGTTGAGCAATAGACCAGCGTTTTCCTGTGTTCTCAATTGTCAATGATATACCCCATCATCAATGGTCCTGGTCAGGTTCAGTGTAATTGTTACCTGGGGACCTCAGGCTATCATGTTCATAAACATGTTCGTAAACACATCCGAATAGAGATTAGGCGGAATGACAGGCTGAGCGCGGCCCAGTAATAATTCGCTTGCCCAAAAATTATCCCTTGACTTTGTTTTGTATGGTTTTGCAGCCGAACAAAACTGTTTTACATAAACCTTAATCCCAACCACAACCGCAAAGCTATCCACAACCCTAACCCAAGCCCTATACAATCACATTCGTGTTTTACTAGCCTGTCACTTGTATCACGTGGTGACCCCCACTGTCGCTCCACTATAGTGCATATAGAGTTTCGACGATACAGGGGGAGCCGCGCGGCGGGTCATACAACGTATGACAAATATGGAATATATATAATATAATATATATAATGTATGGAACAAATATTTTACGAGTATCACCCGAAAACGTCATAGTGAGGGTGATTCGAAATTAGCGTCTAAAATACACCGAACGTGATTCATGATTACTTTTATGCCTTCAGGGCCTTTCCACGAGAATTTTCGTAAAATTTGGGCGAGCGATTTAGTGGGAGCGCTTGACACTTGACTTGGGATTTTGGATTTGCCTTGATTCACGATGTCAATCCTTCGCATCTCGCCTTGATTCACGATGTCAATCCTTCGCATCTCGCCGATCTGCATTGGTTGCGAGAGGCATTATTGGATGCGCGCGCGCGACCCAGTAGTGCATTGCGCTACAACATCTCGCCGATCTGCATACGGTGGTTGCGAGAAGAATTATTTGATGCGCGGCGCGACCCAGTAGTGCATCGCGCTACAAGTAAAGGATTTGCCACCCTTTTATTGTGCATGGCTCTATCTCGGCTGGCGCATAGCTATCGAAGAAAGCTTAATAATGCTTGACGGATGATATAACTGAAACTCTTCTGAATTTCTTCGAAGCAGCGCGCACCGCTTTATTTTACCTGGGGGTTACCCCAGATTATTAATTATTATGTTTATATAAACATAAAGATTCGGTGGAATGACAAGCTGAGCGCCGCCCAGTATAATAGTAAGCCGCTTTCTTTCGAAGGCAAGTGCTACGAAGAAGTGCGCGCCGGGTTAATATTAGTCCATTAACAATGGACAAGATAATTGATAATGCGCGAGTCGGAGTTGTAGGTTTATAACCTATCAGGATGCGCACCGAGTTGGACTCGTCGACGGTCCTAATATTTTGAACAAATATTTTACCATTTACGAGTATCACCCGTTAAGAGTCGGAGTCCTTCGGATCTTGCTCTAACCAAAGTCCCCTCGTGCAACATTAAACATACTTGTTCATTGTTTTACCTGATATGACAAATGATGCACGTTTAAATATTTTTGAAGTAGCGCGTTTCATTTCACTTTATTTTACCCGGCACGCCAATCTCAGTGCTCTTTTCGAGCATATACAATGTACGTGACAGTAGCCGGTAGCGAGCAATAGACTAGCAAGTTAGGTTGAATATTAGCGCGATGCGTTACTGGGCCGCGCATCCAATAATTGATAATGCTTCTCGCTAGATCGGCTACTGGGCCTCGCCGAGCTGCGAAGAATTGACATCGTCAAATTCAATTAACAAGTTAGGTAACATTTCATTTTTCAAGCGCGAAATGCAACATAATATGTATCGAAGCGCGCGCCTTGTAGAAATTCAAATATTATTTTATTAACCCCGGGCTGAACTCTGCGCGCCGGATTTGGGATAAGTCCACAATATCAATGGCAAATCTGAAGCCGGTCTTGTCTGAAGTGACAACCTCTTGTAGGTTTACAACCTACCAGGACGCGCGCCGAGTTGGACTCGTCGACGGTCCAATATATGGAACAGATATTTTACGAGTATCACCCGTTAAACAACCTCAAATCTCTTTCAAAATCCACCGGGAGCGTTTCAAGAATCAATACCCTGGTTTACCTTGTCTTACACCGTCTATTTGTGCCCAGACTAATTGAAACAGGAATTATAATAATTGATAACCAGTTAAGCCGTAGCAAAGATATTCAAATAACATAATACGATTGACAGCATAAAAAATTCAATCATTTTAAATGTGCCACTGCACCATGATTGTGGTTGGATTGAATGTCGATTAACATGTAACACATTTTTATTGAAATTAGTATATTGGAGATGTAATAGAGGGAAATACAAATCGAATGTAGAAATATCAAATAAATATTGAAATTTGAAAACAATTTAAAAAGATCCATGCAAGCAAAATTCTAAATAAACATAAAAAGATCTATAAATATTGGCTGTAACACTACGTTGTACGTAAAAATGTTAAAAATCAGTCTCTCTTGGTCACTGCTCAATTAGCTAATTGATTAATTACATAATCATTATCCACTGCACATGAGGCAGTTCTCTTTGTTTGCTAGGGAGCATGCTTCAATCGCTTCTTTCTCTAACTCTGCTCTACTCTTTTGCTGCAGGACTTTCTGGAGGAAAAGTTTGTAAAGCAAACCGAACCAAGCAGACATGACACGTGAAAATGTTTGTCAGTCAGTCAGTCAGTCAGTCAGTCAGTCAGTCAACTTCGTCATTACATCACTACCATCTTCAAGTTAAACTGCGTAAAATCAGTATCTGTAATCTGTATTGTCTCTGTCTGAGTTTAACCAAGTTGGAAATTGTGATTTTGAGGGCCGATGTTATTCATGTTGTTCTGGTTGGCTGGAAGTGGGAACATAGCCTGTTGATCATATGTGCCAGGATGTTGATAATCTGGGACAGAACTTTGGGAGTTTAGATAATTCTGAGGAAACGGCTGAGGGTGTATGATCGGCTCGTTCAAACTAGGCTGATAATGTTCAACTTGTTGACTGTTGAAAACATGTTGATTGGCGGCATGTTGAGACATAACGTAGTTCTCCGGCAAGGATAACTTATTGCTGTCATTATTGTCTGCATACTGTGTGTCTGTATGTTTGTCTGTTGATTTGTCACGTGATACCTTATCACTGTCCTGATAGGGTAAGACATATCAACTCTAGCTCAGTTTGAACAATCAACACATTCTGTAGTAGTTGTACAGTAATACCAAGGTAATGGGACTACTACGGACCCTCTACCGGCCAAACCTAGTTAACAAAGCCGCAGTCAAGGTTCGGTGAACGGTAGTTAAAAGCGCTTAAGGGACATAAGTCAAAGTGGTATAGCAACATCATGTAGTGGGCATCTTGAGTAGTCCCATTACCTTAGTATTATTGTACAACTACTACAGAAGTAATCCCGATAACACTCGACCTCTGCCTGATCCAGAGAATGTCACCATTTTACCTTCACACAGACATCGAAAGCTGTAAGAAAATGACGATCAGACCTCGTTAATAAACACAACCATAAAAATATTATTCTCCACGTTTAAACAAACCTTCTCCTTTTCCTCAGTTTTCGGAACTGCGTTTTCCTTTCTCAGTCCCTTGAGTTCCTTAAGCTTAGTCTGATCCACAGTAAACTGGATAGCATTAACTGCCGCTCTGGTCCTCAAGTAGTACATTCCAGTCTTCAATCCTGTGTATGTATAATGTATAATGTATAGTGTATAATCCTCAAGTAGTACATTCCAGTCTTCAATCCTGTGTATGTATAATGTATAATGTATAGTGTATAATCCTCAAGTAGTACATTCCAGTCTTCAATCCTGTGTATGTATAATGTATAATGTATAGTGTATAATCCTCAAGTAGTACATTCCAGTCTTCAATCCTGTGTATGTATAATGTATAATGTATAATGTATAATGTATAATCCTCAAGTAGTACATTCCAGTCTTCAATCCTGTGTATGTATAATGTATAATGTATAATGTATAGTGTATAATCCTCAAGTAGTACATTCCAGTCTTCAATCCTGAGTATGTATAATGTATAATGTATAGTGTATAATCCTCAAGTAGTACATTCCAGTCTTCAATCCTGTGTATGTATAATGTATAATGTATAATGTATAGTGCATAATCCTCAAGTAGTACATTCCAGTCTTCAATCCTGTGTATGTATAATGTATAATGTATAATGTATAGTGTATAATCCTCAAGTAGTACATTCCAGTCTTCAATCCTGTGTATGTATAATGTATAATGTATAATATATAGTGTATAATCCTCAAGTAGTACATTCCAGTCTTCAATCCTGTGTATGTATAATGTATAATGTATAATATATAGTGTATAATCCTCAAGTAGTACATTCCAGTCTTCAATCCTGTGTATGTATAATGTATAATGTATAATGTATAGTGTATAATCCTCAAGTAGTACATTCCAGTCTTCAATCCTGTGTATGTATAATGTATAATGTATAATGTATAGTGTATAATCCTCAAGTAGTACATTCCAGTCTTCAATCCTGTGTATGTATAATGTATAATGTATAGTGTATAGTGTATAATCCTCAAGTAGTACATTCCAGTCTTCAATCCTGTGTATGTATAATGTATAATGTATAGTGTATAATCCTCAAGTAGTACATTCCAGTCTTCAATCCTGTGTATGTATAATGTATAATGTATAGTGTATAATCCTCAAGTAGTACATTCCAGTCTTCAATCCTGAGTATGTATAATGTATAATGTATAATGTATAGTGTATAATCCTCAAGTAGTACATTCCAGTCTTCAATCCTGAGTATGTATAATGAATAATGTATAATGTATAGTGTATAATCCTCAAGTAGTACATTCCAGTCTTCAATCCTAAGTATGTATAATGTATAATGTATAGTGTATAATCCTCAAGTAGTACATTCCAGTCTTCAATCCTGTGTATGTATAATGTATAATGTATAATGTATAGTGTATAATCCTCAAGTAGTACATTCCAGTCTTCAATCCTGTGGAAATTACCCCTCAATTAGACACATTACCTTGATAATATGAGCATACTTTCCCGCTATTTAATAATAATATCAGCTCTATTATGTATAATGTATAACTGTCACCAAGATGTAAATTAGATCGAACGAGAAATTAGATCTAACGAGAAATTAGATCGAACGAGAAATTAGATCGAACGAGAAATTAGATCGAACGGCGTCTCAATTCGATCTGATTTACATCTTGGTGATAGTAATGTATACTGTATAATGTTCACTACTGCGATATTAAAGTAGGATAATCACGCACCTCTCTTCCAAGCGTGGAAGTGCATACTGGTAATCTTACGAGGCTGAGGGTCTGCCATGAACAGGTTGAGGGACTGGCTCTGACAGATATAGGGACCTGGGAGGGGGTAAGAATATTATTATAAATAAGACGAATCGAACAGAAACAAAAACCCACACCAATGGTAGTAATTATAGTAAATAAAACCCGATGGGCCATGTTATGAAGTTACCTCTATCAGCAGCCATGTCGATATAATGTATAATGTATAATGATGTATAATGTATAATGTATAATGTATAATGATGTATAATGTATAATGTATAATGTATACTATATAATGTATAATGTATAATGTATAATGTATAATGTATACTGTATAATGTACCTCTATCAGCAGCCATGTCGATAATGCACTTCTGAGATAGTTCCCAGCTGGTTTTGTACAGGGCTTTTATTTCATCAGGGATACCTTCTATCCTGAAACATTGCATATTAACTACCTTCTATATCCTGAAACATTGCATATTAACTACCTTCTATCCTGAAACATTGCATATTAACTACCTTATATCCTGAAACATTGCATATTAACTACCTTATATCCTGAAACATTGCATATTAATTACCTTCTATCCTGAAACATTGCATATTAACTACCTTCTATCCTGAAACATTGCATATTAACTACCTTCTATATCCTGAAACATTGCATATTAACTACCTTCTATCCTGAAACATTGCATATTAACTACCTTATATCCTGAAACATTGCATATTAACTACCTTATATCCTGAAACATTGCATATTAATTACCTTCTATCCTGAAACATTGCATATTAACTACCTTCTATCCTGAAACATTGCATATTAACTACCTTCTATCCTGAAACATTGCATATTAACTACCTTCTATATCCTGAAACATTGCATATTAACTACCTTCTATCCTGAAACATTGCATATTAACTACCTTATATCCTGAAACATTGCATATTAACTACCTTATATCCTGAAACATTGCATATTAATTACCTTCTATCCTGAAACATTGCATATTAACTACCTTCTATCCTGAAACATTGCATATTAACTACCTTCTATCCTGAAACATTGCATATTAACTACCTTCTATCCTGAAACATTGCATATTAACTACCTTATATCCTGAAACATTGCATATTAATTACCTTCTATCCTGAAACATTGCATATTAACTACCTTCTATCCTGAAACATTGCATATTAACTACCTTCTATCCTGAAACATTGCATATTAACTACCTTCTATCCTGAAACATTGCATATTAACTACCTTCTATCCTGAAACATTGCATATTAACTACCTTCTATCCTGAAACATTGCATATTAACTACCTTCTATATCCTGAAACATTGCATATTAACTACCTTATATCCTGAAACATTGCATATTAACTACCTTATATCCTGAAACATTGCATATTAACTACCTTATATCCTGAAACATTGCATATTAATTACCTTCTATCCTGAAACATTGCATATTAACTACCTTCTATCCTGAAACATTGCATATTAACTACCTTCTATCCTGAAACATTGCATATTAACTACCTTCTATCCTGAAACATTGCATATTAACTACCTTCTATCCTGAAACATTGCATATTAACTACCTTCTATCCTGAAACATTGCATATTAACTACCTTCTATCCTGAAACATTGCATATTAACTACCTTCTATCCTGAAACATTGCATATTAACTACCTTCTATCCTGAAACATTGCATATTAACTACCTTCTATCCTGAAACATTGCATATTAACTACCTTCTATCCTGAAACATTGCATATTAACTACCTTCTATCCTGAAACATTGCATATTAACTACCTTCTATCCTGAAACATTGCATATTAATTACCTTCTATCCTGAAACATTGCATATTAACTACCTTCTATCCTGAAACATTGCATATTAACTACCTTCTATCCTGAAACATTGCATATTAACTACCTTCTATCCTGAAACATTGCATATTAACTACCTTCTATCCTGAAACATTGCATATTAACTACCTTCTATCCTGAAACATTGCATATTAACTACCTTCTATCCTGAAACATTGCATATTAACTACCTTCTATCCTGAAACATTGCATATTAACTACCTTCTATCCTGAAACATTGCATATTAACTACCTTCTATCCTGAAACATTGCATATTAACTACCTTCTATCCTGAAACATTGCATATTAACTACCTTCTATCCTGAAACATTGCATATTAACTACCTTCTATCCTGAAACATTGCATATTAACTACCTTCTATCCTGAAACATTGCATATTAATTACCTTCTATCCTGAAACATTGCATATTAACTACCTTCTATCCTGAAACATTGCATATTAATTACCTTCTATCCTGAAACATTGCATATTAACTACCTTCTATCCTGAAACATTGCATATTAACTACCTTCTATCCTGAAACATTGCATATTAACTACCTTCTATCCTGAAACATTGCATATTAACTACCTTCTATCCTGAAACATTGCATATTAATTACCTTCTATCCTGAAACATTGCATATTAACTACCTTCTATCCTGAAACATTGCATATTAACTACCTTCTATCCTGAAACATTGCATATTAATTACCTTCTATCCTGAAACATTGCATATTAACTACCTTCTATCCTGAAACATTGCATATTAACTACCTTCTATCCTGAAACATTGCATATTAATTACCTTCTATCCTGAATCATTGCATATTAACTACCTTCTATCCTGAAACATTGCATATTAACTACCTTCTATCCTGAAACATTGCATATTAATTACCTTCTATCCTGAAACATTGCATATTAACTACCTTCTATCCTGAAACATTGCATATTAATTACCTTCTATCCTGAAACATTGCATATTAATTACCTTCTATCCTGAAACATTGCATATTAACTACCTTCTATCCTGAAACATTGCATATTAATTACCTTCTATCCTGAAACATTGCATATTAACTACCTTCTATCCTGAAACATTGCATATTAACTACCTTCTATCCTGAAACATTGCATATTAACTACCTTCTATCCTGAAACATTGCATATTAATTACCTTCTATCCTGAAACATTGCATATTAACTACCTTCTATCCTGAAACATTGCATATTAACTACCTTCTATCCTGAAACATTGCATATTAATTACCTTCTATCCTGAAACATTGCATATTAATTACCTTCTATCCTGAATCATTGCATATTAACTACCTTCTATCCTGAAACATTGCATATTAACTACCTTCTATCCTGAAACATTGCATATTAATTACCTTCTATCCTGAAACATTGCATATTAATTACCTTCTATCCTGAAACATTGCATATTAATTACCTTCTATCCTGAAACATTGCATATTAATTACCTTCTATCCTGAAACATTGCATATTAATTACCTTCTATCCTGAAACATTGCATATTAATTACCTTCTATCCTGAAACATTGCATATTAATTACCTTCTATCCTGAAACATTGCATATTAATTACCTTCTATCCTGAAACATTGCATATTAATTACCTTCTATCCTGAAACATTGCATATTAACTACCTTCTATCCTGAAACATTGCATATTAATTACCTTCTATCCTGAAACATTGCATATTAACTACCTTCTATCCTGAAACATTGCATATTAACTACCTTCTATCCTGAAACATTGCATATTAATTACCTTCTATCCTGAAACATTGCATATTAATTACCTTCTATCCTGAATCATTGCATATTAACTACCTTCTATCCTGAAACATTGCATATTAATTACCTTCTATCCTGAATCATTGCATATTAACTACCTTCTATCCTGAAACATTGCATATTAATTACCTTCTATCCTGAAACATTGCATATTAACTACCTTATATCCTGAAACATTGCATATTAACTACCTTCTATCCTGAAACATTGCATATTAACTACCTTCTATCCTGAAACATTGCATATTAACTACCTTCTATCCTGAAACATTGCATATTAATTACCTTCTATCCTGAAACATTGCATATTAATTACCTTCTATCCTGAATCATTGCATATTAATTACCTTCTATCCTGAATCATTGCATATTAACTACCTTCTATCCTGAAACATTGCATATTAACTACCTTCTATCCTGAATCATTGCATATTAACTACCTTCTATCCTGAAACATTGCATATTAACTACCTTCTATCCTGAAACATTGCATATTAATTACCTTCTATCCTGAAACATTGCATATTAACTACCTTCTATCCTGAAACATTGCATATTAACTACCTTCTATCCTGAAACATTGCATATTAATTACCTTCTATCCTGAAACATTGCATATTAACTACCTTATATCCTGAAACATTGCATATTAACTACCTTCTATCCTGAAACATTGCATATTAACTACCTTCTATCCTGAAACATTGCATATTAACTACCTTCTATCCTGAAACATTGCATATTAACTACCTTATATCCTGAAACATTGCATATTAACTACCTTCTATCCTGAAACATTGCATATTAACTACCTTCTATCCTGAAACATTGCATATTAACTACCTTATATCCTGAAACATTGCATATTAACTACCTTCTATCCTGAAACATTGCATATTAACTACCTGCTATCCTGAAACATTGCATATTAATTACCTTCTATCCTGAATCATTGCATATTAACTACCATTTAACTTAATACATATTAGTGATTTAAACATTATATATCATACTTTCATCTACACTTCAAGGAATCAGAACCTTTAAGAAATCCAATAATTACAATTAATTACTTAATTACTTGGTAATTACAAGACTTTGGTAGTTACTAAACAATAGTATATGTTACCTCTGAATAGACCCATTATCAGCTATCATCTGTTGTTTGATGTCACTATCCCACACTCCTAGATCAGTCAGATCACGTAACAAATGCTGGTTTATCACCTGAAACATGTGCTGAGTAATGTACGTGCAAATCTTGGCAAACCGCCAAAAAATCAGGAACGTTCTTCGTCTAAGATGAATCATCTAATTAGGAGAAAGACTGTGAAGCGTAACCAGCAAAGTAACCTTAAACTAGGAACTAGTAGTGTAACTATGGTAACTAGTAAACCTGGAACTAGGAACTAGTAGTGTAACTATGGTAACTAGTAAACCTGGAATTCTCCACTCAGGACTCTCCGGAGGTAGATGTTGCTGGTGTAAGGTTCTATAGCCTCGTTGTTTCCCAGAATCTGTGCTGTGCTGGCGGTTGGCATGGGAGCCAGCAACAATGAGTTCCTTATACCAGTTCTGAGAAAAAGATTACATTTAATGTAGGGGGGGGGGGGGGGGGGGTCAAGTTATAAGGGCTGTTAATCAAAAACTATAGTGTGCAAAACAAAGTGATATTAGTTATATTGAAAGTTATACAAATTATCTAAGTTATATAAGTTGTATAAGTTATATAAGTTATATAAGTTATATAAGTTATATAAGTTATAAAAGTTATATAAGTTATATAAGTTATATAAGTTATATAAGTTATATAAGTTATATAAGTTATATAAGTTGACTGACCTCTTGATCTGTTTCTTAAGAGCTGCCCAGTCCCAGAGATCAGTTGGTGTAACTCCCCACATGTCGAACTGAAGATCTCCTTTACTAACTGGACTGCCTGGAATTAATTATGTAATTATGGTAATTAGCTCTCAATTATGTAATTAGCTCTAATTTCTATAAAAATAACTACTATTACTAATAATAACGGATGAATTATTTTGTATAAAACTAACCTTCGTATGTCTCGTAAGGTCCAAGTTTTTCAGCTAGTTCTGAACTAGCCTCTAAGGCACCGTAGTAGATAGTCTCGAATATCTTAATGTTCAGTTTTTTAGCTGAGTCACTGTCAAATGGATACCTCATCAGAATGAAGGCATCAGCTAGACCCTGAGACAGTTTAACAATACAATAAGTTGTATAGTCAAAATAGAAGAATGAATACGGAGATCGAGAATGTGGGTGGTTAAATCATGCACTCCTGAAACAAAGTCCCTAAATAGTCCCTTTTGACGGCAGGAGTATCACCGAGAACATTTATTAAAACGAGAAAATAAAAATAATGTGAATTAAAAAACGGGAGCAGACTTCGATTGGGATATAGAAAATGTTCACACTTATCACACTTATCGCATTAACTTTGTAAACTGATTTCTGATACATCTTACTAAAATGTTGATATTATTCTCGATAATACGTTTAATTAACGTTTAATCCGTTTAATACGTCTGCCGTCAAAGACTACTAACTTCAAGTTGCAACTGACCTGAACTCCAATTCCAATAGGTCTGTGTCTCATGTTGGACTTCCTGGCTTGCTCCAGCGGGTAGTAGGACACTTCGATTACTTTGTTCAGGTTCCTCGTCACCACCTAAAGGATATATTATACATTATATATACATTATACGTTATACACCACCTACATATACATTATACATTATACACCACCTACATAATACATTATACATTATACATTATACACAACCTACAGGATATTTCATGTAAAAATTGATAGATATTGAAACGTTTGGCTACTTTTCCACCTATGTTTGGCAACACTTTCTTTTAGAGTGATTTATTGAAGATGTAGGATGAATAATAATGTTCTTTAGGTACCTAATAAGCTAATAGTTGATCTAAGTAACCGAACAATGAATGAGATCTTACTAATTCTAGGAATCGGACCAGACCCGAAGTCGGCAGTAACAACGCCGAACTAAGGACAGTAAAACAAAACCACTCCATTTTTAATCTGTTCTTATCATTTGAATCGAATATTCATAATTCAGTTCGTAACTATTTTGCAGACAAATTCGTAATTGTTCAATTTCTGTTCAGGGTCGACCACCCTTTATTCTATCAACATTTTGAATATAACCGACATAGCAATTCAATCGGTTTTATATTATCAATTAAATTATATTAAAATATAATTCTATTAATTAAGGAACTCAAAAATGTCTGCCGGCGTATAATTAAGTCTGTGATCATTAGAATGTAATGGACAGATCATTTCTTTCTGTTGTCGACTAACATCTACATTCTACACTGTGTTTATACGTTATGTTTTGCAGCGATTCGTTATCCTTTGACATTCCACGGCGCTAAAGATTTTGAGTTGAGCAAGTTTTATGCTTACCACGTCCTCAGCCATCTTAAATAAAGCACGTCAACCGTGCAAAACTTTTACTGTGCAACATATTATATCAACTAGTAGGAACCCGTATAACCCAAAAATGGTGTCAAGACTCAAGAGACTAAAATAATTATTACCTATTTAATTCGCGTTTTTGACACCACTTGGGGGTCCAAAATTTGGGCTCTAAAACTCCTATTTCTTGGCCAATTTTTTATTTTTTCATGCTGATTTTGAGGCCATTAAAACATTTGACCCAGTCAAAAAAGTTTCAGTTGTATATCTTTTACGGTTTTTGTGGAAAGTCGCGTTAAAGTTGATGCCGTGGTGTCAGTAAAATGGTACGGAACCCCCCATATATATCGTCTCGCTTCATATAATAGTAAGATTAATAATCAAATTTATTTTTAGATCCCTTGCGTCAGCAACTTTACGCATCGCTATTATATACCTTACAAGACATATTTATGTTCGAAATACTTCCGGTTACCCTTAATAAATTAGATAATAACTCAGTTTATGATAGCTTGTCATTATACTCACGGGCACGTTCAGAAAAAATGGTCATTATCCAACTAGTTCCATGACCTTCTTCAATATTGTCTGCTTTAGTAAAATATCTTGTCTTGTCAAAAAATTCAAATCGATATAATTATATCTTACCCGCACTTATCATAATAAATGCTCATTACTTCTCAAATTGTGAGAAGGAATAAGAAGCGGGGGAGGCCCCCCCCCCCCCCAATTTTTCTGGAAACTACTTTTATTCATGTTTCATGCTTCCCTGATCATTATGAGCAGAAAATATTTTTTTTCGGTTTTCGAAGTCCGCACCTACCCTTCGATATAAGATTTTGGACTCGAGGGTTCCCCTTTGTAATGCAATCTCGGAAGGCAGGCCTCCCCTTCGCAATTGCCAATACGAGCTCGGAAGCGGGAGCTCTGCCTTCAGAGCTACGTATCGAGAATGACTTCGAGTCAACATTTTTCAAAGTTTTTCTGGAAACTACTGAAGGCTGTGATTGGTTTCATATACTTATAGAAAACGTGATATTTGGCCCGCAGATTTGAAGGAAAATACGCGAATTTGGTCCTCAGACTTAAAGGAAAATGTGCGATTTGTCGCGGCAAACGTGAAAAATCGCGATTTTTCGCGGAGAATGGGAAAAAATCGAGATTCTGCACATGCCGCAATTTCCTTTTGTCCTTGCCCGAACATTTTTTGAAATTCAGGCTATGGCTAAAAAATATTTAAAATTTGGCCCCCCATGATGAAATCATTCCTACACCCCTGCGTTGTTCATAAAATGTTCATGTTTCAATAGAGGGAACAGCAGCCAGTATTTCATAACTCTGATATGAAACGGGTATTCTTGACTAGAGTTCGGATTCTTCTGGTGGTGCAACTGATTCTCTTGAAAATAGGTTTGAATTGTTTTATTGTTTGAATTTTTCCGATAAGTGCTTGAAGAAATAACTTCCTTAGTGTTAATAACTTCTACAGTAATACATTTTCAGGTGTTGCGCATCACGACCCTACATATCCTACATACCCTACATATCCTACAGAGTCAGGGAAATTCAGGAGATTACAAACAGATGATACAACAAGAGGTGATTTGAAGCTAGACACATAGTGGCCGGGGGGGGGGGGGCGTAATATTTGTTGCTTCTTTTATTTGAAGCTAGACACGTAGGGGAGGGGGGGAGAGGAGGGGGCGTTATATTTTATGCTTCTTTTATTTGAAGCTAGACACGTAGGGGGGAGGGGCGTTATATTTGTTGCTTCTTTTATTCGAAGCTATACACGTGGGGGGGGGGGGGGGGTAAGGTTATATTTGTTGCTTCTTTTATCGATTACTTTCGATGTATATACCCATTTAATAACATTGAATATAAGCTTGTCCTATACGAACTGCCGTCAAGTCATGTCATTTTGGCAGGTAGTTCATCGACGAATACATGGCAAACAACAAGCGTACCTCAGGAACACCTTACTTCGGCTACCATATTACCTGGTAAGGAGCGGGGGAGGGGGGCCTGAAGTAATGCCACTTTTTAAAAACACCCCTTATATTAATTATTATATGCAGATTTGTTAGAGATTACATTGATTGGGGCTCCATCTAGCAGCTGGTAGCTCATGTTTTTATTTATTCCCCCAGATGAGTACAAGACATGGCGAGATGACGGGAGGTGTGGGAAGTGGCATCCTCTCCAGGACGGCCGGAGTGCTGAATGTGACCCGGACAGTGAGCGACCCTGTTGTGAGTACTATTACGGCTGGTGTGGGAACAAACCTGACCAGTGCTACTGTCCGGGGTGTACTGACTACAGGATAGTCAGAAAGATGAGACAATCTGAAGAGGAGTGTGTTGTAGCTGCTGTAGGAGGGTTTCTTAAGAAAGTGTGCGCGAGTGATGGGGTGAAGTCTCAGTACCAGTTCACTTGTGCCTATTCAGATGCGAGTTACGAGGGTAACTTCGAGTTTGACAGGGTCTCCTTTACTTATGCTATAAACAGTGTTACTGATATCTGTAAGAACGACCCGTATTCGTACCAGGTATGTGGATTTAACACGGAGATAACCAACACAGATGTTCTGTGTGGAGGCTACTTCTGTAAGGAGGCAGCAACAACCTACAGTTTTAGCAGATGTGAAGAGAACTGTGGGTCTCAGACAGAGTGTACCAAACCTCCAACAGAGGGTACCTCCGTTAAACTGGAGTCCTCCACAGTATGTGACGGGAAGTGTGACCTCTGGTTATGTGAAGATGAAGGGGATTGTAACGGGTACACCTACGGGGTGTTCTGCTCCAGGTATGGTAAACTGTTTAAACTAACTTAATCTGTATTTGTATCACGTGACTAGAATACAGCTCTCTGATTGGCTAGTTTGTATCAAGTGACTAGAATACAGCTCTCTGATTGGCTAGTTTGTATCAAGTGACTAGAATACAGCTCTCTGATTGGCTAGTTTGTATCACGTGACTAGAATACAGCTCTCTGATTGGCTAGTTTGTATCACGTGACTAGAATACAGCTCTCTGATTGGCTAGTTTGTATCAAGTGACTAGAATACAGCTCTCTGATTGGCTATCTGTTCCAGGTATGGTACTTACATCTACGTGCCCCCCTACAGAGTGTGTGACGGGTATGCAGCTTGTGATAACTATGAGGATGAGCAGGACTGTCTGATGAATGACGTCACGTCACGTGACACCCCCCACCCCTGTCCTCATTCCAATCTCCTCGAAATGGGGGAATATGTAGCTGTTCCTATTCTCAACTACACGAGATGCTCTGTGTTTGATATAGTGGGATATAACCGTCCCTACTGTCACAACTACTTAGATCAGACTAACTGTACGGATATTGCACGGGTGGGGGGTTATTGCAATGTGAACGGGTTTATGTCTAGTATTTCTAAAACTATGATTTGTCTTGATTATTCTGACACACTTGGAGTCCCCATGCCAGTGAAACTGTGTGATGATGGAATGGAAAACGCTTGCATCTCACCCTCCACTTCTTGTAGAGTACACAAACACAGGATGTGCGATGGAGTGATGGACTGCTCAGATGGTAGTGATGAGACCAATAATTTGTGCAATTTAATGACTTCTGCTCACGAATGTAAACGATCGTTTGGTCGGGACACCCAAAGTTTACCCTTCCCTGTCGCCTGGATATTGGATAACGAGATAGACTGTTTGAACGGAGTCGATGAAGATTCAACTGTTAGTCATTATTCCAATCTTGAACGTTGGATGTTTTGTGGGGACAAGGAAAGTGGGACATTCCGAGTTAAGTTAGACTATGATAACGCATCATGTCAGGACATATATAGGTGTCCACGAGGAGCCATCCCGTTTGTAGATGTTGATCTTCTGTGTGGTGAGAATGAGACTTGCGGAATGTCTACTTGTGAGACTGCTGGAGACCTCCCTCGCATTGACAATACTGTTCCGTATCAGGGCTCAGTTAAAGATATATGTCGTTATATGGGGGTTCCAGAGAGGGAGGTTTGTTCCGTTAAAGAATTCTCACGACCTTTAGTTGATGTTTTCGGAGCAGCAAGGATCCGTGTAAACGTTCCTTCCTCCAAAATAGATTGCAGTAATATTTTTGGAGAGTCGTATGTGTACCTAAGTTGTTTAGATCTCTGCCTAGACTCCGTGTGCCCTCTAGAAACCACCCCCCTGATCCACAACTCGTGTCCAGGCCAGTACCCTGACAGAATATACACGCTAGCTAACAAGTCATACCTTACTTTCGTGACAGATACCAACCCTGAGGGTCTGTACGAACAAAACTTCTTCCAGTGCAAAAACAGTAAATGTGTGGAGTACCATCAGGTGTGTGATCTTGTTGATGATTGTGGTGACTTTTCAGATGAAATCAACTGCACTAATCACAAAGTTATTGCGCACAAGAGAGCGAAGAAGAAGAAGAAGTGGATACCCTATCGGAAGTTGGCTTCACGGACTCTACTAGCAAGAACCTGATCAGGAGTTAACTGTAGTAATTTGTTTTTTAAAAGATGAAAAATATGACTTATCCCTGTTTTTCTGTGTATCAGAACATTGAGCTTTTAGTCCTTTTAATATAAAAACCGATTTATTTGAACATATTTGATGTCAAAATGCTGTACATGATAAGCGTTCTGAGAGGTTATTCATAAATTGCTTCAATATTTTTGGACGATTTAATATTTCATTACTTAATATACTGTATACATCTTGTTATTACCTATACAAAAATGATTCTTTACTGAATTTATTATTTTCAAAAGTATAAAGGGACGTGACACTCTAGATTCTTATCCAAGAAAGTAATTATTACTAAAATCTTAATATTCTTACCTTAGCAACCTCCTTGAGTCCCTCAAAGTCGTACGTCTTGTCGTTATTAACGTACATATTGACAGCTATACTGGCCAAGTTGCACACGGCAATCTCGTCAGGCGAGGAGTACTCGACAATCTCTGAAATAATTGTTTTTTTTGTTTCTTTTCTGAAATAATTGTTGACTTACAACAATGTGGCCAGTGATAAAACGATGGGGAGATTGAAAAATAGATTATATCAACCAAGACACAAAAGTGCTAATAAATACCAACCTGTGCAGAGGTTGCTACATTTGAAAGTGCTAATAAATACCAACCTGTGCAGAGGTTGCTACATTTGAAAGTGCTAATAAATACCAACCTGTGCAGAGGTTGCTACATTTGAAAGTGCTAATAAATACCAACCTGTGCAGAGGTTGCTACATTTGAAAGTGCTAATAAATACCAACCTGTGCAGAGGTTGCTACATTTGAAAGTGCTAATAAATACCAACCTGTGCAGAGGTTGCTACATTTGAAAGTGCTAATAAATACCAACCTGTGCAGAGGTTGCTACATTTGAAAGTGCTAATAAATACCAACCTGTGCAGAGGTTGCTACATTTGAAAGTGCTAATAAATACCAACCTGTGCAGAGGTTGCTACATTTGATCGTCCCTAGGTTCTGCTGATTACTCTTCTTATTACACGCATCCTTGTAAACCATATACGGAGTCCCAGTCTCAATTTGACTATCAATAATAGCAAACCAAAGTTTCTGCGCCTTTATAGTTTTGCGGGCTCGGCCCTCACGTTCATACTGCACGTACAGTTTCTCAAAGTCGTCACCCCACGTGTCTTGGAGACCAGGTGACTCGTTGGGACAGAACAGGGACCAGTCTTCGTTGGCTTCAACCTGGTTCCAGTTACTTCGTCAAGTTTTAAGTGTGAAATGTTTTATAGATAGATCTCAGTAAAGGCGGTGCAGTCCGGAAATCTAATATACGAATGTTGATTGTTAGACTATTAGTTTCGCTTACCCTTTTCATAAACAGATCAGGAATCCATAAAGCATAGAACAAATCCCTTGCTCGAGCCTCTTCCTTACCAGTGTTCTTCCTCAAATCCAAGAAATCAAACACATCTGCATGCCATGGTTCCAGGTAGATTGCAAATGAACCTGGTCTCTGCAAAATGGTTCAAATCAAGAATGGTGGTTAAGAAGTTGACAGAAATTTGAACCATAAAATACAAAAGTTCTACCAAAAACAAATAACTTAATTTAATTTAAGTAAGTGTATACTGAATCAACACAGCACTCGTGAAACAGATGAAAATGTTGTTGTTGTGCGTCAGTCATACCTTATTGCCACCCTGATCGACATATCTAGCAGTGTTATTGAACACTCTAAGCATGGGCACGAGGCCGTTGCTGCTTCCCCCAGTTCCCCAGATGTAGCTACCTTTAGCTCGAATATTGTGCACGTTCACACCAATCCCTGGGGAGATGGTGGGTCACGTGACTAGAATACAGCTCTCTGATTGGTTAGTTTGTAATTTAGCTCGAATATTGTGCACGTTCACACCAATCCCTGAGGAAATGGTGGGTCAAAATGTAATGATCAGAATGTTGTGCAGCAGCGCGTGCCAAGATAGAGTAGCAAGACATATAACTTATGCCGGGGCAGATAACTCAATAAAGCCAGTAAAAGAAGGTGCAAGTGCTTTTCTAATCGAACATATAAAGAAGAACAATTATTATGAGTAGCTAGAAGTATAGCTAGTACTAGTAGTAGCTAGAAGGTAGGTAAGGTAAGAAGCTTACCTCCTGCTGATTTGCTTATCATGGCGCACTGCTTTAAGGTGTCGTAGATACCGTCGATACTGTCATCAGTCATAGTCAATAGGAAACAACTGAAATGAAAGTGAAGGGAGTGAGTATGACTCAGTACACACTACTAAAAGTAACAAGTCTCAAACCTTGCCGCCCTGGTCAACATATCTCGTAGTGTTATTATACACTTGTAGCAAGGGAACAATTCCAGAGCTTGTTCCGTTGCTGCCTTGTATGAAACTCCCTTGAGCTCGGATACTTTGAATGGAAAGGCCACAGCCGCCAGCATGAGCAGCCAAGATGGCACAGTTCTTGAGAGTGTCGTAAATAGCGTCCATGCTATCCGAGCATTCTAACAAGAAGCAGCTGAAAAGGCCTTTTTAGGAAAATTTAACGAACATCTGGATGTGAACAGCATTGTTAGCGACTTGTTATTCCGGATGTGCTCAGCTTTTTGTTAAGGTCTAAAACTACACCTAGACTGCACAATCTATTTGGATTCATAACTAATTTTGTTCTAAAGTTTCGAGCAAACTATTGACCGCGCACATCCGGGTAAGAAACTTACATCTCCATGTACAAAACCCAAATTTGCCGCGAACTGTCGTTGCATGCAAAACGCGCATCAAATGCGCGTTTCGAGGAACTCACAAAATGTCTTTTTTATATTACAGACGTAAAAGTTTTCGCGCGTTACGTTCCGTTTGGCGGGAACGCAAATGTTAGAACCCTAAGGTGAAGACAGAAGTTGTCACTTTGGAGTTTGGACAAAGGAAATTTAACATCAATTCAGGATAGGAGCTGAAGATACTAATTCAGTCGAACGTTCGGTCAGGGTCACTGAAATGTCGTCCAATCTAAATACCTAGCGAGTTGAGGTCTCACAGTTCCCGAGTTGAATAGAGTAGGGGAGGCGTGAGTAAAGAACTTCTCCGACATTAAGTTGTAAGTTTCGATTGCAGTGTCGATATCTTCCCAGTGAATTCCTGTAGAATGAGAATTAAATTTGGTATTCATAATTTTAACACAAACTCATATTTTTGATATTTTGAGCAAGTTAACTTTGTTGGCATGTAGGTAAAATTTGCATGAAGATAGCTGATACACAGCCGAGTAAAAATCCAAAAAGGTGGTCAAAATGTGCCCTTTTTTTGCTGAAATTTGGAATAATTTTCTTATCTGCATCTAATTATCTGCAGTTGTAGAAAATCAACCCAAAAATAATTGTATCGTGTTTGCCTAAATTTTTCCTTTCCAAGAAGTACCCACTTGATATACTTTATCAAAGTTTGAATATTGTCACTCCGAAAGCGTTTTTGCCAAATTTTCGACGCGCACTAATACTATACTACGCGCTATACTGTATACTATACTACGCACAAGAGCATTTAGTTGTTATCAATGGACACCTGCGCGTTCATCATAAATTTCAAACAGCTATAACTCGATATTACGTCTGTTCTAGCTCATATTTTCACACCGAATAGAAAACAATGTAATCTTATTGCTGACAAAATAGGAATATAATTATTCGATTGGCCTAAGAGTTATAGACTGTCAACGTTTATGGTTTAAAACCAGAAATATCAGATGAGGAAACAGGAGATCGGACATTTCATACACGGTCCTCGAACAGTGATTTATATTTCAGATGATTCAGATGAAATTGCACATGAGGACACAATTTGTGCAATCGCATCCAAAGAGCTGGATAGTGGATAAACTAACGTATAATAAAAGCATGAGATCAACAGATAACTCTGACTATCACGTAGCTGTGATAATGGAAACAATCAATGCCGCGGTTATAAAAAAGTTGGCAACCTCACTTTCACAAATCATCGTACGATATAATAACTTGGGCAATAGAATCAGTTTCTTTAATGGTAATCTAAGTAGTTCAGCCGAGTTTTCAGTGGTGATTGTGTTACACAGATTGTGGGGGTATCCTGCTTTTAACCCTAACGGAGATGAAGATATCAAATCTCTTTATTCGTTTATATCACGTGCTAGAGTTTACTGTTCAGTAGTGTTGTTTCGTGATCCTCAGCACGGGGCAGGTAAAACACTGCAAGACTTGAAACATATGACTGACTTGTTAGAGAAACTCAGTGGTCAAGTTCAAATATTGAAATATTAAACTATTTCTATCGATATTATGATAAAATTTTTCAATAAAACTCTGACGAAGCCAAGTAATTTATGTTTTCTAAATCGGCCGGTGGTAATGGTTTAAATGGATGGTTTTGTGACCCAAATTTTATACTAGAGTGTTTCATGTACTCTCCTCTCTTCCACTCTCGCTCTCTCTCCCCCCAAATTTTTCACGGACATAATTATTCACGCTCATGACCGCCAAAAACTTTCCAAAACATTGTGAACATTTTTAGTGATTTTTAAATGAGTGTTTTACTCTTTTTCTGAACTCTAGAATCAAAGTCATAGTGATCATGGTGTTATATTTATAACTTAAGTTCTTTAACTTACTGTTATGTAGATTGAATATAGATTGAATATGACTGAGGAGTGATTATATATTTTGTCCTAGTATTATACTAATAGTAATAGTAATAAGCTAATAGTAATACAGTAATCGGCTACACACATATTTAGATTCTACGCATATGTAGGGAGTACGGACGAGGGCCGTCGACTAGTTCGGAGTATTATATCTATATTATTGCAAATTGTTGGATACTTGATTTAGTTGATTTGTATTCTTGGATTTTCTAAAAATTATTTTACGAAAACTTTGTGAGAATTTATATTACAGTGAACTCCACGGCAGGAATTAATTTCCAAATTCATAGCGGGCAATGTTCTTCTTCTTCGTAGGGGGCAGTGGTCAGGGTGACCACTATAAGATAGAGCATTGGAGCCCTGTCCTTACCCCGGTAAAATATTTATAAGTGGAAAAAAGTTAAACTTTGTCTTTTCCACATTTGGTGAACCGTTTAGTTGCTTGTTACACACACTCTATCAAGGTAAGGGCTGCTTAACATTCTGTATGATTGTATGTACAACTCATCCAAATTCTACCTCCACTGTTGAAGAGAAAGGCCACATAATCACCGCCATATTATCATAACAAACTGACGCTCCGTGTCATTACCTCCTAACCTGGCGGGATACCTTTTGAATAGTCATCGTTTATAACACCAACCAGCTCTGAGTTCAACAGAGAGTTAATTTCCAGATCACTCTGATCTCAAACTCCTCGCCCAATACACTGTGCACAGTGTCTTGGACTTGGAGTGTGCAGGCTTTGTTATCAACTAGCCACTCGCTAAGACTCTCGGCTGCAGGTTAATCACATAATCCGTACTCAAACAATACTGCCCTCTTGAGGGAAATACAAAATTAGCATGATTTTTCCACAAGCCTCGAGACTCGAGAGCTTGCCTCCCCCATTACACGCTCTCCTTAATATTGAAGTAACTGTTATATTTACTGTACATTGATGATACCGAAAACTACTGTTACTCTGATCGCTCTTTTTGTGACGACTCTTTCGCAGTCAACATCGGGTAAGTTTAGTTCTAAAGTCAATATCTTCGAATAATTTACAATTAAATCAATGGTCTGAATTGATTGACGATGTCAATCCTTCGCAGCTCGGTGAGGCTCAGTAGTGCATCTTGCCAATCAATTGTCACTGTGGTTACGAGGAGAATTATTTGATAACAGATAAGCGGCGCGGCCCAGTACTAGTAGTGCTTCGCACTACAATGGTCTAAATGCTGAAGTGCATAACATATTATAGTGAACAGTATGATACTCTCAGCCCTCCGATTGAAAATTATTCTGCGTCAATTCAAATTTGATCTTGATACTAGCTCTGACTTATGTAAAACAAATGCTTTCTGTTTTGAAAGAAATGATCAATCACGCTTCAGAGACGTCATGCCAGATTCAAGAACAGCGTGGCTTCCTAAAGTACGTATGCAAGAAAGAGACCTCCTACAACAAATGCCATAATTCTGAGGAAACATATGATACAATTATCAGAAATGGATTTGTTTCCGGAGAAATCTGCACAAATGATTCGTTCTTTTACCAAGCTTGTGATAAAGCATCTGGAGGACGAGTAACCAACGATAAGTTCCTTTGTGAGTATTTCGTGTGTAAATTAAATTGGCTCGGTGATCTATACGTTTTCTCAGCTATGTTAGAAGGATTTGGCTTCGTTTGTAGTGGTAATGTAGATTGTGACTCTGGTATTGATGAAACAAACTGTCCTAATACAACGAGCATAATGCCGAGTGGTGGAGTAATCTTTAGTCCTCACATCTGTGATGACGTATGTGACTACTTTCTGTCTTGTGAAGATGAAGCCGTATGCAATGGGTATACCTATGGAATGTACTGCAATGCTACTGACAATAAAGGGAGCACTTTCTATGAATACATTAACCCTGAGTTGATTTGTGATGGACTCCAAAGATGTGACAATGGTGATGATGAATCTAACTGTCAGGTGACAAATAAAACATTGGACACATGTCAACATGCTCGCACTGGGCAACTGGTGCCAGTTCTTAATTTCACACGATGTAATGTTTTTATACAGATCTTCGGAAACATTTATCATAATAATTTATGCAAGGATTTAGTTCAATCTCAATCAAACTGCACTGACCACTCCAAGATAGGCATAATTTGTAGAATAAACGGATATATTTCAACAGTCTCAAAATATATGATATGTTATCAACACGGGATCATTTGTGACGATGGGATCGAACAGATGTGTAAACAGTTAACAGAACCATGCTTTATACACAAGCACTTTATGTGTGATGGCCAATTTTATTGTGAAAATAAAGCTGATGAAAGACACCCCCACTGTCAATCTGTCACCCAAAGAACCTGTGAGAGAAGAGTCGGAGGTCTAGGAAACCTCACGATACCCTTGGTATGGTTAGGGGATGGTATCCAAGATTGTGTTGATGGAAGCGATGAGGCTGCCATCTGGCCTACCTGTGGAGTTGGACAATCATATCGACTTGTTTCTAGCGAAGAAGCATGTGAAAATGTTTTTGTTTGTCGATGGGGAAACCCTGGATATGTTGAGGTTAAGGATCTATGTGATGGAATTGAAACTTGCGGAAATGAGAATGAAATATGTTTATATTCCCGTAACTCTATGGAAACAACTCGCCCGTTACCAACATCAGACAAGGGCCTGACCAAACGAATTTCTTATTGTCTGAAAGGTTTAATGCAGATAGAAATGCAAAGAGGAAGCTGTACATCACAACAGTTTATTTTTCCGAATCACGAATTTTTTGGGGTTGACACCAAAACTACTCTGCATCTCCCCTCAAACAAGCAAGATTGTTCAAACATATTCGGGGAGCAATACGTTTATACTAGCTGTGTAGATAAATGCTCCAGCTCTCCTTGTCCTCTTAGGGAGATTCCAAGATATGAGGTCTGTCCAGCCCAATATCCAGATCGAGTGGGAACCATAGCAAACGAAGAATACCTTGCATTCTTCACTAAGGCGCACGGAGACGTGTTCACAAACCGATATTTTGTGTGTGACGACAAAATCAGGTGTGTCGACTACTCTCAAGTCTGTGATTTGGCTAAAGACTGTGGAGATGGATCAGACGAAAAGCGTTGTGACAACCACTTCACATGTCTATCTACATCTCGTTTAATTCCCAAAGTTAAGGTTTGTGATGGTTCCTTCGATTGCATGGATGGTTCGGATGAATGTAATGACCTCTGTTCAAAGCAAATTTTACAAAATGGCTCTCTTGAAGGACTGTCGTGGCTAATAGGGTCTCTGGCTATTCTCGCAAATTCAGTCATCGTGACGAAGAATCTTCTGACATTAACTCGTTGCCAGACTTCAGTAGCATTGATGAATAAATCGCTCGTTATATTGATATCCTTAGGAGACTTCTTGATTGGGTGCTACCTGATTGTAATAGCCATTTACGATAGCATCATTTTCAAGAAGGACTACTGCCTCCGCCGAATAACTTGGATCACAAGTATCGAATGTTCTGTTATCGGTATTTTCAGTACGATTGGATCGCAAATCTCACTATTCTCCATGACAGTTCTCAGCACTGTCAGGATCTATGGTATATGGAACTCAATGAGAGTTCCAGGGGAGGTTACCAGGTTGAAAGCAGTCCAAGTAACGACTGGGATCTTCGGCTTAGCTCTGGCATCTGCAGCAATTGCTATCATACCGGTTATCGACCAATTCGAGGACTTTTTTGTTAATGGATTGAAGTTCAACGAAGATTTAAGTTTATTTATAGGAACACCTGATAAAAAATTGATCTTTGATGTTCTTGAAGCCTATTATGGACGGATGAAAACAGCCACTTTAAGTTGGGACACAATAAGACAAATGGTTTCTGGAATGTACTCTCACGATTTAGATTATCATGATTATACTTTGAAACAGACAAAAGTTGACTTTTACGGTAGTGATGGTGTGTGCCTCTTCAAGTACTTCGTTAAAAGCAACGATCCTCAAAAAATCTTCGTTTGGGGTATTCTTATTCTCAACTTTATATGCTTCATGATAATAACACTGTCTTACATCCTCATTGGACTGGTTTCCCTCAGATCCTCTAAAAGTCTAACAAACTTGCAGGGTAATAGACAAATATCCAACAGAAACCGTAGAATGAACCAGAAAATTGCTATCATCATTGGCACAGATTTCGCTTGTTGGGTGCCTTTCATCATAATCTGCGTTCTCCACTCCTTAGAAGTCCTGGATGCCACTCTTTGGTACAGTCTTTTCTCGATGATAATTCTCCCAATAAACTCTATGATAAACCCCTTCCTTTATGATGATATCGTAACGAGCTTCTTCATCAATTCAATGAGGCGTTTAACAGCTCGAATGTTGGACTCAACAATTGTTCAAAGCATTCGTGATCGTTTCATGTTTGATCGGGTTGAAACAATTGAACTTGAGGAAGTTAGAATTCAAAGAGAAGACTTGGTTCAAGATCTTCCAAGTGGACACGGGGTGGTTCGAGAAATACAAAACGAACAAGATATGGTTCAAGAAACAGCTGAAGAAATATTAGTGGTGGACAAACAAGGAGTGGTTCAAGAAACAGCAGATGAACAAATAGTTGTCCAAGAAACAGCAGATGAACAAATAGTTGTCCAAGAAACAGCAGATGAACAATTAGTTGTCCAAGAAACAGCAGATGAACAATTAGTTGTCCAAGAAACAGCAAATGAACAATGAGTGGTCTAAGAAACAGCAGATGAACAAGGAATGGTTCAGAAAACAGAATACGTACAAGGTTTATTTATCAACTATGCAAATCTATTACTATTAGTATTATATGTATATTTGTTTCCCGCGCTGAGTTGTTCGCTATTATTTTATTCTTAAAAGGTAAAAATATCGCGTATTATTTTGTTTATATCGTTCTTGATTTAGAGGTTTGATTTTGGGGCAGGTACATTAATACTCCCTTATTTGTCACTCCAGTAACAGATAGAATAATCTTAAACAGGGTAATAAGGGTAATAGTCCGGTCAGTTATGGATATTTACCTGCATTTCATAGTAGTATATAGATATAAAATTAAAATAGAACACCAAATCCTGTAGGTGCACTTGTACATGTTGTAAACTGTTCGATTCGTAATAAGATAACCTTATTATATCTACTTCGTCGCACAAGAAATGATTTCTCCTAAAATTAAAAATGAATCAAAAATAGAATTCACCAAGGGAGACTCTCATCAACATATGCTGGGGTCGCTCCACTACTTTCCCGTTTATTTTCAACAGGTAGGTCTTCTCCAGAGTTTTTATCCCGAAGTAGTTGTAACTGAAATCCCTGGAAATATTCGTTTGTTATTTTATGCTATGTCAGCCAAATGAGAAAATCGTTATAACAAAACATTTATTCCCAAAGGGTTTTGAATTTTCTTGAAATAAACAGCTGTAAAAGATCGACAGATAAAGATTAAAGTCAATAAAAATAAGTTGAAATGCTCACCTGTCATAGATAAGAACAGAGTTTAGAGTGTCCTTATTAGCTCTGATAAGGTTAATCAGTTCAGTAGAGATAAGGGGAGCGTGTCTGTTAGTGTCCGGGTTGATGTGATTGTAGAGGTCCTCCATTGTGTCACTGAACAACTGTTAGGACAGTCATTATCAAAACAAGACAGATAAATGTATCTGTTTTAGTAAATATTTTGAATATTTATTTTTGAAACCCTGATTACGTCCATTATATGGGTATCAAATCATCATACTATTTTGTTTTTTAGGTGCTTGAGCATTAAGGTAAATGTAAACCACTACTTTGATCATGGTAGACTCTCAAACTGACCTTCTTAGTTTCCTTGTGCAGGTTACTAACAACAATACGCGCAGCGAGCACTGCGTAGTCAGGATGTTCAGTAGCTTACCTTCTTAGTTTCCTTGTGCAGGTTACTAACAACAATACGCGCAGCGAGCACCGCGTAGTCAGGATGTTCAGTAGCTTACCTTCTTAGTTTCCTTGTGCAGGTTACTAACAACAATACGTGCAGCGAGCACCGCGTAGTCAGGATGTTCAGTAGCTTACCTTCTTAGTTTCCTTGTGCAGGTTACTAACAACAATACGTGCAGCGAGCACCGCGTAGTCAGGATGTTCAGTAGCTTACCTTCTTAGTTTCCTTGTGCAGGTTACTAACAACAATACGCGCAGCGAGGACGTAGTCAGGATGTTCAGTAGCTTACCTTCTTAGTTTCCTTGTGCAGGTTACTAACAACAATACGCGCAGCGAGCACCGCGTAGTCAGGATGTTCAGTAGCTTACCTTCTTAGTTTCCTTGTGCAGGTTACTAACAACAATACGCGCAGCGAGGACGTAGTCAGGATGTTCAGTAGCTTACCTTCTTAGTTTCCTTGTGCAGGTTACTAACAACAATACGCGCAGCGAGCACTGCGTAGTCAGGATGTTCAGTAGCAAGAGATGCTGCTGTCTCCGCTGCTAACATGTCCAGTTCCACTGTAGTTACTCCTTTGTAAACACCATTTATAACATTCTTAGTTATTGTGTGCTGAAAAAAAAGGTAAAAAGAAGGTAAAAAACTAAAAGTTGTAAAATTCTTATTACTGATGCAATGGACCCGTTTATAAACCATCATGTCACCAATATAATGAGGATAATCATACTGAAAATTAACTTACTGGATCAACAAACTCAGTGTTGAGATTGTACATGAGCTTCTGGATACGGGATGTTATCTTGTCGAAATGTACGATCTCTTTACGACCATCTGAAATGAGATAACTTATTAAAATCAAGGGCACTGACCGATAAATGAAATTACAACTTAATTTCAAGACCAGATTACACCAATCCTACACAGTTTCATACCGTCGGTTAAACTTCTAAGTAGGGTGAAGATAGTAGAAGTGATAACATACCCCGTTTATTGCAGAACATAGGCCCATGATTGGTGTTTTTACGAGAAGCAAGACTAGTCATAGCCCTATAAGTCCTTAATATAAAACAAAATCAGGTCTTTTCAAAGCTCGCCTAAAAACTTTAAAAAAAGAAAAAGCAAATATTTGTGGAGCACACTCTGCAGCTCAAGGAAGACAGTGCATATGTTTTGAGGGGCTTGCAGGTTTATACTGCTTAGTCCAACCACATGCCACTCTAGCTCTCCCAGGCTCTCTACTAATAGTAGCTTTAGCAGGGGGTAATCAACCAATCACAGCACAATATACACACCACGTGACTCAGGGCCCTCCAGGAACAGGAGTATATAATTAATGATTGTCTAGAGGCGTCACGTGGTTATTCAGTGATGACGTCACACGAACCTGCCCGGGCAGGTTAGGAGACTTGCCCGGGCAGGTAAGAGACTATGTTGTGGGCACAAGGCGATTTAAAGTATTGAATGGAAGGATGTCCCTGAAAGTTCACACGATATAATCAGAAAAACGAATGAAATGTGTCAATTTTACAAATATTGTAACATATCACCAGCTGATAACTACAGTTGAACGATTGTTCGCTAGCAGAATTAAGCATAGGACTATTTAAAAAGGAGGAAATAATGTTGATTGATAGATTTCTGCGTTATGTTTGGGACCTTGTCTTGTACTGCATAGTATAAGTACTCGATATTAATAAATAGTAGATATGTAGTCGTATAATTATTACTTTGGGGCGATTTATGTAATTTCTATTTTACTACCGTATATGCACCATAAACGGAGATGTTTGGTCAGAATGATTTCACGTGAAAGTAGCAACTCAAAAATTGGTCAAACCGAGAATTTATCAGCGCAATCTATAAAACTATCAAGAAAAGAACTTGATTGAGAGAATACTGCGTAGTGAGCGAACTAAACGACAACTTAAGTGTTTGTGAATTTCAATTAATATTAGCCTGCCAGTTATGAGAATATTTAATCAATCCATAAATATTATTTATGTATTTAATCGTTATTTTGAGGTAACAAGTCCTCCCAAGTAGTAATACAATACAGTGAACACTGAACAATGACAAATACGTCACGATCAGCCTGATTGACAATTTTCAAACATCTGCTATCAGCACAAGAACTTTAACTGTATGGCCGGAAATAAATATGGATAAACTTTGTCCTAGATCCGATTTTCTTAAATAATCGTACGGGACTATTGGACAGGCAAACTAGCACTCAAAGAAATGAAAGACCTCTCGGACTCTATTACACTGTATTACACTGTATGATACTGTTTAATGCGCTATCACGCAATTTTCAGATACATTTTAGTTACTTCATGACCAGTTTCTGCTGATAAGAATATTCGCATACTTTCACATCCTTCTTTTTACATGATTGCAGAGATAACATTGTTATTACTTGTAACTTACTGTATATAACCTATGAAATGTGCACGTGTATATTCTATTGTTGACTGTAGGTAGTTTATAGGCGTTAGTGCCGTAAATAAAAATCCTACATTGAACCAAAAATTAATATTGTAATAGGTTATTAAGTCTTACCAGTGATTTAATATTAATATCTTTATTTAAAAGGTTAAACAAATCTTACCTCTTTTAAAGACGAACATATTGGTGTCGAGCTAGAACCTATGATAAAAGTTGGGTTATTTACAAATAGATGGGTCCTGCAACCAACGACCACAATAATCGTTTACAGAGGAACAATTTGTCGTACGTGATAGTAAATGACCGGTTCTAATATCATTATTCGCATCTCTTACATGTTTCAGTCAAAAGTTAGAAAAATTACCCCAGCACCAACTGATTTAAAAACGATTTTGGTATTTTTCTTGAAACGTAAATGAAAGGTCAATGACATAACAACTGATTATGCCTAGAGCCCCCCCCCCCTGCCTCAATATGAGTGTCGAGAAAATGATTCAGCAGATCAGTGGAAGGTTTCAACGAACACTTCTTATAATTTTAGCTCTGTTCTTACAAATATTTTGTTTAATCTCTCCCCTCTTTAAATCTGACTTTATCAGCGATTCATTCCAAGTAACAGTGCCCGGCCCCTACCGATTTCCGATTTACCGGGAAAATTAGTCTAAATTAGTCTAAATTAGCCTCGATTACCATTTTGGGGCCAGTTCCGAATAAAATACAAGATCAACTGAATCCGTAATTAGAAAAATATACAAGTTCGATTTACATTGATTTTAATGATTTCCCAAATATCATTGCACCCTTTGTCAAGTTATTTAAGTTCTAGAATCTAGCTTCTAAGTACTGAACGATTTCAATTCATTTAAAATTGTATGCTCGGGTGCATCATAATATCCCATTTTATAAAAATCTGGTGTCATATTCAAAACTGGTTTTGATAAATTAAACCGTAGATATGAGTGTTCGAATATCGCTCTAGAGTAGAAATACTCTATGCAATAAAACGCGATAACATAAAATATAAATCAAGAGTTCCACCACTCTCAAGTCAAGGAATAACACGTGGTGTGACGTCACACCACGTGTTATGACGTCACACCACGTGATTCCTTCTCAAGTCAAGGAATAAACCAGCTTATCTCTGTTTAGATAAGTGTTATCCTCGCATACTCTTTCTAAAAGGTCTATATGTGAGTTTATCTGCTCCACCAAATCTTTGTACAATTCTGCGGAACTTTTGTCCGTTTTCTGCTTCAATTGCAGCAAAACCTGAATTAATATTCATTACAGTTAGCTTTATAGGCATATATAATAATATGTATATTATATACTCGTATACTCATAATTATGAGCGAAGTGACTGATGCCCCAGGAATAACAAAACCTCACAATCATATTGAAGAGAGTAAGCACCTGATCGAATACTGTGTAAGGAACGTATACGGGAGGCATGTTGCTCTGGAGCGAGTTTTCTAAACCAAAGTCACGTGTCTCTCTTCCTGCCACTGCACCAATATACCCTGGTGGAAATTAAACATTATAACTAATTGTTACTCAATTTAAAATTTAATTGCGATCTCAAAATCATTGTTTTAATCGGTCATTCTAAGTTTACAGACTGAAAAAGAGAGTAAATTAAAGTACACTAAACTAACCTATAGCGAGGTTAACAGCGAGCTGAAGGCTATCATACTGAGCACACAATCTTATGGTCCCCTCAGTATTAACTAGTTTACACAGTTTCAACAACCAGAAAGGAGGAGGGAACGGAGCGCTGAGCATCTGCGCGAGAACCGCGCGCAGTGACTCCCAGTCTCCGTGCGCTTCTACCTTCGTCTGAAGGTAGAGCCAGGCCCGGTCAGCCGGGTTTAGTTCATCTGTGTTGGGAACATTGTTCAGCGCTAACCAATCCGTAAATCCTGATAAAGTTATATCAATAATATCAGTAGTATAATTAAGTTGGTTATATTAACCAATATTAAAAGCACCATTTTGTATTATTGAATATTCATTCATGTTGCAAAATCTTATGATTCAAAACTGTTCAAGACTTAAATCTTAGTGCATTAATATCACGTCCATCGACTATTTCGAGAAATGACATCATGTTCAGTACCCCCTTCAAATTTAATTGAAACTTTCGCTCCGTTTCTGAAATTCCCGCTGTGATCTTTAACACCACAATGTTAAGAACACCACCTGGTTACTCAGCCGAATGATAAGAAACTTAATTGAGGGTTAAATGAGGAGGGGTACCTGTTAAAAGTTTTTAAAACTTCCTAGGATACCCCTTCAGTGCATACTGTAAACATAGTACTATTAACTAGTAACTATATTAACTAACCTGACGGTAGATGGCTGTGGGCGGCAAAGTGTTGGGCTACATTAACGCAGCGTGCCGTGAGAGAGCCCAGCGGGGGAGGGAGGTCGTGGTAGGAGGCCAGGAGGAAGGCTTGGTCGTAGAGTCCACAGCTGCAGAGCAGACCAAGCACCTGGTGTCACGTGGTTATCAGGTGGTTATATACAGACTTGTTCATTGTAATTTGGGGTGAAACGTCTGGATCAGTAACATTTGGTCATTGGTGTTGCTATCATGTCTGTCACTATAAATATTTGGATAACGAATAAGGATGGGGACTGGGGAGCTGAAGCATAATTTGCTTTGACACGTGACAGATATTCTGGGTTTTGGTTGGTCAGTGCTGGAAGCTGATTGGTTAATCGCTCTCACGTGTGCTCACCTCCCGACCAGTTTCCATAAAGACTAGACTGGTGATAAACAAGCGGGTAATGACAGGGGGACTGACTAGGTGTTACTATGGTGTTACGAGGTGTACAGTGGTGTTACCACGGTGACATCATAGAGAGTACAGCTATATATATATGAAGTAGAGGGATAATGCCAGTCTATCATTCGTCAGAGCTATAGGTAACATAGCATAGTGGGGCACCTCACCAGATTCTGCACATAGTTCACATAGCTATAGTTTAGGTAAATTGTACTTCATTTTGTTAATTCGCCAAATTCCGCTCTGTTACCATGGTTACTTCAAGTCCGCTCTGTTACAAGGTCAAGTTTAGCGGCATGTTTTAAAACTAGTTTTATATAATAGTTCAATATAATACTAGTTCTGTGATGTGCCCCGATAGCGGTTAAATAACGGTTATAATATTAAAGAAAAGTGCCATTTATTTGTGGTGTACAGGCTCTGTGGTTGTTTTGTTATCTCATATTAGAGTGTAGAGAGTAGAGACTCACTACGGGGGGGGGGGGGGGGGGGGGGGTCATTCGCTAGACTCTCCGTAACAGTATTAACTTTAAGGAGGGGGGGGGGGGGGTGACTCGCTAGACTCTCCGTAACAGTATTAACTTTAAGGAGGGGGGGGGGGTGACTCGCTAGACTCTCCGTAACAGTATTAACTTTAAGGAGGGGGGGGGGGGGGGGGTGACTCGCTAGACTCTCCGTAACAGTATTAACTTTAAGCATTTGTTTAACAACCGTTCGCGTTGTGTTGAAGGGAGATACAGGTCTTCTATCTCTCAAGTCTATTAACTAGCCGCTCAACTCCCCGACAAAGTTATAATGAATTTTATTAAACTAAATTCTACCTTTACCTTACTTTACCTTACTTTACCTTACTTTACCCTGCACTGCACAATGCACATGATATCTCCGGTCCTGGAACTTATCAGGACTTTACTTTTTTTCAAGGACTTTACTTTTTAGGCGAGTAATGACTACAATATTCAAATGCATCAGTTAAAAGATGTTTAGGTAAAGATTTGTTATTAGAGAAATATAAGACTTAAGCTCTGTTTTTACTACTTTTATTTATTAGTTGAAAATTTTCGTTAAAACAATAGGCGTTTCCCTTAAATGTACTTTTAATCTGTTCCAATTTAATAATTAAGCGCAGATCAAAGACGTCAAATTAAATAACTATGGTTAAAAAGGTTTATAAAGTGACCTTATTTGGATACTTAAAGTTGTAAACCTCGTCCAGTAATTATAAATATAATTATATTATTGGAGCCATAACTTCCATTTCCTTTCAACATTTGCATTGCGAAACAAATAGTTTCGCGGCCCCTCATGATTCTCAAAAGCTTGCATATATTAATTACATAATTATTAATTACCAATGAAATATTTGAAAGCGCTCACCTCGGAAGAAGACAGGTTGTGTAGTTTAACTGAGTCAGGTTTAATAGCGCTTATCTTAACAAGACTGTCAACCATTAAATATCCGGCTCTTAGTTCCTTTACTGAAACATGACACTGTGGTTACTGGCAGTTATTTATAATTATGATTTGTCGAATATAACGTATTTGAGGACATTAATAATTAATTACATAAAGTAAGTTTGAACAGGATGCATACCATTCCCGCCCGGCACCCAAATGTTTCTCTAGGAAGTCTTAGAAAGAAGGTTTAGTTATATGGTATTATCAGAGTTTGTCTGACACCAACTGCAGTTAAACGTTCCATTCTTCGCTGCGTTAATTATAATACCTCCTCTCCTAGACAACAACAAGAGCCTGGTTTCACGTGAAGTATTTAACATTGTAACAGCTTGGTTAACATTGTCTTTCATCGCTGATTATTTTTGGCTAATTTGACACTTTAGTATCTCAGTTTCGTTGAGGTGTGAATTTTCCCAGCTTTGTTGAGATCAGTTTGGATCTACTGCAAGGAAGTATGACGCCAAATTAATGTGCAGTAATCAAGATCTGGCTTGTTGAGAATTAGTTAAAATTTGTGGCATTTGTTTATGTTCGCTCTCTATTCGCTCTCGTGCTGCGATATCATAACGTTTTTACAGTTTTGCTGAAGTCAGCTTGGAATTTGGATGTTTTGTATGTTGCGGTTTAGTCTATCAGAAATCATGAGAAATAGTAAATTTATCAGGAACTGAATCTAAAATTTCTGTGGTTTAGCCAGAAGACTTTTTGCTTAATTTGATCGGTTATCAGTACCAAATTATCGAGATAAATCAATAAAGATTTAGACCCAATTATCGGCGATAATCTTATCGAGATATTATTAGGTTGAATACCCTAATCAGAATATATACTGCAAGATATCTTGCAAGGAAGCCGCCACTCTAATGTGCAGTAAATCAAGAAGTTCTCCTGGCTTCTTGACTGATGATCAGTTAAAATGTGCAGTATTCGTTACGTCTGCACTGCCCTTTATCTCAGCGTTTTACACGCAAAAACCACTCTTTACTTTACAATTTATCATTTTTATATTCTGATTTGATACTCTGATTTGGATCATTTGTTGGATCATACTATCTTTTCAGGATGAAGATAACCGGAAACTTCAGCGAGGAGGACGTGAGCAACGCCCACATTTGGGACATCACTATCGGGCTCCAGTTCATTCCTTTCTTCTTTCTTTCAACTATCGGAAACAGTCTTGCATTCCGCTACTTTGTCTCTAGACCAAAGAATTTGCCCACCATCCTCTACATTTGTATAACTGTGGTGGATATGGGAACCGGGATGGCTCATTTCCCGATAGTGGGTGTGCTTCTAAATCACAGACAACCTGGGCTTTTCAACGTCAAAGCGTTTTGTACTTTTTGGACGATATTTTTCTCGCTTTTGCAGAAATTCTCGATGTTCTTGGTGATGCTTTTGACAGTTTCCAGGACAATAAAAATAGTCTACCCATTTGCTGAGGTGAAGAAAAGAGCGGTAATTGTTGTGCTAATACTTTACGGCATCTTTTTGTTAGTATCAGATATAGCGGTAACTCAATACGGTATTAACTTCTTCTACAGCAAGGACTGCGCCTACTGCTACGAGTATAATGGCAGCTACTATGGTGAAAATACCGAAATAGCAACAGTCCTCAAAATGGTTAACTTTAGATTTGTCCTCCAAGTTGGGATCCCACCGGTTATCATATCCTTCAGTTTTGCAGTGAGCCTTGCCAAACTTTACTTCGTCACTACCCCAAAAACCCTAATGCATCGGGAAATGAAAGCAAATCAGAGGAACAGAAAACAACAAGCTTCAATAACAATCACACTTTTTACGGGCATATTCCTGATGTGTAACTCTCTGTTTTTCATGACTAAGAGTCTGGAAAGTGTGACCTACTTTATGAACCTCTCCTACCCTGGACCTTTCTTTCAGAACACCTTCATGTTTTGGTTCTCCTGGCCTATCGGTAAAATTTATCTGACTGTTTTAAACGCTGTTCTGAATCCTATCTTGTATTATCTCAGAATAAAAGAATTCAGGAAATGGGTGTGGTCCTCAGCGAAGAAGGAGGAAAATACCTACAGTATGAACGGAAGACGAGGTACAGGGATTTCAGAGCTGTTGGGTCCGGACGATAGGAATCACTCTACTGCCCTCTAAATCTCTAAATCTTCTAAATCTTACTAGGACGTCTAACATATCAGAGGATCTGGCCTTTAAGTTATATTATATTACACTAAACTTACTTAACCTAAATTATTAAATATTCCACTAAACGTGCAGTATAATAATACTCACCGGTAACGAGAGTCAGTTTGGTGTTAGATTTCTTCTCTTTTGGCTGATTAGCGCTCCTGCCACGTTTAGGAGAGGCGTTCACTGCCACCCTCACATCAGCATACTGTGTAGGTTCTAGTATCCACGCCTGGAAAAGGATGTTAGAAGCTTAACGTGCAGTAAGGAGATTGCAATACACCACGTGGTGCCCATATAAGGGCATACTGTGTTGGTTCTAGTATCCACGCCTGGAAAAGGATGTTAAATACCATGTGGTATGGAGAGTACTGTGTTGGTTCTAGTATCCACGCCTGGAAAAGGATGTTAGAATCTTAACGTGCAGTAAGGAGATTGCAATACACCACGTGGTGCCCATATAAGTGGTATGGAGAGTACTGGAAACAGTTTTTAAAGCTGTTTTTTATTGAGAAATATTTGTTTATCATGTGGAGACAATACCATGTGGTATGGAAAGTGGAGACAATTGAAGAATAATTGACTTTTTAATATTCTATAAATTGATGTTTTGTTCTATGACTTTAAAATTCAATAATTTTCTTTTTTATTTCATTCTTGAACTTGTACAATATAATTTTGGGTGAGACGTATGTCCATGAAGAAATATAAGCTCAGAAGATGCAAGTTTTTGAAAAATGTGGCCGTAAAGGAAAGTTTTTAATCGTCAAATAGCGACACGTGGCTAACAAATCATTAAAACTGAATTATAAAAACTATCTTACACTATACGACGTGGACAATGTAATTAAGATCATCTAAAGGAAATAGCGGGTATCCCAGTAACTTCTGCTCAAAGTCCTCAAAGTCTACATGACCCGGCTTCACAACGTACTTTACTTTTGTGTAGGATGTTTTAATTACCCCGGCAAAACGGTCGATACACAGAAAAATGCTATCCAACAGGTATGTGGTGATACAGTGTAACATAATTGTAAAACTAGGGCAACATATCAAAGTTATGTGACAAGAAGTATTGTTGTAGTACTAGTATAGTATCATCGAGTATCATTTAAACCAAATTTGAAGATAAGCTTGAGAAATATTGCCGTTGATATTCTAGAATATAATATATCAATCACTTTACTTATCTTCAAAAGATAAGGTCACAAACTTCGCAAGGCCAGTCATTTTACATAAATGCAATTACAACTTGAGTCGTTTTGAATGTACACAATGTGCGTCTCATGTATCACAACATGGAGCCAGTTTTTACAAAGTGAAAGAGAAACTGATATACTAACCATATATTATGTTTCTGGATACGAGTCACGATTAAGTTATCATTAAAAATCTAACTCAAGTCACAACATGAAGCCAGAAATAAACGAAAATACCCTTTTAAAACCAGTAATAATAAACTCACATCATTTTCCTGAGAAGTTCTAAGCAGCTGATAACTGTGAGATATCTAGGTTACTAGGTTACTAGGTTACTGGGTTACTGGGTTACTAGGTTACTAGGTTACTAAGTTACCAGTAATAATAATAAACTCACATCATTTTCCCTGAGCAGTTCCAAGCAGCTGATAGCTGTGAGGTAGCCGTGTAGTTGCTGCTGGAGGGAGGCGACTCCAGGCAGCTCGTTTTGTAGCCTTAGCACGTGCTCGTAGGCTGTAGCTGCCGCGTGCTGGTACATCTGAGAGAATAGTGTATGTATAGAGAATGTATAGTGTATGTATAGATAATGTATAGTGTATATATAGAGAATGTATAGTGTATGTATAGAGAATGTATAGTGTATGTAGAGAATAGTGTGCTTGATTAATTGTAGTAGTTGTAGTGATTTTAGGTGTAGTTTTGTGGTTTATGGTTACAATCGATATAAACTTCGTCAATTCAAAACCAATATCGTTGATTCAAAAAAACAACTTAGGGTCAGTTAAAAATACACTAAAATTGCGATTATTAATAATTTATTATTAATTAATTAATTATAATTTATTAATCATTTATTATTTATTCAGACGAGACTAACCTTGTTCTGAACATGGAAAGCAAACAGCAGGTTGTAATAACTCTTCAGTTGATTCTGTCTGAGGTCTGAGTTCCTCGCTTTAAACTCCAGAACACTGACTACCTCTGCCTTAAAGCCGTGGTACGGGTAGTTTACTAGACGTTTTGCTTGTCCTGCTTCTACCATTACCACTACGAACCTAGAAGGGATCAAGTTTAACACTTGGATAATACCCCATCACGATATAATATCCTCAGTTACCTGTAGCTGTAACCAAAAACAAAGCTCGCAGTCGAATTAAAGCCAAAACCCAATTAATATAGTAAGTAAGTTATAATGTTATGACTATTAAATAAGGATAAAACTTGAACCACAGTAAGTTTTATCTCTACTGAAATACCTCTTGAGACATGCGTGTTTCTGAGAAGGACAGGGATTAGAAGACAGGGCTTTATAGGCCATATCATAATCTCCAGCCTCAACAGCGTGTTTAAAAGCTAGCGAGTGGAGCAGGGGCAGGTGCTCTTTCTCACAGAACTGTGTAGCTTGGGTTGCCAGGGAGACGATGGCTGCGGAGAGACCACTTCTCTCCAACATGGAGATACACTTTGTGATGTACTGGAGGTTCGTGGAAACTCCGTCGTGGTTACCTGAGATTAGAAGTGAGCAAGATGTGGTTACCTGACATTAGAAGTGAGCAAGATGTGGTTACCTGACATTAGAAGTGAGCAAGATGTGGTTACCTGACATTAGAAACACACTGAGCAAGATGTGGTTACCTGACATTAGAAATACAGTGAGCAAGATGTGGTTACCTGACATTAGAAATACAGTGAGCAAGATGTGGTTACCTGACATTAGAAATACAGTGAGCAAGATGTGGTTACCTGACATTAGAATACAGTGAGCAAGATGTGGTTACCTGACATTAGAAATACAGTGAGCAAGATGTGGTTACCTGACATTAGAAATACAGTGAGCAAGATGTGGTTACCTGACATTAGAAATACAGTGAGCAAGATGTGGTTACCTGACATTAGAAATACAGTGAGCAAGATGTGGTTACCTGACATTAGAAATACAGTGAGCAAGATGTGGTTACCTGACATTAGAAGTGAGCAAGATGTGGTTACCTGACATTAGAAATACAGTGAGCAAGATGTGGTTACCTGACATTAGAAATACAGTGAGCAAGATGTGGTTACCTGACATTAGAAGTGAGCAAGATGTGGTTACCTGACATTAGAAATACAGTGAGCAAGATGTGGTTACCTGACATTAGAAGTGAGCAAGATGTGGTTTAGTGGTTACCTGACATTAGAAATACAGTGAGCAAGATGTGGTTACCTGACATTAGAAATACAGTGAGCAAGATGTGATTACCTGACATTAGAAATACAGTGAGCAAGACGTGGTTACCTGACATTAGAAATACAGTGAGCAAGATGTGATTACCTGACATTAGAAATACAGTGAGCAAGATGTGGTTACCTGACATTAGAAGTGAGCAAGATGTGGTTACCTGACATTAGAAATACAGTGAGCAAGATGTGGTTACCTGACATTAGAAGTGAGCAAGATGTGGTTACCTGACATTAGAAATACAGTGAGCAAGATGTGGTTACCTGACATTAGAAATACAGTGAGCAAGATGTGGTTACCTGACATTAGAAATACAGTGAGCAAGATGTGGTTACCTGACATTAGAAATACAGTGAGCAAGATGTGGTTACCTGACATTAGAAGTGAGCAAGATGTGGTTACCTGACATTAGAAATACAGTGAGCAAGATGTGGTTACCTGACATTAGAAACACAGTGAGCAAGATGTGATATGATAATATTGATGCTAAATATTAAATGCAGTACTTTGATAATAATATGGAGATTAGACAGCCTCAAGATTAATAGTCCACAAAGTTCAGACTGATAACCCAACCCATATAATTTTTTGACCATTAATGACCATTAATGACCATTAATGACCATTAATGACCATTAATAACATTGTCAGTATTGGCAAAATAAAAAATACTGACATGGTCGCTTAGACTGATAACACAACCCCGGACTTTATACCTTATAATATAGCTTATTAATATGTGAGTAGAATTACTTTCTGCCGCGCATTCGTAGTTATTCTTATCTTATTCTTATCTTTCAGATCAAGTGTTTCTACTTCTGCATCAGTTATGTTTCTCGCGTTTTCTATTTCTACTACCTATAAAAGTTGTGAGAAGTGGACTGTTCATGTCCAGGTTTTTTGCAACACCGATAAACATTTTCACAGCAGTAGCTTGTTCTCCGGTAGCAGCGTAGGCTTGAGCAGCAATGTGTTTTAGCGCTGCTGAACAGTCCCCGCTCTTTGTGTAGTACTCCTATGGATTAACATATTATTAGCGGACTATAAGTCATTACTTATTAAATAAACGCATTAGATTAGTGATCGTTTTGGTTAATATATAGGGTCAAATAAGTCAGTTAATTATTCAAATAACATATTTATTTATGAACCGCATCAAATAAAACCTGTCCTGAGCTGTGAGCGGGTGTCCTGGTTTATGTTTTTGAATTAATAAGTATTTACCTTTATGAAGGAGTATTTACCTTGAGCTGATGGTAGTACTGGGATGAAAGTAGAAACTGTGGCAGGTCCAGTAACGTAGAGCCAGGGTACATAGCATTGATAATAGCAACCACTGTTTTCTTCATATCCTCCAGACTCTTATACTCAATAAGAGGGTGTCGGGAGGAGAGGTAGTGGTGGAGGATTGTTTTGGGTTTCTTCTCTACCTCCGAGATGTTTAGGTTACCAAAGTTATCGTAGTCTGGCGAGGTTTCTACTGAGCTGGACAGGACCCATTGGAGGAGACTGAATCTGGAGGGTGAGGGAAGTTGAGGGAGATACATTATTCATTTAAAGATACCAATTATACATATTATATTATAAGAGCTAATTATTTGAAATACAGTTTAATTCGTACCACAACTGTTGTAACAAGCTTACTCTTAATACAACTTGTTTATTTAATCCGCCCTAACCTGTTCATTATCTGCACACAGCCGGGTATAAGAGAGGTTCTCATTTTAGCCTGGGTTTCCTCACTCACCCCTGCTTGCTCCTGCTCTATATAAACTAGACACACTAACAAAACAGCGTATGTCTTGTGAGCGTCAAACACTCCTGTATCTACAGCACGTATCAGACATTCCGTACCTGCAAGGGGAAAATGTGGGTTAAAGAACATGTGGTTTAGGATTGCAACCTCACAAGAAAGTGCTTTTAAAAGGTTACTTTGATTTTAAAAAACAATAATCGCTCAATTATTAACAAAGTAAATACCAGAGACCACTAACCAGTAACACTCCTGAAGAGAGTTGGGAGCTGACGGGATGAGACAGGGTACTTATCAATACTTCCCACAGCCGACTCCAACACTTCCTGTACATTCTCCATAGACAGGATCAGTTCATCCAGCTCTGCCGCGCACTCAGGGTTCAGGTGGTTACTGAGTAACTCTCTAGCAATATCCACCAAGTTATCACTCGAATTGTCCTGTTTTGGTTTTTTTAAATGAATAAACATAAAAGGTTACATAATAATTTTCAATTTTCATATTCACGTATATTAAATAAAATTATATTGTTATGTATCATATGATTTTGTAAACATTGGCCGGTGTACCAAACAAACAAACCTGTAACAGTTCCCATCCAGTAGCTGGGATGAACTCTGTGAGCTTTACAAACGCTCCCATCAGCACACTGTTCTCGTTAACGTAGAAATCAGAGCTATTAGGTAGGAGAAGTGAGAGATCTCCAGCCATGACTAGGATCCCATCTGAGATGCTCACTGGACAGGAGTTAATATTGTGGAATGTGCGGCATTCGCTGTAGAGTGCAGGGAGAGTTTCTTCAAGATCACCCATAGCTTCGTGTGTCTGGATGAAGTTGTCAAGAGCTTCATCCACAGTTCCCTCTTCAAACTCGAACCCTAGTTTATCAAGAGCAGCAGAGATGGTGTTCTCTGTGAATTCACCCAGACAAAACTGAACGAAACATTCCTTGTCATCAAATATTTCCTCGTCTAATTCAGAGGGTTCTATTATCTGAGCCTCCTCCCAGCTACCCTCGTTTTCAGAGTTACCGAACTTTAGTGTCAACACTCTGGCAAGTAGTTAGATTTAGTTAGTTAGTTAGTTAGTTAGTTATTTAGTGTCAACACTCTGGGTAGTATGGTAGTTAGTTAGTTAGTTAGTTAGTTATTTAGTTAGTTAGTTAGTTAGTTAGTTAGTTAGTTATTTAGTTAGTTAGTTAGTTAGTTAGTTAGTTAGTTAGTTATTTAGTTAGTTAGTTAGTTATTTAGTTAGTTAGTTAGTTAGTTAGTTAGTAAGTTAGTTAGTTACTTATTTAGTTAGGTTAGTTAGTTATTTAGTTAGTTAGTTAGTTAGTTAGTTAGTTAGTTAGTTAGCTAGTTAGTTATTTAGTTATTTTAGTTAGTTAGTTAGTTAGTTAGTTAGTTAGTTAGTTAGTTAGTTAGGTTAGTTAGTTAGTTAGGTTAGTTAGTTAGTTATTTATTTTAGTTAGTTAGTTAGTTAGTTAGTTAGTTAGTAAGTTAGTTATTTAGTTAGTTAGTTAGTTAGTTATTTAGTTAGTTAGTTAGTTAGTTAGTTAGTTAGTTAGTTAGTTAGTTAGTTAGATTTAGTGTCAACACTCTGGGTAGTATGGTAGTTAGATTTAGTTAGTTAGTTAGTTATTTAGTGTCAACACTCTGGCAAGTATGGTAGTTAGATTTAGTTAGTTAGTTAGTTAGTTAGTTAGTTAGTTAGTTAGTTAGTTATTTAGTTAGTTAGTTAGTTAGTTATTTAGTTAGTTAGTTAGTTAGTTAGTTAGTTAGTTAGTTATTTAGTTAGTTAGTTAGTTAGTTAGTTAGTTAGATTTAGTGTCAACACTCTGGGTAGTATGGTAGTTAGATTTAGTTAGTTAGTTAGTTAGTTAGTTAGTTAGTTAGTTAGTTAGTTAGTTAGTTAGTTAGTTAGTTAGTTAGATTTAGTGTCAACACTCTGGGTAGTATGGTAGTTAGATTTAGTTAGTTAGTTAGTTATTTAGTGTCAACACTCTGGCAAGTATGGTAGTTAGATTTAGTTAGTTAGTTAGTTAGTTAGTTAGTTAGTTAGTTATTTAGTTAGTTAGTTAGTTAGTTAGTTAGTTAGTTAGTTAGTTAGTTAGTTAGTTAGTTATTTAGTTAGTTAGTTAGTTAGTTAGTTAGTTAGTTAGTTAGTTAGATTTAGTGTCAACACTCTGGGTAGTATGGTAGTTAGATTTAGTTAGTTAGTTAGTTATTTAGTGTCAACACTCTGGCAAGTATGGTAGTTAGATTTAGTTAGTTAGTTAGTTATTTAGTGTCAACACTCTGGCAAGTATGGTAGTTAGATTTAGTTAGTTAGTTAGTTATTTAGTGTCAACACTCTGGCAAGTATGGTAGTTAGATTTAGTTAGTTAGTTAGTTATTTAGTGTCAACACTCTGGCAAGTATGGTAGTTAGATTTAGTTAGTTAGTTAGTTATTTAGTGTCAACACTCTGGCAAGTAGTTAGATTTAGGGGATCCGGGAAGCTTATCTTACAGTTCTTAGCATTATTTAACCGTGAACATCGTTAGATTAACATTGAACAACAAACTAGGCTAGGATATGGTCTCAGAAATACTACCCCCACATTTTTTGATATTTCAACTTAATATTTAAGAGCACTAATGTAAGTACAAAAGAGCTGGACTATACACTAACCGTGAAGTTCCAGCCTCGTCGTGAAGAGCCAGTATCTTATCTGCAGTGACTGAGAAATGTTTGAGAGGCATGTCCCACCCAGAGCAGTAATACAGCAGGGTCATGCTCAGTTGTTCGTTATTGTACAGGACTGAGGAGTTTACCAAGATAAGTTAGTTAGTTAGTTAGTTAGTTAGTTATCTGCAGTGACTGAGAAATGTTCGTTATTGTACAGTACTGGGGAGTATACCAAGATTGCTTAGTTGGAAATGTAGCGAGTATTTGCTGATAACATTTTAAATGCTCAGATTTAAGGAATTGAGTTATACTGATTTACATTCAGCACTTTTATTATCATATTTATCATATTATAAACCCCTCCGGGTCAGAATAAGATTCTGATAATCCCGGCTCCCGCTAAATAGATTCTGATAATCCCGGCTCCCGCTGTTAGTTTTTTCCCGCTGAATAAATAACCCCGGCACAGCTTCTATAATCCCGCCCCGGTTATTTGGCTCAACTAGATTTGTTCTGTTTTGATATTACATGAGAATTTCAACCGCGCACTGTCACGTGTTTTGATGACGTGTATCACGTGACTAACTACTACGACGCGCATTGGTAAAAAATGTCACGTGACCTATGCCTTAACGTAAGAACTATTTAATACACTTGATCTACGTATCGGTCTAATTGCAGGCGCTGGCAAAACTCCAGCACACTGCTTACATTACTTAAACTCTTACATTAATTGGACCAGTTCCAGAACTTGTCTCGACGGTTACATTTGATTTTGTCCGGTTAATTTTGTCGTGTTTGTTATAAGCCACGTATTATATTATATATAGTCGTCTACTTTGATGGACTTCATGACACGATATCATTATTAGCTCCACCTTTTATCGCTTGCCAGGCTTAACTCGACGCCCCTTATCGATATTCATATTCATTCAACGTTCTGACTGAGGAATAATGTTTAGATATTTAAACGCCAATTTCAAATGTCATAGTACCTTAGTTGTATTTATTTGGTAGTCCCCAATTCCATTTCATATTTTCCATACTGATCTCATATAGCTAGAATTAAGAGTAAAATGTCAAATTGCTGGTCCTAGCACTAAACCGGAGGGGTTTATAACACATAACACCGGCACGCTTAAGTTATATTAAAATAACCCCTCGTGCTAAAGCACGTCGGGGTTATTTTCATAATAATCCCTCGTGCTTCGCACTCGAAATTATTATAAATTTTTCCCGCGCGTCGCGGGAAAAATTGAAATATAATCCCTGCGCTTGCCGGGGTTATGTGTGTTTTAACTATTATATGTCACTTTGGAATTTGGGTCACACTTCAGAAATAAGCACTCTAAAATCTCTAACTAAAAGGATTCCTCACCAGTGTAGATTCTAAAGACGCTATCGTCCACAAATGACAGGTGCATGCCGATCATAGCAGTTGAGTCAGCAGTAGCAGGTTTGAAACACAAGGAATGATTTCCGTGCAACTTAAGATCTGTTTTGCAGGGTATCGCCTCCATGTTCATAATATCCTTGTTGTTCACAGACCACACTCGCAGTTTCACGTCCCTTTGGCAGATAACATTAATACACAATACACTGGTTAAAAATAAATAAATATAATTGAAAAACAAATTAAATAAACAAATAAAAGTAATAAACTGACTTGCAAAGCGAGAATAGGAGCATATCAGGACCAAGTTGTGACATTGTGAGAGACAGAGGGGCCGACACTGACTCCACCATAGTGGACCTGCGACTTACTCCCGACCATAAACTCTGCATCAGCGATCTTTGGTGTAGGTCCGTCTGAAGTGTTGTGGTGGTAAAATCAGAAAAAACATTTACATTTCTCGATATATCGTTTTGGATAAACTTACTAACTAATTAACTAACTAGTTTTAATACTTTCAACACTACTATATAACAAATAATTTGAGCATGAATAAGAAGTTGTTACTTTGAAACGTCGTTTATCCTAACAGTGCAATATCATTTGTCGCAAATCAGAATAATCAGAAACTATTTGGAAAACCCAAAAACTGTCTATTAACTAACTAACTAACTAACTAACTAACTAACTAACTAACTAACTAACTAACTAACTAACTAACTAACTAACTAACTAACTAAAATAACTAAATAACTAACTAGCTAACTAACTAACTAACTAACTAACTAACTAACTAAATAACTAACCTAACTAAATAACTAACTAACTAACTTACTAACTAACTAACTAACTAACTAACTAACTAAAATAAATAACTAACTAACTAACCTAACTAACTAACTAACTAACCTAACTAACTAACTAACTAACTAACTAACTAACTAACTAACTAACTAACTAACTAACTAACTAACTAACTAACTAACTAAATAACTAACTAACCTAACTAAATAAGTAACTAACTAACTTACTAACTAACTAACTAACTAACTAACTAACTAAAATAAATAACTAACTAACTAACTAACTAACTAACTAACCTAACTAACTAACTAACTAACTAACTAACTAAATAACTAACTAACTAACTAACTAACTAACTAACTAACTAACTAAAATAAATAACTAACTAACTAACTAACTAACTAACTAACCTAACTAACTAACTAACCTAACTAACTAACTAACTAACTAACTAACTAACTAACTAACCTGTAGAACAGCTGCATCAGTACCGAGAGGAGGCAGAGTGACAAGTCTAAGATCAGCTGAGGGGTAGGAGAAAGCAAAAACTGCAGCTCCAATCTGTGTGAGAGCTGCGGTGGCAAGGGAGGGTGCTACATCGTGAGGGATGTAGGAGAAATGGTGTTTAGTTTGGAGAACTGTAGTGTCGATCGATCTGAAGAGGTTCATTATTATATCCTTATCAGTGCCAGAGTTGAGAGAATATATGATATTGTGTACGTTAGACATTATTAAGTGTTGCTTCCTCTAGTATCAAGATGACAACTAAAATAACGAGAGCCCGCTAGCCGGTGACACTTACTCGAGCACACTGGCGGTGTTGGTTTTGACAGTTCCCAGGTTAAAGCAAGACTGCTCAGAAGACGGGTGAGGACAGATGATCCTGTGAACTGAAGCTGTTGTAGCTATTAGGATACTGACAGTCAGTCCTTCCTCCACTATCATTATCTGGGTAGTTTAGCAGTCAGTAACCCGGGGAAGTTAACTAATATTATCTAAGAAGTTTAGCAGTCAGTAACCCGGGCCGGGGAAGTTAACTAATATTTATAGATTTAATGCACCAATGTAGCAGATATTATATGTATGTTACTTAACCCGTCAAACTGTCGACGTTTGCAAGATCACAATTTGCAGTGGGACGAAGTTAGCTATATATGGTGTTAGTTCAGTATTTGTGCGCAATTGCAAGCAATCTCGCTTACTTGCAGTCTCGCTACTTGCAGTTGAGATTTCCAATCTCTGCTTTATTAGATTGTGACGAAAGCCATCTTTCCGATTAAGCCTTTAAGTTGTTTTGTTATTGTAAGTGTAACCTTCTGTTTTTACCAGGTTTTTATAGGGCCGACTATAAACTAAATAGTCAATTCATTTCCTTAAAATAGTGAAGTCTGTACCATACCAGGCCACAATCCTTAAAATGATAAACTCTGTGCACTACTTTGATTTGAACTTACAGTTAAGATTTCCATTTCCAATCTCCGCTTTATCAAATTGTGTCAATAACTTATTAAGCCTTTAACCTGTTTTTCAGTTGTAAGCTTTTACCACATTTCTATAGAAGGCACTCTTAAAAGTCTGTACCATACCTGTACAGTGTCCACAATGCACATAAACGATAAACTATGCGCGTGCGCACTATTTAGTTTTGAACTTACTGGGGAGAGCACTGTAGTGTTAGGGAAGTAGAGACGGAGAAAGTGAAAGTGAAAGTGAAAGTGAAACTATTTAGTTTTGAACTTACTGGGGACAGCACCGTAGTGTTAGGGAAGTAGAGACGGAGACCATTCCCACTGAGGTTGAGATGTAGAGACAGCTCGCTCAGTTCCACCGTATCATCTTTTATTCTCCATATTATCCACCGGTCTCTACACAGCTCGCTACTTGACTGGTACCTGGTATTAAGACAGTTACCGGTCTCTACACAGCTCGCTACTTGACTGGTACCTGGTATTAAGACAGTTACCGGTCTCTACACAGCTCGCTACTTGACTGGTACCTGTATTAAGACAGTTACCGGTCTCTACACAGCTCGCTACTTGACTGGTACCTGGTATTAAGACAGTTACCGGTCTCTACACAGCTCGCTACTTGACTCGTACCCTGTATTAAGACAGTTACCGGTCTCTACACAGCTCGCTACTTGACTGGTACCTGGTATTAAGACAGTTACCGGTCTCTACACAGCTCGCTACTTGACTGGTACCTGGTATTAAGACAGTTACCGGTCTCTACACAGCTCGCTACTTGACTGGTACCCTGTATTAAGACAGTTACCGGTCTCTACACAGCTCGCTACTTGACTGGTACCTGGTATTAAGACAGTTACCGGTCTCTACACAGCTCGCTACTTGACTGGTACCTGGTATTAAGACAGTTACCGGTCTCTACACAGCTCGCTACTTGACTGGTACCCTGTATTAAGACAGTTACCGGTCTCTACACAGCTCGCTACTTGACTCGTACCCTGTATTAAGACAGTTACCGGTCTCTACACAGCTCGCTACTTGACTGGTACCTGGTATTAAGACAGTTACCGGTCTCTACACAGCTCGCTACTTGACTGGTACCTGGTATTAAGACAGTTACCGGTCTCTACACAGCTCGCTACTTGACTGGTACCTGGTATTAAGACAGTTACCGGTCTCTACACAGCTCGCTACTTGACTGGTACCTGGTATTAAGACAGTTACCGGTCTCTACACAGCTCGCTACTTGACTGGTACCTGGTATTAAGACAGTTACCGGTCTCTACACAGCTCGCTACTTGACTGGTACCTGGTATTAAGACAGTTACCGGTCTCTACACAGCTCGCTACTTGACTGGTACCTGGTATTAAGACAGTTACCGGTCTCTACACAGCTCGCTACTTGACTGGTACCTGGTATTAAGACAGTTACCGGTCTCTACACAGCTCGCTACTTGACTGGTACCTGGTATTAAGACAGTTACCGGTCTCTACACAGCTCGCTACTTGACTGGTACCTGGTATTAAGACAGTTACCGGTCTCTACACAGCTCGCTACTTGACTGGTACCTGGTATTAAGACAGTTACCGGTCTCTACACAGCTCGCTACTTGACTGGTACCTGGTATTAAGACAGTTACCGGTCTCTACACAGCTCGCTACTTGACTGGTACCTGTATTAAGACAGTTACCGGTCTCTACACAGCTCGCTACTTGACTGGTACCTGGTATTAAGACAGTTACCGGTCTCTACACAGCTCGCTACTTGACTGGTACCTGGTATTAAGACAGTTACCGGTCTCTACACAGCTCGCTACTTGACTGGTACCTGGTATTAAGACAGTTACCGGTCTCTACACAGCTCGCTACTTGACTGGTACCTGGTATTAAGACAGTTACCGGTCTCTACACAGCTCGCTACTTGACTGGTACCCTGGTATTAAGACAGTTACCGGTCTCTACACAGCTCGCTACTTGACTGGTACCTGGTATTAAGACAGTTACCGGTCTCTACACAGCTCGCTACTTGACTGGTACCTGGTATTAAGACAGTTACCGGTCTCTACACAGCTCGCTACTTGACTGGTACCTGGTATTAAGACAGTTACCGGTCTCTACACAGCTCGCTACTTGACTGGTACCTGGTATTAAGACAGTTACCGGTCTCTACACAGCTCGCTACTTGACTGGTACCTGTATTAAGACAGTTACCGGTCTCTACACAGCTCGCTACTTGACTGGTACCTGTATTAAGACAGTTACCGGTCTCTACACAGCTCGCTACTTGACTGGTACCTGGTATTAAGACAGTTACCGGTCTCTACACAGCTCGCTACTTGACTGGTACCTGGTATTAAGACAGTTACCGGTCTCTACACAGCTCGCTACTTGACTGTACCTGGTATTAAGACAGTTACCGGTCTCTACACAGCTCGCTACTTGACTGGTACCTGGTATTAAGACAGTTACCGGTCTCTACACAGCTCGCTACTTGACTGGTACCTGGTATTAAGACAGTTACCGGTCTCTACACAGCTCGCTACTTGACTGGTACCTGGTATTAAGACAGTTACCGGTCTCTACACAGCTCGCTACTTGACTGGTACCTGGTATTAAGACAGTTACCGGTCTCTACACAGCTCGCTACTTGACTGGTACCTGGTATTAAGACAGTTACCGGTCTCTACACAGCTCGCTACTTGACTGGTACCTGGTATTAAGACAGTTACCGGTCTCTACACAGCTCGCTACTTGACTGGTACCTGGTATTAAGACAGTTACCGGTCTCTACACAGCTCGCTACTTGACTGGTACCTGGTATTAAGACAGTTACCGGTCTCTACACAGCTCGCTACTTGACTGGTACCTGGTATTAAGACAGTTACCGGTCTCTACACAGCTCGCTACTTGACTGGTACCTGGTATTAAGACAGTTACCGGTCTCTACACAGCTCGCTACTTGACTGGTACCTGGTATTAAGACAGTTACCGGTCTCTACACAGCTCGCTACTTGACTGGTACCTGGTATTAAGACAGTTACCGGTCTCTACACAGCTCGCTACTTGACTGGTACCTGGTATTAAGACAGTTACCGGTCTCTACACAGCTCGCTACTTGACTGGTACCTGGTATTAAGACAGTTACCGGTCTCTACACAGCTCGCTACTTGACTGGTACCTGGTATTAAGACAGTTACCGGTCTCTACACAGCTCGCTACTTGACTGGTACCTGGTATTAAGACAGTTACCGGTCTCTACACAGCTCGCTACTTGACTGGTACCTGGTATTAAGACAGTTACCGGTCTCTACACAGCTCGCTACTTGACTGGTACCTGGTATTAAGACAGTTACCGGTCTCTACACAGCTCGCTACTTGACTGGTACCTGGTATTAAGACAGTTACCGGTCTCTACACAGCTCGCTACTTGACTGGTACCTGGTATTAAGACAGTTACCGGTCTCTACACAGCTCGCTACTTGACTGGTACCCTGGTATTAAGACAGTTACCGGTCTCTACACAGCTCGCTACTTGACTGGTACCTGGTATTAAGACAGTTACCGGTCTCTACACAGCTCGCTACTTGACTGGTACCTGGTATTAAGACAGTTACCGGTCTCTACACAGCTCGCTACTTGACTGGTACCTGGTATTAAGACAGTTACCGGTCTCTACACAGCTCGCTACTTGACTGGTACCTGGTATTAAGACAGTTACCGGTCTCTACACAGCTCGCTACTTGACTGGTACCTGGTATTAAGACAGTTACCGGTCTCTACACAGCTCGCTACTTGACTGGTACCTGGTATTAAGACAGTTACCGGTCTCTACACAGCTCGCTACTTGACTGGTACCTGGTATTAAGACAGTTACCGGTCTCTACACAGCTCGCTACTTGACTGGTACCTGGTATTAAGACAGTTACCGGTCTCTACACAGCTCGCTACTTGACTGGTACCTGGTATTAAGACAGTTACCGGTCTCTACACAGCTCGCTACTTGACTGGTACCTGTATTAAGACAGTTACCGGTCTCTACACAGCTCGCTACTTGACTGGTACCTGGTATTAAGACAGTTACCGGTCTCTACACAGCTCGCTACTTGACTGGTACCTGGTATTAAGACAGTTACCGGTCTCTACACAGCTCGCTACTTGACTGGTACCTGGTATTAAGACAGTTACCGGTCTCTACACAGCTCGCTACTTGACTGGTACCTGGTATTAAGACAGTTACCGGTCTCTACACAGCTCGCTACTTGACTGGTACCTGGTATTAAGACAGTTACCGGTCTCTACACAGCTCGCTACTTGACTGGTACCCTGTATTAAGACAGTTACCGGTCTCTACACAGCTCGCTACTTGACTGGTACCTGGTATTAAGACAGTTACCGGTCTCTACACAGCTCGCTACTTGACTGGTACCTGGTATTAAGACAGTTACCGGTCTCTACACAGCTCGCTACTTGACTGGTACCCTGGTATTAAGACAGTTACCGGTCTCTACACAGCTCGCTACTTGACTGGTACCTGGTATTAAGACAGTTACCGGTCTCTACACAGCTCGCTACTTGACTGGTACCTGGTATTAAGACAGTTACCGGTCTCTACACAGCTCGCTACTTGACTGGTACCTGGTATTAAGACAGTTACCGGTCTCTACACAGCTCGCTACTTGACTGGTACCTGTATTAAGACAGTTACCGGTCTCTACACAGCTCGCTACTTGACTGGTACCTGGTATTAAGACAGTTACCGGTCTCTACACAGCTCGCTACTTGACTGGTACCTGGTATTAAGACAGTTACCGGTCTCTACACAGCTCGCTACTTGACTGGTACCTGGTATTAAGACAGTTACCGGTCTCTACACAGCTCGCTACTTGACTGGTACCTGGTATTAAGACAGTTACCGGTCTCTACACAGCTCGCTACTTGACTGGTACCTGGTATTAAGACAGTTACCGGTCTCTACACAGCTCGCTACTTGACTGGTACCTGGTATTAAGACAGTTACCGGTCTCTACACAGCTCGCTACTTGACTGGTACCCTGGTATTAAGACAGTTACCGGTCTCTACACAGCTCGCTACTTGACTGGTACCTGGTATTAAGACAGTTACCGGTCTCTACACAGCTCGCTACTTGACTGGTACCTGGTATTAAGACAGTTACCGGTCTCTACACAGCTCGCTACTTGACTGGTACCTGGTATTAAGACAGTTACCGGTCTCTACACAGCTCGCTACTTGACTGGTACCTGGTATTAAGACAGTTACCGGTCTCTACACAGCTCGCTACTTGACTGGTACCTGGTATTAAGACAGTTACCGGTCTCTACACAGCTCGCTACTTGACTGGTACCTGGTATTAAGACAGTTACCGGTCTCTACACAGCTCGCTACTTGACTGGTACCTGGTATTAAGACAGTTACCGGTCTCTACACAGCTCGCTACTTGACTGGTACCCTGGTATTAAGACAGTTACCGGTCTCTACACAGCTCGCTACTTGACTGGTACCTGGTATTAAGACAGTTACCGGTCTCTACACAGCTCGCTACTTGACTGGTACCTGGTATTAAGACAGTTACCGGTCTCTACACAGCTCGCTACTTGACTGGTACCTGGTATTAAGACAGTTACCGGTCTCTACACAGCTCGCTACTTGACTGGTACCTGGTATTAAGACAGTTACCGGTCTCTACACAGCTCGCTACTTGACTGGTACCCTGTATTAAGACAGTTACCGGTCTCTACACAGCTCGCTACTTGACTGGTACCTGGTATTAAGACAGTTACCGGTCTCTACACAGCTCGCTACTTGACTGGTACCTGTATTAAGACAGTTACCGGTCTCTACACAGCTCGCTACTTGACTGGTACCTGGTATTAAGACAGTTACCGGTCTCTACACAGCTCGCTACTTGACTGGTACCTGGTATTAAGACAGTTACCGGTCTCTACACAGCTCGCTACTTGACTGGTACCTGTATTAAGACAGTTACCGGTCTCTACACAGCTCGCTACTTGACTGGTACCTGGTATTAAGACAGTTACCGGTCTCTACACAGCTCGCTACTTGACTGGTACCCTGTATTAAGACAGTTACCGGTCTCTACACAGCTCGCTACTTGACTGGTACCCTGTATTAAGACAGTTACCGGTCTCTACACAGCTCGCTACTTGACTGGTACCCTGTATTAAGACAGTTACCGGTCTCTACACAGCTCGCTACTTGACTGGTACCTGGTATTAAGACAGTTACCGGTCTCTACACAGCTCGCTACTTGACTGGTACCTGGTATTAAGACAGTTACCGGTCTCTACACAGCTCGCTACTTGACTCGTACCCTGTATTAAGACAGTTACCGGTCTCTACACAGCTCGCTACTTGACTGGTACCCTGTATTAAGACAGTTACCGGTCTCTACACAGCTCGCTACTTGACTGGTACCCTGTATTAAGACAGTTACCGGTCTCTACACAGCTCGCTACTTGACTGGTACCTGTATTAAGACAGTTACCGGTCTCTACACAGCTCGCTACTTGACTGGTACCTGGTATTAAGACAGTTACCGGTCTCTACACAGCTCGCTACTTGACTGGTACCTGGTATTAAGACAGTTACCGGTCTCTACACAGCTCGCTACTTGACTCGTACCTGTATTAAGACAGTTACCGGTCTCTACACAGCTCGCTACTTGACTGGTACCTGGTATTAAGACAGTTACCGGTCTCTACACAGCTCGCTACTTGACTGGTACCCTGTATTAAGACAGTTACCGGTCTCTACACAGCTCGCTACTTGACTGGTACCTGGTATTAAGACAGTTACCGGTCTCTACACAGCTCGCTACTTGACTCGTACCCTGTATTAAGACAGTTACCGGTCTCTACACAGCTCGCTACTTGACTGGTACCCTGTATTAAGACAGTTACCGGTCTCTACACAGCTCGCTACTTGACTGGTACCCTGGTATTAAGACAGTTACCGGTCTCTACACAGCTCGCTACTTGACTGGTACCTGGTATTAAGACAGTTACCGGTCTCTACACAGCTCGCTACTTGACTGGTACCTGGTATTAAGACAGTTACCGGTCTCTACACAGCTCGCTACTTGACTGGTACCTGGTATTAAGACAGTTACCGGTCTCTACACAGCTCGCTACTTGACTGGTACCTGGTATTAAGACAGTTACCGGTCTCTACACAGCTCGCTACTTGACTCGTACCCTGTATTAGGACAGTTACCGGTCTCTACACAGCTCGCTACTTGACTGGTACCTGGTATTAGGACAGTTACCGGTCTCTACACAGCTCGCTACTTGACTCGTACCCTGTATTAGGACAGTTACCGGTCTCTACACAGCTCGCTACTTGACTCGTACCCTGTATTAAGACAGTTACCGGTCTCTACACAGCTCGCTACTTGACTGGTACCTGGTATTAAGACAGTTACCGGTCTCTACACAGCTCGCTACTTGACTCGTACCTGTATTAGGACAGTTACCGGTCTCTACACAGCTCGCTACTTGACTGGTACCTGGTATTAAGACAGTTACCGGTCTCTACACAGCTCGCTACTTGACTCGTACCCTGTATTAGGACAGTTACCGGTCTCTACACAGCTCGCTACTTGACTCGTACCTGTATTAAGACAGTTACCGGTCTCTACACAGCTCGCTACTTGACTGGTACCTGGTATTAAGACAGTTACCGGTCTCTACACAGCTCGCTACTTGACTGGTACCCTGTATTAAGACAGTTACCGGTCTCTACACAGCTCGCTACTTGACTGGTACCTGGTATTAAGACAGTTACCGGTCTCTACACAGCTCGCTACTTGACTGGTACCTGTATTAAGACAGTTACCGGTCTCTACACAGCTCGCTACTTGACTGGTACCTGGTATTAAGACAGTTACCGGTCTCTACACAGCTCGCTACTTGACTGGTACCTGGTATTAAGACAGTTACCGGTCTCTACACAGCTCGCTACTTGACTCGTACCCTGTATTAAGACAGTTACCGGTCTCTACACAGCTCGCTACTTGACTGGTACCTGGTATTAAGACAGTTACCGGTCTCTACACAGCTCGCTACTTGACTGGTACCTGGTATTAAGACAGTTACCGGTCTCTACACAGCTCGCTACTTGACTGGTACCTGGTATTAAAAATCAAGAGGCTTGCATATAATGAACATATTGACACGGGTGCAGAGTTGAGTCTGTACGGAACCTAGTAGTTTCAGATCCTTGTTTAACTTGCCGTACAGTTACTTGTTAAGACAGTTACCGGTCTCTACACAGCTCACTACTTGACTGGTACCTGATATTAAGACAGTTACCGGTTTCTACACAGCTCGCTACTTGACTGGTACCCTGTATTAAGACAGTTACCGGTCTCTACACAGCTCGCTACTTGACTGGTACCTGGTATTAGGACAGTTACCGGTCTCTACACAGCTCGCTACTTGACTGGTACCTGGTATTAAGACAGTTACCGGTCTCTACACAGCTCGCTACTTGACTGGTACCTGGTATTAAGACAGTTACCGGTCTCTACACAGCTCGCTACTTGACTGGTACCTGGTATTAAGACAGTTACCGGTCTCTACACAGCTCGCTACTTGACTGGTACCTGGTATTAAAAATCAAGAGGCTTGCATATAATGAACATATTGACACGGGTGCAGAGTTGAGTCTGTACGGAACCTAGTAGTTTCAGATCCTTGTTTAACTTGCCGTACAGTTACTTGTTAAGACAGTTACCGGTCTCTACACAGCTCACTACTTGACTGGTACCTGATATTAAGACAGTTACCGGTTTCTACACAGCTCGCTACTTGACTGGTACCCTGTATTAAGACAGTTACCGGTCTCTACACAGCTCGCTACTTGACTGGTACCTGGTATTAAAAATCAAGAGGCTTGCATATAATGAACATATTGACACGGGTGCAGAGTTGAGTCTGTACGGAACCTAGTAGTTTCAGATCCTTGTTTAACTTGCCGTACAGTTACTTGTTAAGACAGTTACCGGTCTCTACACAGCTCACTACTAGTACTTGACTGGTACCTGGTAGTTACTTGATAAATACAGTTAACTCCCATTTACCGTAAATGCAATGGTGGGGAATGTAAATTGTCTCGGTAAATCGAGCATTCCAGTATCGATTGAATTTGTTTTTGAAAACCCTGATCTAAAATAAGTTCTATGTGTACCTCTTAATCCCTGTGTTAATGGTTAGAAAGTTAAAGTTTAACATGACGTTATAACAGTATACTTTTATTGCTACCCCTTTGTAAGTGCCTATTATTAGGCCATATAGGGTTGCATTTGTATTGTTCGAGAGAGAGAAACGTGGCAGGTAAGATTAAATACCCAACCGGTTAAGAGCGTGAATTTGTTGCTCTGGTTGTAATTTCTAATAACTTTGTCCATTTAGGAGCACTTTGTTGTCTGCTTTAATCCAAATATCACGGTTCAGAATTTATTAGCTCCGTAAATTTCTACTTTATTTAGTTCCTTGTATATTGCATGAGAGCACTGTTCTCAGGACAGTGTCGGGACTAACTCGTGTCATATATGTATTTAGGTAACCTTGTCAAAAATGTGACTCGTGAAGAAAAAAATTTAAAATCTGACCTCCACTTAAATTGCAACAAGGAAGAATTACCTGAATGCTCCACCGTCTTTAGTAAAGTTTCTAACCCGCGGCGTATCTTTATCATTTAGAAACGAGTACCCCACCTCCACCCATTCTTGTACATATTCACGTGATATTCGCTCTCCTTGTAGCAACATACTGTGTAAATATATTAGTTACTGAAGTAATGATGTGTTATAATGTGAACTGTCATACTGCTGGCTCATCGCCAATTTTAGGAGTCAAATTAATTGGATGGAATTATATATAAAGCGCAAAATAAAACATCAAACATTAATTAAATATTTTATTTGTTATCATTCAGCAATCCAACAATTCTACTTGAATGATCTAGAACTGAAGAAATTTAGAAATTGTAAATCGATATGGCTGTTTACTTCTCATTGTTATTTAAGATTCACACCTCCTCCAAAAAGAAACCATAATTTTGATTAACTCGATTAGGTTTTAACCTAGATTTTACTGGAACTTGTCGGTGCCTTGGTATTTGTGATTTTCTTTGTTTTGGTTCCTTATTATTTATTGTATCGAGGAGTTTGAGCTCATGTAAACGACTGTATGTTTAACCTTTTTGTAAACTTCATAGACCATAGTTCAGAACATACCAAACATACAGGATCATTATTTAAATCTTAATGAATATAACCTCATATCTTTAGTAATTTAAATAGTACATTTCTTGTTACTTTTAAAATTGCGCCTCGTTTATGAAGATTATTTCCAAATAACAAATTGCACTGTACTCTAGATGAGCAAGGATTTAGTTTTGGAGAACAGATCACACATATATGAAGATGTACAATCAGTACTAGAACATGCAGAGAGCTCTATCGACGAGAAGGACGGAAATACACCTGGAACTTCAACCATGACGCAGCTGACAATTGAGGACAAAGTAATAGAACAGCAGTTTTCACGAACTAAGAAGATTGTTTACTGTATTACTGGGCTGAGTATTGGTATCATTGCTGTAGTGACTATGATAACAGTAGCTCTAACAAAGACTCATTTAGTAAGTTATATTTAATACATCATGATATGACGAGCATGCATACTGTAATATTTATTGTTAAATGACGGTCCGGGTATGATTTAATTTTAAATAATTTAATGATATTCATTCAGTAACTATAAAACTATACACATTAAATTTAAAACAATACAGGATGGAGACAATATAGAAGAAAGACCTAGACTGTGGATATGCACATTGGCAGGGGATAATGCTTCAAAAGTAAGACCGCTTTCATGTCATTATGATTGCATCATACATTAATATCAATGACTCTTTCAGTATCGACCTATCACCAAAGAAATTGTGAAGTTCGTAATTCTCTTGCTAGAAAGCATGAAGAAAGTATACTGTATTGTAATTGTATACTGTAATATGAATTATGACGACATTTTATTTCAGGAAAAGTGTGAAAATGTTGGCTGCACTTACAATGAAACTGCAACTGAGGACACCCCGAATTTCCCAAAATGCTTTTACCCAACAACAAACTTTGGTTACTACGTGGAATCAATTGATAGCAATGGTATTCTTCAGCTGGTTTGGAGGAATAAACCAATGCACCCTACTCAAATACTTCACGTGTCAGTGCAGGTGATTGAGTACTCTAACGAGATCTTTAGAGTTGTCATTAAGGACCCAAAAAAGAAGCGCTATGAGGTTCCAATTGATATTGAGCCAAAAGGAGCTGCAGATATTACAACAAAAATTTACGATGTACAGACATCGGACATTGGAGAAAAGTTTTGGCTTAACGTAATAAGACAATCAAATAACGAAAGCCTTTTTGACACACGAAACACAACGTTGGTCTTCTTGGATCAGTTCTTGGAGATTACATCGATGTTGCCATCTGATCGATTTTATGGCATGCCAGAAAGAGGTGCTCCCTTTGCAAGAAGTATGGAGCACATCAAAATGCCACTGTTTGCCCATGATAATTTCCCATCACCAATTGGACAAAACATCAACCTTTACAGTTCACAGCCATTCTACATGGTGGTTGAAAACAATGGAGATGCCCATGGTGTTATGATCTACAATAGTAATGCAATGGAGGTTTATTTGGCACCAGAACCATCAGTTACTATGCGGGCCATGGGTGGCATATTTGACATGTATTTTTTCTTAGGGCCTACTCCATTGTCAGTCACTAAACAACTTACTGATGTCATAGGCAAACCATTTTTACCCCCATATTGGAGTATTGGATTTCATCTGTGTCGATATGGCTACAAAAGCACTGAAGACACAAGAGCAACCTTCAGCCGAAACTGGGAAAAGGGGTTACCAATGGATGTCCAGTGGCAAGATATCGATTACATGGATCAAAAGCTAATCTTCACAATAGACAGTGAAAAGTTCGATGGGTTGAAGGAGTTTGTGGAGAGTGTGCAAGAAAAAGGCGTGAAATATGTTATAATTGTGGACCCTGCTGTAGGTTACAAGAAGGGCTTTGATGTTTATGAGAGAGGCCATTTTGAAGATGTCTATATCAAAAACATAACTGGTGAAGACATCATAGGAAAGGTTTGGCCAGGAGAAACAGTGTTCCCTGATTTTACGAACATAAAGACTCATGCTTGGTGGAAAATGGAAATGATAGGGTTTCATGATGATTTGCCTTATGATGGCATTTGGCTGGACATGAATGAGCCAGCGAACTTTGACTCTGATGGGACTCATGGCTCCATATATGGCTGTGAAAATAACACAATTAACAATCCTCCATACAAACCGAATACAGCAGGGGATAAAATGTATTACAAGACATTGTGTCTTGATGCAAAACAAGCCTGGGGAATTCAGCGTGATCTTCATAACATCTATGGACTGACTGAAACCAAGGCAACATATGATGCATTAAAGGCCAAGAATGACAGTCAAAAGCCATTTATAATAAGCAGATCCACTTTTCTAGGATCTGGTAAATATGGAGGACATTGGCTTGGTGACAATGAAAGTAACTGGAAGCACCTTAGACAGTCTATCATTGGGATATTGGACTTCAACTTAATAGGCATACCCATGACTGGGGCAGATATAGGTGGATTCTTTGGGAATGCATCAGATGAACTGGCAATAAGGTGGCATCAGTTGGGAGCATGGTATCCTTTTTGTAGGAACCACAACTTCGAAGGGAGCAAAGACCAGGATCCAGCATATATAAATCACAAACATTTGCTATGATAAAGAGAGCAATAGAAATACGTTATGAATTGACACCCTACTGGTACACCCAATTTTACATGTCTCATAAAAGTGGTGAGCCAATAATGCGTGCTACCTTCCAAAATTACCCACAGGACACAAAGCTATTTTCAAAAGATTTTGACAACATCTATACCCAATTCATGATTGGGGAAAGCATATTAGTATGCCCAGTGACAACAGAGAGTAAAACGGAGACCAGGGTTTATCTTCCCACGTCATCTTCATGGTACAAGCATATAAATGGTACATACAGTAAGCAGCCAGCTGGGGACCAGCTAGTGAATGTCCCATATAGTGAGCTTCCTTATTTTATCAAGGGAGGAGAAATACTTTTCATGCAGATGGAGGGACAGACAACAACTTTAAGGCGAGCAAATCCTTATAAAATAGTAGTTTGCCCAGATCAGAATGATCAAGCAATAGGAATTCTATACATTGACAAAGATTTGGATAATCCAGGGGACTATGCTGTGGCGAAAATACATTATACTAGTAATGTCATATCTTTCTCTGCAGTAATATACAACAATTTTACTCTGGAGAATGAGTCTGGCAAATATGGTGATATACTGATAATAGGAGTAAGGGAACAAATAACATCTGTGACCATAGGGGGAGAAGATTTAAAAGATTTTGAGTACATTAGCGAGTCCAACGAACTTATGATTAAATCTGGAAGTATTTCAAAAGCTCTCACAGACTCCTTTGTCATTGAGATGAAGCGGAATCATTTTTGAAAGTGTATTTATGATTTTAGTATAAATATATATTGATGACCGTTTTGCAGTACAAACATACCGTCACTTGTAATGCCTTTAAACACATCTTTAATCCTATGTAGCTGAATTTTTAAATAAAAACGATGCCACCGATTAAAGTATTTTTAAAACAGATTACAGTAGTAGTAGTAGTAAATCTTTCAAAGTACGAAATATCTCTTTAAAAGAGCATCCTAGGCACCTTATAGATATCAAAACGCATAAAAAAGAAAACAAAAACATCAACCATCTTCTAACTTCTTCCATTCCTCCCTATCTAAAGCCAAAAATCTAAGGTCTTCGAAATCAGTCAAATTCTTAAGTCTAATATCAAGATTTCTACTAGTCAAGTCTTTTCTAATAACATCTAATAAGTTTAAACATGGTCTACCCCGTCTCCCTTCCATAAAAATATCAGAATTTATAGCAAATAACATAGAGATGTATGCTGGTGAGTCTTCCTGTCCTCTTAAGATATGTCCTAACATTCTCCATCGAAACTTAGAGACTCTCACAGACAAGGGAGTGACATAACAACGAGCATAGAGTGCCTCATTAGAAATAACCCCAGTAGGCCATCTGATGTTGAGGATTCTTCGGAGGTGTTTGCGATGAGCAATATCAAGTTCATTCAACGAAGCTAGTGGTGCAGCCCAGGAGTTGCAGTTGTAGAGTAGAATAGAGACTACTTGTGCCTCGTAGATTTTGATCTTCCTTTGGACTGAAATCTTGCTCTTCATCCAAACTTTCTGAAATTTACTAAAGGCAACATTACCAAGGAATATTCGATCCTTGATTACAATGTAAAATAATATTTAATCATTATTTTATTGTAAAATTGCTCGCATAGCTGAATTTTGAATTGAGATGTAAAAAAACCAATTTTATTGTTTATCACCAATCTACATAGAAAAAAAATACGCAAATTATATATTTTTAACTTTAAAAAGTGTTTTTGTGCAAAATTTTCAAAAATATGCGCGGCGTTATTTAAAATTGGTCATTTTGCTTCCAATTTTGCTTTTTCCAGAACCCTTGCAACAAGCGCGTCTGCAGTGGCGCGAAAGCACATGAGAGAAAACAATTTTGTTTGAGAAAAGACAATTTTATTATGGTTAGGTGAATTTACATGGTACATGGGGACTGCAAGCTTGCTCTAACCAAAGCCCTTTTACTTGATTGACGTTGTCAACCCTTCAAGATCGTTGCTCTGCTTTGCAGAGCAAGGATCTCGTCTTCACATAGCCATGTGTCTATACTACGCGTACTGCGTGTTACCTGGGGACCTCAGGCTATTATGTTCATAAACATATAAATAGAGATTCGGTGGAATGACAGGCTGAGCGCGGCCCAGTAAACTGCGTGACGCGCTTGTTTCACAAGTAGAATCCTGTGCCGCCTTCGGCGGTCGCGCGCTACTGCAAGCGAAAGGGCTCTGGTTAAAGTAAATCTCATCGATGCGAAGCAAGAATGCTAGTTTGCGCGGCGCGTCGAATTCCTCCAACCCTCTCGCTTGCAGTATTGTAGGTTTATAACCTACCAGGACGCGCGCCGAGTTGGACCCATCGACGGTAGACACATGGCTATGTGGAACTGCAGGCTATTATATTTATGTCCATAATCCGAATAGAGATTAGCTGCGGAATGACAGGCTTTGGAGGGCTTCGATGCGCAAACCAGCATTTTTGCTTCGCATATCTCGATGGGTTGACATCGTCAATCAAAACTGAAGACAGGCTGAGCGCCGCCCAGTAACATGTGCAGTGTCAAGTTATTTGTAATTGTTTATTGTTATTTGATAATTTCGAGAAGAAAGTGCGCTACTTCGAAAAAATCTAAACGTTTGACTTTGATGGATGATACTTGTCTAAATTTCTTCGAAATAGCGCTCCGGGTCAGTCCATTATGCATTAACAATGGACCATCTAAACGAGTATCATTATGATTGATCATTCGTCATTATCTTGGAGGGCTTCGCCGCTTCGACGCGCTGCGCAAACTATCATTCCTACTTCAGTACTTTGCATAGAGATCGTTGTTATGAGTATTGCTGAAAGCACAGTGTAAGGCCTACACGGACCGCCTCTAACTAGCCAATCCCTGTTTACATGCCGTGTAGCAGGGGACTAGAAAGAGCTAAACTAGTAAGCGGGGCATAGCCAATACACTATACTCCCATCATTGAGTATATATCATTAATTTGCAGAGCAACGATCTGGAAGGGTTGACATCGTTAATCAAGTCATTAACTACAAACTAGCTTAAGTTAATTTATTGCTTGCTTCTCTCATATCACGGATAGAAGCTCGAAAATTTTACCCCAATGTATCTCAATTTATTTTGTCCCGCTAATGGCTGAGCAGGACCTTTAATTTGATCACATTCCTATTCATTTCTTCGTTAATTGTGTAGAATCGAGTATTCTTCATTTGAATTAAAAAATGAATGCAGGGTTCGAATAAAATCAGATAAATAATTTTCCTGGTTTACTATCAAATTTTACCACTGTTGAGAGAAATTAATATTATTGTACGTTGCAAAGTAGTACAAAGTAAGGTACCAACATCAATAATATATCATACAAATAAGCACAACATTTCGGTTTCAAATCGCAAATCAAGCGGTTAATTCTTATCGTAGATAATTACTTATTACAAGGATCATTAATCTGGAATGATAAAACCCGTTCGTATTTCCCATTACCAACCCGTTGGTTTAATATTCCCTCAATAAATCAAACAATCAGAAGAATTTACACCTAGGGTCCGAGAACTGATGGAATACAGATTACTAAAGATAACAACAGATAAATACGATACTTATTCCCGTAACCAATCCAAAAGAAGTTAACAAGCTGTAAGTGTAAAGGTGGAACAAATCTAGTGAAACCGAGATATGTAAAGAGCTGCAATATTAATACAATTATATGCACATAAAAACCTGCCTCTACACCTCAAATAATAACCGTGTCAATGTTCAGGAGAACCTCTCTTCATCCGCTACTGACAATTGTCACAGAAAACTCCTTATATGGGCATCACGTGGTGCAGATCTCTGATCTGTGATGAACTTCACGAATGCCAACAAGCTCTGGAGATCAACCGTAGAGTATATCATAGTGACCTGCACAAGACGTTATGAGGTGGTTTTAACAGTAAAATTCTCACTGATATGGTTTTACAGCACAACTGAACAAATGAGTGATAAAAAGAAGGCACAAACCAGGTCTATAGAGTAGAAAGACAGTAGGGTTAGAGCCGTCAGGGATAATCAGCTCTGAAGGGCTTCCCTCTGACCTGTCCACATACACCAGCTTCAGAGGAAAACTCAGGCAGTCAGTCAGGGCTTTTATCTGTAGGTGATCCGCTTCTCTGTCGACTGGCATTACTTCCTGGTACGGGGTTTATTAGAGGGGGGGGGGGACATTACTTCCTGGTGCGGGGTATATTAGTGGGTGGGGGGGGGGGGGGGGGGCATTACTTCCTGGTGCGGGGTATATTAGTGGGGGGGGGGGGGGCATTACTTCCTGGTGCGGGGTAAATTAGTGGGGAGGGGCATTACTTCCTGGTGCGGGGTATATTAGTGGGTGGGGGGGGGGGGGGGGGGGCATTACTTCCTGGTGCGGGGTATATTAGGGGGGGGGGGGGGGGGCATTACTTCCTGGTGCGGGGTATATTAGGGGGGGGGGCATTACTTCCTGGTACGGGGTATATTAGGGGGGGGAGGGGCATTACTTCCTGGTGCGGGGTATATTAGGGGGGGGGGGGGACATTACTTCCTGGTGCGGGGTAAATTAGTGGGGGGGGGGGGGGGGCGCCCATCTATTACAGCAAATATTGCTACCAGCAATTAATTTGTAGTTTCCAAGGACTAGGCACAGTACAATTTTGTGTTAAGCAACACTATGGTTACCATGGTTACCATGGTATTGGTTACCATCATAGTTTGGTGATAGGTCTTCTGGTTATATACTGAGAACTGCGCGGCGTACACACCACCCCAATCAGCTGATCGGCATGTTAGTGTGTTATTATGTAGATGTATTAAATAATAATTTGACCTATCTCTTCGCTTGTTTGCTTTGGTAAATTTTCCGATCACTTAATTATTCACCTGATAAATTAGACGTCACTGACCGAGAGACGTGATGACTTTATGATTGGAACACTAAGATGACATGTAATGGGGGGTACCAATGGCATAGAATGGAGACAAATGGCATAAAATTCATCAAATGGCATAGAAATTTCATGGCATAAATGGAAATTTTGTTTGGCCAATTCTCCATAATGCCATTTATGCCATTGGTACCCCCCCCCCATGTAATTTGTTACAGTAAACAATTTGTAACAGTAAGAGCACGTACTTTGTCACAGAACTCCTTCATATCTTTGTAAAGTCCCTCAACGAAGGGAAGGTACTCGTCTGAGTCCTGTTGAAGTTGTCCGGAAGTAAGCAGACGCACGTACACCACTAAGTAGTTAGACATTCCTTCGTTGTTAAACGTCTGAAAACGTACACACGTGTTTATTGATATTTGTTATAATCAAAACGCGGATTTTAAGATGAACAAGTTGCAAAGTGAGGGTTTTAGTTAAAATATCTAAAATCATTATGTCAAATGTGTTTCATTTAATATATGTATATCAAATAACCTTATCGGCCGTTAAATTACCAATTTTTAGTGAGTGAATGAATTTGTCGCACATATTTTGAATGGTATTATATATTTCATGTTCAAGAGTTTATATTCAAAATAAAATTTTCCCAAATTATTATAAAAATGGGCTCGTTTTTACTTTCTGGAGCTCACCAACTCTCGACTCAACAGTTAGTGAGCTCTATAAATAACAAAATGCCAGCTTTATTAACGAGGTAGAAGACATAAGGTGGCATTACCACAGGGGACAGTACTTTAACAAACAATCATATTTCCAGCGTACAATCTGTGGACTGGTTGGATCACGTGATCACGATAACATCCAAAACCATTATTTTTTTGTTGGGGACCGGCCCGAAGTACCAGCCAATGTTTACTCAAAAAATAATATATATAATAAGTGTTATCAATTCAAACTCAAAACTCACACAAGATAAAATCCCATTAAAACGATTAAAATGTATATAATGGAGCTTGTCGAACAAACATAGCTGAGCACATATAAAGTTGCCTTTAGTTGAAATTATCATATTAATGCGCTTTTAGAGTTGTTAGAGTGGAAACAGGCGCATAGCTACGGCTAGCTTAGTCATGGATCTGACGACATTCCCGTCTATATAACTTCCGCCCCGGGGTTTGAGACTTGGAATACCTCAAGGAACCCATAAAAAACAAATTTGGCTTGGGTAGAAATTTTGGCTATTGGGCAGTTTTGCACAATTGACCACGCCCTTTTTTGGCGCTTTTGCAACTTTAGAATCAAAATAACTCCGCTTCTAATTGGAATTAGAAGCTCAGCTTGGCTTTAAAGTTGTTCAGAATCATCACATTTAGGGGGGTAGAGCATAATTTTAAAGTCAACAGACATCGGGTTGTTGAGTTATGTGACCACACCCTTATTTACCCTCGCGAGTCATGATTTTCACACTAAATACGAGATATCTCGGCTTCTGATTGAGCTACGTGCTCATCCTGGGCATTAAAATGTTCAGAATCATCACATTGAGTAGGGTAGACCACAATTTCAAAGTCCTCAGATGTCAGGTTGTTGAGTTATTAGGCCCCAACCTGTTTTTACGCTCTCGCGGGTAGCGATTGCAGCGCTTAAAATCAAAATAACTCAGCTTCCAATTGAAGTTAGGAGCAAAACTTGGGCAGCAAAATGTTCAAAATCATCACATTGAGTGGGGTAGAACGTAGTTTCAAAGTTCTCAGACGTCAGATTGTTGAGTTATTAGGCCCACACCATAATATTTACACTCTCGCGAGTCGCGAGTCGACACTTAAAATCAAAATAACTCGGCTTCTGATTAGAGTTAGGAACAAAATTGGGCATGTAAATGTTCAGAATTATCATATTAAGTGGGGTAGAACGTGGTTTCAAAGTTCTCAGGCGTCAGGTTGTTGAGTTATTAGGCGGAACCCTATTTTTATTCTCTCACGAGTCGCGAGTCGACACTTAGAATCAAAATAACTCGGCTTCTGATTAAAGTTAGGAGCTAAACTTGGGCATAAAAATGTTCAGAATCATCACATTGAGTGGGATAGAACGTAGTTTCAAAGTCTTCAGACGTCAGGTTGTTGAGTTATTAGGCCCACACCATAATATTTACTCATTCGCAAGTCGCGAGTCGACACTTAAAATCAAAATAACTCGGCTTCTGATTAGAGTTAGGAACTAAACTTGGGCATAAAAATGTTCACAATTCTGGACATTTCTATGCCCAAGTTTTGTTCCTAACTCTAATCAGGAACCGAGTTATCTTGATTTTAAGTGTCGACTCGCCACTCGCGAGAGCGTAAATATTATGGTGTGGGCCTAATAACTAAACAACCTGACGTCTAAGGACTTTGAAACTATGTTCTATCCCACTTAATGTGATGATTTTGAACATTTTCATGCCCAAGTTTAGTTCCTAACTCTTATCAGAAGCAGAGTTATTTTGATTTTAAGCGTCGAATCGGGACTCGCGAGAGCATAAACATTTGGGTGGGGCCTAATAATTCAACAACCTGACGTCTGAGGACTTTGAAACTACGTTCTACCCCACTGAATGTGATGATTGTGAACATTTTGCTGCCCGAGTTTTGCTCCTAACTTCAATTGGAAGCTGAGTTATTTTGATTTTAAGCGCTGCAATCGCTACCCGCGAGAGCGTAAAAACAGGTTGGGGCCTAATAACTCAACAACCTGACATCTGAGGACTTTGAAATTGTGGTCTTCCCTACTCAATGTGATGATTCTGAACATTTTAATGCCCAGGATGAGCACGTAGCTTAATCAGAAGCCGAGATATCTCGTATTTAGTGTGAACATCATGACTCGTGAGGGTAAATAAGGGTGTGGTCACATAACTCAACAACCCGATGTCTGTTGACTTTAAAATTATGCTCTACCCCCCTAAATGTGATGATTCTGAACAACTTTAAAGCCAAGCTGAGCTTCTAATTCCAATTAGAAGCGGAGTTATTTTGATTCTAAAGTTGCAAAAGCGCCAAAAAAGGGCGTGGTCGATTGCGCAAAACTGCCCCATAGCCAAAATTTCTACCCAAGCCTAATTTGTTTCTAATGGGTCCCTTGAGGTATTCCAAGTCTCAAACCCCGGGGCGGAAGTTATATAGACGGGAATGTCGTCAGATCCTTGACTAGCTAGCTATTCCAAAATTTTTAAAATTTAACGACTGTTATCAGTCGCATAGCGTCATGCCGTTTTTGCTGGCGAATTGATGGCAGTGTAACTGAGATGCAGTGAAATTGATTATATATCACGTGAGTGGAATTATAACGACAGAATTTAATAAATTGTGTGTATAACAGGCCCAAAGTTGTGGAAAACTCACTCATAATTCGTAACGCGACCTCAAAGGTCACGCTGTGCTGTAAGTACACGTTTTGAAGAAATTCGATGAAAATTGTAAATCTTATTATCACTCATATTATATGCACAATTCCAATATTCCGCATCGTATCGAATTTCAATTCTTGGAACATTCATTTTATCGTTGTTCAGACAAAATATGTTGGTCCCTATTATAGCGGGGACGTGCTGTGCTTATCTTATTTACTGGATCTTGTGGATTGCATATCAACATCAGTAAGTAGCAGCAAATAGTTACATTACAGTTTACACAGGGGGGGGGGGGGGCCATGACATTTAAAAATTTAAAAATTTAAAAACCCAATTTTTTACAAAATTTCGACCTTAAAGCAAAGTACGAAATAAGTTAAATCCAATATTCTTCTAGAATTTTGATATTATTTCGAACATTAAAAAGCCAATTTTGGAATTTTTCCTGGAACCTACTTTTCTCCAGTGTTTATGTTACCTGATCATTATGAGCCGAAAATATTTTTCAGAGCCTAGCCCTCGAGAATTTTTCCTGAAATTAATGAAATTTCTGATTGATATCCGGCCAAGCACCTTCTAAACTACTAACTATAGCCAGATATCTGATCGATTTCTTAATTTTATCACTATCAGAGTGAAATTTAGTGGAATTTGAATTGCAAAATTGTCGAATCTAGTAGCCTGGTATGAGCCTCTAGTAGCTTGGTATGAGCTTTGAGTAGCCTGGTTCGCGTAAATAAACATGTTAGAGTGCCCAAATAAGGTGCCACATACGTAATTCGATTACCAAAATTAATGGCATAAAATGGAGAACAAAGGTTTTTCCATTTTATCCATAGAAAAAGTCTCCATTTTATTGGCTCCCCCCATTACACGTAATAACAATTATCATACACTTACATATTAAAATATATTTACATATTAACATATATTTACATAATATCTAATAAGTTAGCTCAATGATTCACATTACACACACAGCAAAACATTTTAATAGGTCATCAAGTTCACAGAGAAGTGTTAATTTATATGGGGAATGTAAATGTGGCATTATGTTCGGAAGATTTCGTAATTATTAGTATTATAATTAGTATTATCGTTGAATTGCCTCGAACTACTGATATATTTAGTATTGATCTAATCTCATTTCAGCAAGTGTTCCCACATTCCAGGGCCGGCGAGAACTAGTTTCCTGTTCGGAAATGCGGCTCTCCTAAAGTCGGGAGTAAGAAGAAGGGGTAACTTAGGAAGTTTATTCCATGAACTAACACTGGAATATGGGAACGTGTTCATCTTGTGGAGAGTAACAAACCCCACAGTTGTTACAGCTGATTTACCAGCTGTTAAAGAGTACTATACTAATCTCAAGCTCTTCAAGAAATCCATGAGTCTAGGATTCCTCGGATTGGGTAGCATTGGAAAGACGAACTTTATCGGGGAACACAGCATCCTCTCAGATGCAGGGGGATCCAACTGGGAAAGAAAGAAGAGGATTATGGACCCAGGGTTCAAGATATCCAGACTGCAGAACCACATCTCTAAATTCTACCTGATTGGGGAGCAGGTAGTGGAGGATCTGGAGGCCACCCAACTGAAGGACGGTTTTGTTGAATTCACTAAAGTAATAGCTCCCTACACCATCCACGCTATAAGCTCCGCTGGTTTCAGCGTCATTGAAGATGAGACCCTGCAGGATCTAAGTGAGGGTGCCACCACTATAGCTGACTTCTGGGTCAGCCAGATGAAGGAGTCTCCTCTAAGAAGAACAAAACTTGCGGCAATGTTAGGAATGGACAGTCCTGCGATACCAGCTGCGGAGAAGCAGCTGAAATACGTGAGGGAACTGGGAAAGAAGCTGGTCATGGAGCGTATTAACAGTGGCAAGTTTAATGGGAAAGGAAATGATGCGCTTGATTTCGTGATAATGGCGAATGAAGAGAACGGACAGTTGAACATGGAGAGATGCCTGGACGAGTTCATGTCAATATATGAGGCTGGTAACGTTACCACGGCAACAACCCTGTGTTTTGTAATAGCGGAGCTGATAAGGAACACAGAGTACCTGGATACACTGATAAGGGAGGTGGATGAGATATGGGCTGGGAGAGGTATCACCAGTAGTAGTCCAGATGAGGACGTAGTGGCTGCTCTCAAGGATATGGTATACCTAGATGCTGTTCTGAATGAGACGTTGAGGAGACATCCTCCTGTTACTGTCGGAATGAGGATTCTTCAACAAGACATGAAGGTACTGGACTACATGATCCCAGCTGGAGTCTCCTTCTCGGTTAGTCAGCAGGTTCTTCATCACCACCCTCAATACTGGAGCAACCCTGACATCTTCAATCCGAATAGATTCCTGGAAAACAGCAAGGATATCGTTCCGTTCACTTTTGTTCCCTTTATCGTGGGTCCCAGGAGATGTCTTGGTAAAAACTTTGCAATCTTGGAAATGAAAGTGTTCATTGCAATATGGCTGAGCAGACTAACGTTTGAGAAGTTACCGGGAACAGAAGAGGAGATTGTAACGGAGCAGAGTTTGCTGGTGAGGATGTTAGACAGTAGAACTATCGTTAAAATGAGATGTTAAATGTATCAACATTTGTAATTATGTATTATTAGTATAATTATGTATAATTATGTATTATTATGTATAATTATGTATAATTATGTATTATTAGTGCTCAGTAAACAGTTCTTGCAATAATATCTTTTACTTTGTAAATTGTAATCTTAAAGATGCGCGAATCAACGGTTAAACTATTGGTGTTAAATACAAGTAGTTGAAATTTGGGCCGATAAGTTATTTAAGGCATTTAGTTAAATAACAAGGTACATGTATTTAAATAAGGTATTTGAAAAAACAATTTCTGATGAATTGTAATTAGCTTACCTCCATCAAAGACTCGTAGGTTCCACTATCACAGTGGTTTTTCAGCGTCTCAACAAACTGAAATATTGTTTGGCGTTAATGAAGAACAAAATTACTCATCATAGTTATTCGTTAAGCTGTGATTTAGAGCCTATCTTTCCAATTTTAATAAATATCATTTATTGTTATAGGGTAAAGCACATAATTTTGTCATTTTTTGGCAATTTTCCGACTGCCTGATATAAACCATGGGTTTTAACCTCGTCTGAAATTCCGATTTAGATGAAACCTCCACCATGTTATAGTAGACAGTCTAGGCAAGTTCTAACACAAAAATGATCGAAATTGCTGGGGTTGAAGATGTTCAAAAAAATTATTTTGAAAAAATGACAAAATTAGGTGACTTTACTTAATTTTGTCACCCCGAACCTAATTTTGTCACCTGAAGATTGTGCAAAAATTAACCGTTTCTCGGTATTTTAGACTACCTGGATGCATCATTCGAGCGCTTTTTTACCAACGTTGACCTCAAAAATCCCAAAGATATGATGTTTTCATAGTTTTGTAGCTTGATGAAAAGATGACAATTTTTGGGTATCTAATCTTAGAAAATAGCCCCCAAATGCCCCTGAAACCACTGGCATCTTGAAAACTTTCTATGAAGCATGAATCAATATTGGTTACTGATTCACGAAACTATATTTACCAATAGCTCTTTAAAACCCAGAATTACAGTATATTTCTCGGCGAAAATATGCTATTATAAGTGTTTAAATGCTATTATAAGTGCCTTATACATATCCTATGGGCAAAAAAACTTCAGAATAGTTGTATAAGGCCATTTTCAACACAATCTGTGATTTACAAGAAATTTGAGAAAGGTCGATTTTTTTGACAAAATTAGGTACTTTTGGCAAAATCGAACCTAATTTTGTCACCCTCTGTAACTTGAACAATAATTGCGCTAGAGACTTGAAAATTTGTACGTATACTTCTGCTGTAGAAGATATTTGAAATATGCAATGGCATGAAGCTAGCTCAATTACTTTTGAAATAGCAATAAATCAAAATTTTGAAAATTCCTTAAGAAAACTTTAAGGATCTTATTTATTTTTCGGGTTAACAGTTTCGCCTTCATTTTTGACACAGATGCAAAAGAGCTAGAAACTTAAACTTTGTAGGAGCAGTTTCAGCAAAGTCTAAGCTTTCTTTTTATACACAAACCTTTTCTTTCAAGCTGAAATTCCGAGCCGAGGCAGTTTTTCAGAGCAAAATGACAAAATTAGGTACCCTGACAAAATTACGTGCCTTACCCTACTAAATTTGAGCTTGCGAGACTTGTCACAATTCGTATTAGTAAATTTTCCAGACAAAAATCAAAATCGTGTGTTCTGTTGAAAACAAATAATAAAAACAGCTGTCGGATTATTATGTCAGAATGACAACAATAATAACAATATTAATATTATATTTAAAGTGGATTTATTACAGAAAGACATTCAAAAATTGGGCAAAATTGAAAAAGGGCCGTTCACATATTACGACAGCAATACTCGTCAGCAAGTTTACAAATTTTTATTGTGGAAAAATTTTAGCGTCAGAACTTTGAAACCCCGCCCACTGTTACTATGGTAACTACACTGTTACTATGGTAACTACGCTGATTACTTTGAAACCCCGCCCACCTACGCTGATTGCTACCCAGTATGAGATATTGCTGACGTAATACGTGAATTCCTTTTAATAGATTCAAGCATTTTCAAAACAATCATCACATTTAAGTTCGATAATGTCGGATGTTTAGAATCCAAAAAAGATCAAAAGTATCATTAAATTAGCCTGGATAATTAGCCTGGATGCTTGAGGGACAGGGTCGTTCCAATATGGATTCAACCTCGAGACATTCTGTAGGATTTTCCTAAACTCATATTGTTAAATTATCATTAACATAAATATACAGGGTGGGCCAAAAGTCAGTACGCATACGTTGGGTCTTATACCTCCGCCGTCTTTTATATTTGAGAGTTGTTGCTTTGCAGATGGCATAGTGTACCTACTTGTTTGAGGATTCCGTCGCCAAAATTTGAAAATTCGAATATTTTAGACCACGCCCATTCAATATTAAAACACCTATATTGTTCTCTGTGAACATGTTGGACGCCTAATTTTTTCTGAGACGGTAGATTATTACATTTTGCATCTGATCTGAAAAAATGATGTGAAACAGATTAGAAATGACAAAGTTATCAAGCGATTTGTGTATCTCGTTAGCAAAATTGATTGGGTGATTATGTGACACCGTGACATTCCCATAATGTTCAACGGGGTAGTTACCGGGGTCACCTTATCACGTGATTAGGTAAGCCAATCACCTGATCACACGTAATGAATAAACTCGTTATGCTTCGTATCTCGGTCATCTGAGAAGCTATAACTCTAATTTTTTCACGACAAACGTAATTCGAATGGCCAAACACAATTCAATAAATTTTAGCTCGATCCTACTATCCAAATTATCAAATAAATGCGAAAATGAATCTTCATTGGAAAAAAATGAACACGAATATTTTTCGAGTTGACAAATTCCCCGAACCAGTGGTGGTACTAAGTTATACCAGAAAGAATTATTTCAATTGGGTACTCAGTGAATGAGCTATAAAGGCCAACGTATGGGTACTGACTTTTGGCCCACCCTGTATCAATAATAATAAGTCATATCTTAACTACAGAAATGGATCTTTTGGGACTTTAATTAAGTTAATGAATCCCTATTTTCAAAAAAGCAGCTATTAACAACCGCGAATTTGTTTCAAACTAAAATATCATAAGCTATCTGATATACTATCCAAATGGTAACTACACTGTTACTATGGTAAATATCCTAATGACCCTAGACAGAATGCAATATCATTTAAACTTGAATTTTCCACACAAAACACACATTAACTTATCTTTAACCCCATTTAATAATAAGATAAAGAAAAAAAGAAGAAAACACGAAATTTAAAGTTACATTGACAAGCTCCTCACTCTCACAGAACTCTCACAGAACAGCGAGACACAACACAGCGTATATCGGAATAATGAGATTATCAATATCCTGAGTGTAAACCTCCAATAAACTAGACAATATCATGACACTCCCGAGGATGAGCGCGTCGTTAGCCCCCCTAGCACCCCACTTAAGATAAGGTCCTATCAGCACCATGAATAGAGCCTGTCCGGCTATGTTCCCCAGTAGACCCTCCACTGTTTTGTGAGTGCCGGGCAACTTGACACGCCCAAATGCAGTGCCTATCAGAGCTGCACACGCGTCTCCAACCCCAATGGTCATGACTCCGGTGTACGGTAAAACAGATTGTAGGAATGTGGTAGAAGCCCGGGTTGTCAGCATTTCGACAGAAAATGTCCCAAAACGAGTCCAAACAGGTATCGAGAGTCCGATAAGTAAGTAAAAAGGAGTTAAAACCAGGGGCTCCACATCCTGGGACCCTTTGAACTTTAGAAGTTGCACTCTGAGGAAAGTAACACCTCTACAGTACGCTACTTCACAGAAAAACATGACAAATGTCAGAGCAGCACAAGCGGTGGAGAGCAGCTGAGGACAGGTTGTAATACCACTCACAAACACGATGCACACAAACACGTGGTATACTTTGCGTTGTACATGCAGGTTCAGGCCAGGGAAGGGGAATAGGGTGAACAGCAGAGCTAGCCCAGAACAAACTGTCCAATTAGCAACTAGATACCTGTGATTGTTCAAATTAGCTAGGGTATCATGGAGGATGTGCTCTATTCTTAGGAAGTGGCTCGCCATGTTCTTGGAGAAAATCACAGCAATCCAAGCAAAGAGAGCTATCAGGATCAAGATAGTGTCTCTGTCCAGCTGAGGGGGCAGAACAAGATAAACTGCAATGGAAACGAGACAGAGGAGCACAAAAAGCGAGGAGCTATCAAATATGGCCTTGTAAACCGCGTAGGATAAGTAGGTAGTAGCGAGCACGTACTCGCTAACACTAAAACAGCGCCTCACTTCAAATAGTACGATAGTTATCAGGCACATGAGCAAAAAGAGAAAAACAAGCAAACCACAACTGGGTCCTATCAACAAGATGAGGGCTATGTTGGTCGCTAGCACGTGCAATGAGTGCTCCAAGTGTCGGTTACATTCTTTACTCACTCCAACAAACATGACCGCTAAAACTCCTGAAACTAGAAACTCGTGGGGCACTTTGCCTTCAGGCAGTGAGTTAGCGACAAGGGTTAAAATAATGGCAGACAATGGCGGGCGCTTTACCCTGAAGTCCTCATAAAGCTTCGGCTTGGAGCGGACGATGTGAAACTTGGTGAGGTACCAAACAGAGAACGTAGGCTGCAACATGGAAACGAGAAGAGTGAAGTTTTTAAGGTAGATGAAATGATGGCAGGTAGGGACCTGTAGAACCATTAGGAGAGAGTAGAGACTCAGCTCTACTATCTGAGATAACATCCTACCTAGTGAGATATATCAGTGTTAGTTAAATAATGTAGATTACTCCTATTCACGATAGTTCAGGTCGACCATCGACGCCTCTTGTCCACATTACGGTTGTGGTCATTGTCACTCGATCGATCGCAAGCAACGCGCGCGGAATTGAAATCGTACTAAAACGCGCGTCAAATTTGCGCTTTACTCATCACAAAAAATTGCTCCGCTGCTTCCAATTAAGTCGTCTAGTAGACTTCTTGTGACGAGGCCCGGCAGTTGTCAAATTACCTAAGCAGCAAAATTAAGACCGTCATATTTTTGCAAATAATATGGGCGGTGATGCCTGGTTACAGCTGTGGTCGCCATTTCAACTGTACAATTATACGCTTTCTATAGAAACATATTTAGACAGTGTTGTTGCAAAATAATTTCAGTAGAAAGTGAACTCCATGTTTGAAGTCAGTTTCTTTCTAGGAATTAAAAATGTGAGATGATATGGAAAATATGTAAGTTGGAGTTGCAACATTCCTTTTAAAGGTATTGCAGAATTAACGGAATGTTCCAACGAATTGGCAATATTTCATGTTAGTCTGTTTAGTGCCCGTTTAAAGAAACGGTCACAATTTGTCGATACATTAGGTATGATACCTAGAATCACAGGCCCTTGAATTCCTTGATTGTAGCTGCTATATAAACTGCAAATAAACGGGTAAAATTAGTGAATCTCGGAGTTACATAATGCATACTTAGTGCCATACGTTAATAGTTTTGAAATGTTTAGTACAATAACAAATAAACTGAATACAACTTAAAGTTAATTGTCTAATGTTTCGGTGATATCTAAGGAACAACTTTAAATGTTTCCTCCGAGAAATATTTTAATGCAACATTAAAAGATTATGGAAGTGGTCCATTAAATTACACTAATTAATTAATTAATTAAATTACACTACTAAATGTACTCACAGTATCGTGAAAGTCCTCAGTAGTAAAACTTGGCATCCCTAACTTTACCAACCATGCTAATGTGGTGTCCAGCTTTTTGTATACCCTGAAATTAAGTGATATGTTGGAAAAGTTTCAGAACTGAAAAGCTGAGACGTTATGTATTAAGCCAACTAATTAATTACACAAGAATTATAATATTTTCCAACAGGTATTATTGTATTATAAACATACAAAGAATGTATGCACATTGCACAAAGTATTTATCCAACGATTTTGGATGTCAAATTTTATATGATTCCACTGTGAAAAATTGAACAATCAATCATCATATTATTGAAAAGTGAATAACAAACACTTTGTGTACAAAATAAGTCAGAGAATGTGAAAATTGGACGTAAAATGTGGAAAATGGTAAAATGTGGAAATGCAATTCATAATTATCAGTTTTCTCTGGCCCACCCTGTATAATATCATTTAAATGAAAATAATTGGAAAGATAAGCTAAAAACGCCACGTCTTCAACAACAAATATAGAATTTGAGAGGTCTGACAGCAGAGATTTAAAAATACGACCGATTCACCGATTTGTCGAAGTAGATATTGTTAATCAGAGCTATTTGCATATTTTAACGAATATACTAATGCGTTTTAAGCAATTATTCCTGCAGCAAGGTATGCAAGAATTATGCGTTACAAAATATTGTCAGATAAATTTCAAATATACTGACACATATTCAATATTCATCAGTATATTATTTACGGTAATTAGAGTTGTATATAGTGTTACAAATACCTGAATCTATTTATTAATATTATGCTTGAATATATTGCATAGTTTGTTACATATTTTATCTCACATTTGCAGTGACAATCTTCATCTTACTTTTCAACATCTTGGAATTTCACAAACTAATGTGAAAATGACCAAACAATAAATAAGTCAACAAACATTAAATAAGTCGTCATTTTCATCATTAAAAATGATTATCTTAATATAATGAATGACGAGAGATTTACCCTATAAGTTGAGACAATTATCTAATATAAGAGAGTGAAGAAAACACAGTCAGCTCATTAATGAAAGCTCCACTGTAAAGAAATGAACAGAACGTAAACAACTTTATACAATATAACTTTATTACAACTTTACAACAGTAGCAGAGACTAAATTACAAGATTTAACAAAAACCAAAGCAAATGTGCAAGAAATGTATTATAATGTTACTTTAGAAGTCTCACATGAAGACTTACAAACTAGACATATAACTAAATATGCACAGAATAAATACAAAATATGTAAAAAATAAATACCATTAAGATACATTAACTACTTGTGTAATGTGTAGCTAACTACTTTTAATAACCTAATTATCGCCGCTTTATCTAACTATAAACAAAACAATATCGGGCTTGATGAGGATCAAGTGATATCATGTAAGCCAAAAGCTAAGTATATAACTTCAACCTCCGTGCCGGAACAAATAAATTGCGGCTAATTTAAATAATTTTCGTAATAAATTGACAGAGGATTAAATTCTAAAATATGCTTAGAATTATGAATAATGTTTATGTAGATGCAAAGTTTCTCGATTTAATTGGCCTGGTTTAAGAATTGTCCGGTTATGAAAATGTCCGCGATTTATTGTTGTGTTGTGTTGGGGGGGGGGGGGGGGGGGGGGGGGGTTGTGTTCCACAAGCAGAGTCAGTTGATAAGGAGGGAACAAGTAGAATTATATAACGGTATTTAACGTGTGATAGTTAATACTCAATTAATACGTAGTGGGCAGGATAGTAAAAATTACAACTCTCCCAGGTGCTACTCCGCAAGCAGCCGTTCCCTTGGTGACGTGGTGCACCTTGTCAGCTGCTCAGACTCTAATTTTACAATTTAATATTCCTTGTAACTTAACAGAGATCACAATAATATAATGTTACTTTATCTTACTTAATGTTATAATTTTACTAGCTCTAAGTAAATTAAAGGAAATTAGTGATGAATTTTAAGATTAACGAACAGTAAGATCTAGTACTTATATAACTCAAGTAACGAACAGTAAAATGTAGTAAGAATGCTGACTTGTCTGACTCAATGAGTTAGTTATCTAGTAACTAAGTAAATCTATATCTCTCCGACCAATACAACAATGAGATGTGACGAAATGTAAAAGTAACCAATACAACATTCAGAAAAGTCCTTAAGGAAACATCGACAAGGCTTAATAAAGGTATAGAGCGCGAACAAACTAAGTCTGAAAATGTACAAATACTAAGATATTATGGGTTCCCACGAAGTTAGATCCGCACAGCTGGTGCTACTCCGCAAGCATCCAGACATGTTAGAATCGTACAACTGTGAGCGGGAATGAGGGATCTGTGAGTATTAATACAGCCCTAATTATCTGATTTATTACACCTGACTTGATATTGTGAACCTAGTTACATGTTATTGGGTGAGATAGTACCAAGATATGAATTATAGTAGTAAGCATAATGGTACTTATCAAGTTATCACTTATGCCCGGTACTTAAAAGTAAGGCACATGTTTTTCCGTATATAACTCTCTTTTTTTACCAAGATAGGAATTATTGTCTGATCCAGAAAGTCTGAGATAATCCAATATAATCCAGAAACTTCTAGAACAAAAACGTAATATCAAATCCAACAAAGGATTAATTTAATTAATTAAATTATTAATTTACGCACTTTTCCTTCAGAGCAGGATCTTTCTGGCAGCTATCAAACAGAGTGTAAGTGTAGGCGCGGTAAAAACAGTTACCATCTCCTCGTACTCTCCGGATATTAGTGTAGCTCTTAGATAGGTACTGAAACAAGGTTAGGGTTAAATTAACGATATTTTATTGTGTACGCTAATTTAACAATGTAGATATTCAATACGCCATGTATAAGTGTATTATATGAAGTATTGTATACTCTGCGTGTATTTACTCTATGAAATGTAAAATATCGAAACCAGAGATCTACCGGGGCCGGGCATGAGTACTTTTTTAGCCGGGAAAGGAACTGTCTTAGTGATTGTATGCATATTATCATGAATATGTAATTAGTTAATTAGGTAATTAGTTTGGATGACAAAGCGTAGAATATGGTTATAAGATAAAACCTGAGCGAGAATTTAAAGTCGGCGGAGTGCTGAAAATATTAATACTTAAATAATTGTACGTATAGAAAATAGTAAACTGTTTAAAATCAGTTGAGTTGGTTAGTCAGTCAACATACTCACAAAATGAGTACATGAAAATTCTGCAGACTAATTGGTATGTACATACATTCCGTAATAATTGCATACATTCCACGTGTAGGTACTGTTAATTATGTTGTATAATTATGACTATAATTATCGCATATACACGATTTAACGTGCATTCTAATGTAACGTTAGTGTATTTTGAGTAGTGCTACTGGTAAGTTATATTATTCATAGCGTAAACTGTGTGTGTAGTTGTGTACACACTCATCCCCTCGCTTTGTGAATATCATTACCATTTTAACATCTACTTTCTAAATCTTAGAGTAAGTAGCGAAAATTGTGAGGAGAAATATTGCGGAATATATCCTGGAATCTGGCCAACTTCACCGTTAAAATAGTGAGGAGCTGTTTTGTTATGGTGAGGAGGATTGTGAGGGTAACTAGCGCTGACAGAACATTTAGTACTAAAGCTACATTAAGTACTAAAGCTACATTTAGTACTAAAGCTACATTAAGTACTAAAGCTACATTTAGTACTACAGCTACATTAAGTACCACAGCTTGAGAAGCTGTGTTATTTACTAGTAATTATATTCATCACGTCCCGAACTAGAGAAATCTTACTACGTAACCTGATACAGCTTCATTAGTAATGTTAATGTATTGAATAGGTGTATAGGGGAGGTTGAAGAATATTGGTTAGATAGAGGCATAGAGCCCCCCCTCCTCTTCCTACACCCCTGAGATAGAGGTTAAGAGATAAAGCCCCCTACCTCCCCTCTTCCTACACCCCTGAGATAGAGGTTAAGTGATAGAGCCCCCCCCCTCTTCCTACACCCCTGAGATAGAGGTTAAGAGATAGAGCCCCCCTCCTCTTCCTACACCCCTGAGATAGAGGTTAAGAGATAGAGCCCCCTACCCCCCCCTCTTCCTACACCCCTGAGATAGAGGTTAAGTGATAGAGCCCCCCCTCTTCCTACACCCCTGAGATAGAGGTTAAGAGATAGAGCCCCCCTCCTCTTCCTACACCCCTGAGATAGAGGTTAAGAGATAAAGCCCCCCTCTTCCTACACCCCTGAGATAGAGGTTAAGAGATAGAGCCCCCCCTCTTCCTACACCCCTGAGATAGAGGTTAAGAGATAAAGCCCCCCTCTTCCTACACCCCTGAGATAGAGGTTAAGAGATAGAGCCCCCCCCTCTTATTACACCCCTGAGATAGAGGTTAAGAGATAAAGCCCCCTACCCCCCTCTTCCTAAACCCCTGAGATAGAGGTTAAGTGATAGAGCCCCCTCTTCCTACACCCCTGAGATTGAGATAGAGGTCAAGAGCCCCCCTCTTCCTACACCCCTGAGATAGAGGTTAAGAGATAGAGCCCCCCTCTTCCTACACCCCTGAGATTGAGATAGAGGTTAAGAGCCCCCTCTTCCTACACCCCTGAGATAGAGGTTAAGAGATAGAGCCCCCCCTCTTCCTACACCCCTGAGATAGAGGTTAAGAGATAGAGCCCCCTGCCACCCCTCTTCCTACACCCCTGAGATACACCCCTGAGATAGAGGTTAAGAGATAGAGCCCCCTGCCCCCCCTCTTCCTACACCCCTGAGATAGAGGTTAAGTGATAGAGCCCCCCCTCTTCCTACACCCCTGAGATTGAGATAGAGGTTAAAAGCCCCCCTCTTCCTACACCCCTGAGATAGAGGTTAAGAGATAGAGCCCCCTCCTCTTCCTACACCCCTGAGATTGAGATAGAGGTTAAGAGCCCCCCTCTTCCTACACCCCTGATAAAGAGGTTAAGAGATAGAGCCCCCCTCTTCCTACACCCCTGAGATTGAGAAAGAGGTTAAGAGCCCCCCTCTTCATACACCCCTGAGATAGAGGTTAAGAGATAGAGCCCCCCTCTTCCTACACCTGCACCCCTGAGATAGAGGTTAAGAGATAGAGCCCCCCTCTTCCTACACCCCTGAGATAGAGGGTAAGAGATAGAGCCCCCTCTTCCTACACCCCTGAGATAGAGGTTAAGAGATAAAGCCCCCCTCTTCCTACACCCCTGAGATAGAGGTTAAGAGATAAAGCCCCCCTCTTCCTACACCCCTGAGATAGAGGTTAAGAGATAGAGCCCTCCTCTTCCTACACTCCTGAGATAGAGGTTAAGAGATAGAGCCCCCCTCTTCCTACACCCCTGAGATAGAGGTTAAGAGATAGAGCCCCCCCTCTTCCTACACCCCTGAGATAGAAGTTAAGAGATAGAGCCCCCTCCTCTTCCTACATCCCTGAGATAGAGGTTAAGAGATAGAGCCCCCTCCTCTTCCTACACCCCTGAGATAGAGGTTAAGAGATAAAGCCCCCCTCTTCCTACACCCCTGAGATAGAGGTTAAGAGATAAAGTCCCCCTCTTCCTACACCCCTGAGAGTGAGATAGAGGTTAAGAGATAGAGCCCCTCCTTTCCTACACCCCTGAGATAGAGGTTAAGAGATAGAGCCCCCTCCTCTTCCTACACCCCTGAGAGTGAGATAGAGGTTAAGAGATAGAGCCCCCTCCTCTTCCTACACCCCTGAGAGTGAGATAGAGGTTAAGAGATAGAGCCCCCTTCTCTTCCTACACCCCTGAGAGTGAGATAGAGGTTAAGAGATAGAGCCCCCTCCTCTTCCTACACCCCTGAGAGTGAGATAGAGGTTAAGAGATAGAGCCCCCTCCTCTTCCTACACCCCTGAGAGTGAGATAGAGGTTAAGAGATAGAGCCCCCTCCTCTTCCTACACCCCTGAGAGTGAGATAGAGGTTAATAGATAGAGCCCCCTGACCCCTCCTCTTCCTACACCTCTGAGAGTGAGATAGAGGTTAAGAGATAGAGCCCCTCCTCTTCCTACACCCCTGAGAGTGAGATAGAGGTTAAGAGATAGAGCCCCCTCCTCTTCCTACACCCCTGAGAGTGAGATAGAGGTTAAGAGATAGAGCCCCTCCTTTCCTACACCCCTGAGATAGAGGTTAAGAGATAGAGCCCCCTCCTCTTCCTACACCCCTGAGAGTGAGATAGAGGTTAAGAGATAGAGCCCCCTCCTCTTCCTACACCCCTGAGAGTGAGATAGAGGTTAAGAGATAGAGCCCCCTCCTCTTCCTACACCCCTGAGAGTGAGATAGAGGTTAAGAGATAGAGCCCCCTCCTCTTCCTACACCCCTGAGAGTGAGATAGAGGTTAAGAGATAGAGCCCCCTCCTCTTCCTACACCCCTGAGAGTGAGATAGAGGTTAATAGATAGAGCCCCCTGACCCCTCCTCTTCCTACACCTCTGAGAGTGAGATAGAGGTTAAGAGATAGAGCCCCTCCTCTTCCTACACCCCTGAGAGTGAGATAGAGGTTAAGAGATAGAGCCCCCTCCTCTTCCTACACCCCTGAGAGTGAGATAGAGGTTAAGAGATAGAGCCCCCTCCTCTCCGTACACTCCTGAGATAGAGGTTAAGAGATAGAGCCCCCTGACCCCTCCTCTTCCTACACCCCTGAGAGTGAGATAGAGGTTAAGAGATAGAGCCCCTCCTCTTCCTACACCCCTGAGAGTGAGATAGAGGTTAAGAGATAGAGCCCCCTCCTCTTCCTACACCCCTGAGAGTGAGATAGAGGTTAAGAGATAGAGCCCCCTCCTCTTCCTACACTCCTGAGATAGAGGTTAAGAGATAGAGCCCCCCTCTTCCTACACCCCTGAGATAGAGGTTAAGAGATAAAGCCCCCCCCTCTTCCTACACCCCTGAGATAGAGGTTAAGAGATAGAGCCCCCTCCTCTTCCTACACCCCTGAGATAGAGGTTAAGAGATAAAGCCCCCCTCTTCCTACACCCCTGAGATAGAGGTTAAGAGATAAAGCCCCCCTCTTCCTACACCCCTGAGAGTGAGATAGAGGTTAAGAGATAGAGCCCCCTCCTTTCCTACACCCCTGAGATAGAGGTTAAGAGATAGAGCCCCCTCCTCTTCCTACACCCCTGAGAGTGAGATAGAGGTTAAGAGATAGAGCCCCCTCCTCTTCCTACACCCCTGAGAGTGAGATAGAGGTTAAGAGATAGAGCCCCCTCCTCTTCCCACACCCCTGAGAGTGAGATAGAGGTTAAGAGATAGAGCCCCCTCCTCTTCCTACACCCCTGAGAGTGAGATAGAGGTTAAGAGATAGAGCCCCCTCCTCTTCCTACACCCCTGAGAGTGAGATAGAGGGTAAGAGATAGAGCCCCCTCTTCCTACACCCCTGAGATAGAGGTTAAGAGATAAAGCCCCCCTCTTCCTACACCCCTGAGATAGAGGTTAAGAGATAAAGCCCCCCTCTTCCTACACCCCTGAGATAGAGGTTAAGAGATAGAGCCCTCCTCTTCCTACACTCCTGAGATAGAGGTTAAGAGATAGAGCCCCCCTCTTCCTACACCCCTGAGATAGAGGTTAAGAGATAGAGCCCCCCCTCTTCCTACACCCCTGAGATAGAAGTTAAGAGATAGAGCCCCCTCCTCTTCCTACATCCCTGAGATAGAGGTTAAGAGATAGAGCCCCCTCCTCTTCCTACACCCCTGAGATAGAGGTTAAGAGATAAAGCCCCCCTCTTCCTACACCCCTGAGATAGAGGTTAAGAGATAAAGTCCCCCTCTTCCTACACCCCTGAGAGTGAGATAGAGGTTAAGAGATAGAGCCCCTCCTTTCCTACACCCCTGAGATAGAGGTTAAGAGATAGAGCCCCCTCCTCTTCCTACACCCCTGAGAGTGAGATAGAGGTTAAGAGATAGAGCCCCCTCCTCTTCCTACACCCCTGAGAGTGAGATAGAGGTTAAGAGATAGAGCCCCCTTCTCTTCCTACACCCCTGAGAGTGAGATAGAGGTTAAGAGATAGAGCCCCCTCCTCTTCCTACACCCCTGAGAGTGAGATAGAGGTTAAGAGATAGAGCCCCCTCCTCTTCCTACACCCCTGAGAGTGAGATAGAGGTTAAGAGATAGAGCCCCCTCCTCTTCCTACACCCCTGAGAGTGAGATAGAGGTTAATAGATAGAGCCCCCTGACCCCTCCTCTTCCTACACCTCTGAGAGTGAGATAGAGGTTAAGAGATAGAGCCCCTCCTCTTCCTACACCCCTGAGAGTGAGATAGAGGTTAAGAGATAGAGCCCCCTCCTCTTCCTACACCCCTGAGAGTGAGATAGAGGTTAAGAGATAGAGCCCCTCCTTTCCTACACCCCTGAGATAGAGGTTAAGAGATAGAGCCCCCTCCTCTTCCTACACCCCTGAGAGTGAGATAGAGGTTAAGAGATAGAGCCCCCTCCTCTTCCTACACCCCTGAGAGTGAGATAGAGGTTAAGAGATAGAGCCCCCTCCTCTTCCTACACCCCTGAGAGTGAGATAGAGGTTAAGAGATAGAGCCCCCTCCTCTTCCTACACCCCTGAGAGTGAGATAGAGGTTAAGAGATAGAGCCCCCTCCTCTTCCTACACCCCTGAGAGTGAGATAGAGGTTAATAGATAGAGCCCCCTGACCCCTCCTCTTCCTACACCTCTGAGAGTGAGATAGAGGTTAAGAGATAGAGCCCCTCCTCTTCCTACACCCCTGAGAGTGAGATAGAGGTTAAGAGATAGAGCCCCCTCCTCTTCCTACACCCCTGAGAGTGAGATAGAGGTTAAGAGATAGAGCCCCCTCCTCTCCGTACACTCCTGAGATAGAGGTTAAGAGATAGAGCCCCCTGACCCCTCCTCTTCCTACACCCCTGAGAGTGAGATAGAGGTTAAGAGATAGAGCCCCTCCTCTTCCTACACCCCTGAGAGTGAGATAGAGGTTAAGAGATAGAGCCCCCTCCTCTTCCTACACCCCTGAGAGTGAGATAGAGGTTAAGAGATAGAGCCCCCTCCTCTTCCTACACTCCTGAGATAGAGGTTAAGAGATAGAGCCCCCCTCTTCCTACACCCCTGAGATAGAGGTTAAGAGATAGAGCCCCCCCTCTTCCTACACCCCTGAGATAGAGGTTAAGAGATAGAGCCCCCCCCTCTTCCTACACCCCTGAGATAGAGGTTAAGAGATAGAGCCCCCTCCTCTTCCTACACCCCTGAGATAGAGGTTAAGAGATAAAGCCCCCCTCTTCCTACACCCCTGAGATAGAGGTTAAGAGATAAAGCCCCCCTCTTCCTACACCCCTGAGAGTGAGATAGAGGTTAAGAGATAGAGCCCCCTCCTTTCCTACACCCCTGAGATAGAGGTTAAGAGATAGAGCCCCCTCCTCTTCCTACACCCCTGAGAGTGAGATAGAGGTTAAGAGATAGAGCCCCCTCCTCTTCCTACACCCCTGAGAGTGAGATAGAGGTTAAGAGATAGAGCCCCCTCCTCTTCCCACACCCCTGAGAGTGAGATAGAGGTTAAGAGATAGAGCCCCCTCCTCTTCCTACACCCCTGAGAGTGAGATAGAGGTTAAGAGATAGAGCCCCCTCCTCTTCCTACACCCCTGAGAGTGAGATAGAGGTTAATAGATAGAGCCCCCTGACCCCTCCTCTTCCTACACCCCTGAGAGTGAGATAGAGGTTAAGAGATAGAGCCCCCTCCTCTTCCTACACCCCTGAGAGTGAGATAGAGGTTAAGAGATAGAGCCCCCTCCTCTCCCTACACCCCTGAGAGTGAGATAGAGGTTAAGAGATAGAGCCCCCCTCTTCCTAAACCCCTGAGAGTGAGATAGAGGTTAAGAGATAGAGCCCCCTCCTCTCCCTACACCCCTGAGAGTGAGATAGAGGTTAAGAGATAGAGCCCCCTCCTCTCCCTACACCCCTGAGAGTGAGATAGAGGTTAATAGATAGAGCCCCCTCCTCTCCCTACACCCCTGAGAGTGAGATAGAGGTTAAGAGATAGAGCCCCCTCCTCTCCCTACACCCCTGAGAGTGAGATAGAGGTTAATAGATAGAGCCCCCTCCTCTCCCTACACCCCTGAGAGTGAGATAGAGGTTAAGAGATAGAGCCCCCTCCTCTCCCTACACCCCTGAGAGTGAGATAGAGGTTAAGAGATAGAGCCCCCTCCTCTTCCTACACCCCTGAGAGTGAGATAGAGGTTAAGAGATAGAGCCCCCTCCTCTCCCTACACCCCTGAGAGTGAGATAGAGGTTAAGAGATAGAGCCCCCTCCTCTTCCTACACCCCTGAGAGTGAGATAGAGGTTAAGAGATAGAGCCCCCTCCTCTTCCTACACCCCTGAGAGTGAGATAGAGGTTAAGAGATAGAGCCCCCTTCTCTTCCTAAACCCCTGAGAGGTTAAGTGTGCCGGCGGGGGGGGGGGGGGGGGGGGCCTTAAGTGTGAGGGTTGTAGTACCCGTCTAACAGATACACTAAATATAACAACAGTCGACTGGTAAATAAAAAAGTAATACCTGATCACATACTGTAAATATGCTTTAACGTAATGTAAATAGGTTGCATAAATTCATTTATGACACAATGTTTCATTCAGTTATATTTTAATCTTGGGAATATGAAAATCAAACACCAGATATACAGAGAAATAATAATTAATTAAATAAGTTAACAACCTCTATTTTAGCGAGGAACCTGTATTGGGAATATTAAAATCAAACACCAAATATACAGAGAAATAGTAATTAATTAAATAAGTTAAAGACCTCAATTTTAGCGAGGAACCTGTATTGGGAATATTAAAATCAAACACCAAATATACAGAGAAATAATAATTAATTAAATAAGTTAACAACCTCTATTTTAGCGAGGAACCTGTATTGGGAATATTAAAATCAAACACCAAATATACAGAGAAATAGTAATTAATTAAATAAGTTAAAAACCTCAATTTTAGCGAGGAACCTGTATTGGGAATATTAAAATCAAACACCAAATATACAGAGAAATGATAATTAATTAAATAAGTTAAAAACCTCTATTTTAGCTAGGAACCCCTCGTTCTGAACGTATTCCGGCTTCAGGTTCTCCACTGGTTCAGGTTCACTTACAAGAGGTGATTTACAGGCGATATCCTTGGTAATCTGGTCCATTTGGGCGATAATGTTCTCATCATGCAGCATATAATCTGCTGAAATGTTTACAGTATCAACTATCATCATTAGTTATTTTTACCTAGCTAACAATAAATCGTATAAATTTGTAGTTCATCAAGCTGATTAACTAAAAATACCAAAAGACTTGGACACTAGTAAAGAAGTAAGATAGTGAAAGTTGTTCAGAGATCTGATTTATCACTGCTAGCAGGTGATTAATTATTGACTGTGACAGAAACATGGCCCAGCCAGTATTCTTGAAGTCAGTTACAATATTTAGCAGAAAAGGGTTTAGATACTTTGAGCCCAGACAGCTCTTAGAGGTAGCATTTGGTAAGGGCAGTAAATTAACAGTAGTATAATTTGTTGAAATTGTCGCTGAATCGAATGGATGGCTCTAACTTCAATTTATATCAGTTTCTTCTCGTAGTGTTCGTACCTTAGCGTCCACCCCAGCAATATAATGCCAGTGTGGATAGAAAGGACGAAGTGGTGTTTGCAACGGGAACGCTAATGATCTCATTAAGTAAGGCATCAGAACTAAGTTGCTATTTAAATTGTTCAAAGGTTAATGTGAAAAGGACACGTTCTTATGGAACATAGAAAAATATTTCCCTGTGTTTGAAATTGTATAACTGAAACCTAAGGAATCACAACATTTTCATGTCCTGAAGGTCTCCCCAATGTTGTAAACGAAATATTTATTTAAAGTTGCAATTTTTTGTAGAGGTAGAATTTTAATTTTTGTAACTTCAAGAAAATTTTAAATTGTTCTTGGATTTCACACACGTTAAATACAGGAAGAAATGCATAAAAAACCATCCCTCCAGTCCAAGCCAGAATCGTTTCCCTAATCAAACAGCGAGAAAAAGATAAATTGTAAAAGACATACCTTCAGCAGTCATCTGTTGTTATCTTTTATCTCTTATCAGACAGGCTAAAATTAAGTTTTGATTAAACCAAGGTTTAGGTTGTATTTTCTTTTCTGTTGTATGAACAATAACTTGAATTGCTGAGATCAATGATACAAATTCCTCTCACTTACACCCCATAAGTTTCATTGCCAGGATTGCTTTAAAAAACGTCAATTTTCAGTTCACAAGATATAATGTTTGGGGTACAGCCCCCCTTCCATTCTACATTAAAGTTGATATAGAATGTTAGAAATACCTAAAATTCTATATCAAAATGAGGGACACTTCACATTTAAGTGATGTGGCCCCTAAATAGCAATATCCTTCAGTTTCGAATGCAACCCATTTTTCGGAAGGTAAACATGCAAGTTGAAAAACAGTATTTATCTTGAAAAGTGCATATTATAAGCTGTGAATCTATTCAAAAAGTAATGCATGAGCAATCAGCCAGCTTGTACACAAATTATGCGTAACCCACTGCCCCGCTCCTATTGGCATCCAAGTTTTTGTTGCCTGCTTGCGCTATATATTAATCAGATTTATAAGTTGCATCTTAGCTCCGAATATTTTTTCAACTTACCTCAAGCCCCAATTAACCCCAGCCATTTTTCCCCAAATGGGGTTTAGAAGTTAGCATACATAATGTGAACAAACAATACCCCAATTTACAACATACCCCGATTTACTGTATTCTTTCCCCCAAACTGTGTGGTAAATCGTAGTATAAGTGTATCTTGAACATGAAACATTTACAACAATAGTCCTATCAACAACACAAGTTGTGGAACACAGTTGTGGAACACAACAAGAAAATTGAAATAATCTTGTGCGAGGGTAGGGACCCAGATGTCGTTTCTAACCAAAATAAATATAATAATAATAATAATTCTATACAGTTACATTATTGAAACAATTATGGCCCCTTATTGTGGGCAGAGTATGAGTCTTTGTTGAAGTGTCCTGGTATAAAACTTATCTGAGTGACTGCATTAAAATAATTTAAGGAGAGTTCTCTTAAAACTTTAAGACAATAGGGATAAATTCTAGGACCTTATAAAATCAAAACAAAATGCAGCCACCTAATTTGTTGTTAAGCTTTCTTTTCTCCTACGATTGACTAGAGGAACCATCTTTGGCGAGTATTAGGAAGTTAGACCATTATAAATACCGTGCTGTAAGTTTGCAAGGCATATGAACTAAGTGGGTCGAAAGTACTCGACTTGAAAGTGGGTGTTAAGAATCCTCAACTAAACTAAAGATAAGGACGTCCAGAAGATGAGGCAGTAGAGTGAGTAGTAGAGGCTGAAGGAGAATAAATGTCACAAGGAGATGAGCACTATAATAATCATCTTTATGATAGTTCACCAATGGCAATTTGTGAACACTGTTCATAAAAAAATTTTAACTTCAAGCAATTGTCTAGAAACTTCCATTAACTTGATAAAATTGAGAACGAAAGCACTATTAATACAATCACAGGCTGCTGACTTAAAAGAGACTTGGACTCCAAACAATTTTAAGTTACAGTAATTTAATCTAATTGCAGCGGCACATAACATAATTTAAACTATTGCTATCATTATTGTACTACAGACTGAAAATATCTCAGATCTATTTTGGGCGTTTTTAACAACTTATAGTTGTAATTCTTAAATATTAGATATCCTAATTTATAACTTTTTAATCAGAGTGAATTAATAATTGATATTTGATAATTTATATATTTGATAGTTTAGTCTGATATTGATATTAATATTGATTATGTTGATATTGTTATTATTGAATGAAGCTAACTCCAGACATAAATAATACTACTTCTATTAACAAAGGGACTTGGAGTATAAACGACCAATTTTGCATAATTGTCTTTCCAACCAAGAATTCAGGAGGCAAGGGTGGGTGCGTAAACTTTATGGTCTGCACTCTCAGATCCTGTATCACCCTGGATTCATTTCGACGTATTTTTGGTAAAAGTATACATATACTTTCTGGTCACTCTCTTGCTACTCCAAGTCCCCTAAGATATATGGTCTAAAGTTTGCACTAGTTATATATATAAAATATGTTTTTGTCTGCTTTAACTGATACTAAATAAAATTGTTGTTTTCTTGAAATTGTTGTTTTCTTGTGCTAGAGAGCAGAAGGCAGTGATGCTGTTATCACTATCATCTCTTAAGATAGACCAGCATGGTTGGTCACTAGAGCAATGCTCCTGCAGGGTTTCCCTGTAGGAACAGCTGCACAGTGGACAGGAGAAGCTGCTCTAGTAATTGTTTTCCGATAAGTAAAACAAAATTTTTAAAAAGTAAAACAAAATTTAAATTTGTATACCTGACAATTTGGACACTGAAGGTCGCAGTTGCTGGCCAACCTTGCCTGGAAGGCTACAAAGGTGATGTCATGGCCGTATAAGAGAGACATAACCTTGGTGTCTGTGCTTCTGCTTGAGTAGCGAGGAAAGAACTTTTTGCTCCTTTCATCAGTGTTATCCAGTATCTGACCCTCATTCTGATTTATTTTTGGGTTCAGCAGGAGATGTTTATTCCAAGTAAAGTCCATGAAGCGAGTTATTTCTTCTTTTGAGTAGCTGACAACATTGTTCTGGAAACTAGTCAGAAGGTCTATTTTGCTTCTGTTCAGTTTGTTGGACCCAGTTGTCCACATTAGAAACTTACGTATCTTGTCAATATGGTGCTGGTATCGGTGGGCCTTTGCCTCCTCTAGCTGGAAGATGAGTCCTTGCATAAGTGGGTCACTTGCTTTTATTATGAATTTTATAGTGACCATCTTGTAGGATATTACAAGGGGTAAAGTAAAGTAAAGTAAAGTCAAAATTATGACATAACATCATCACTAATGTCTACAAAGTATCATCGCACTATATGGAAAAATATACAGTAACTATTTCTCCATCAAATTTAAAAGTAATAATTTATCAAATATTAATCATGAATAAAAACAAAATTTAATTTATTCATACTTCCCAGTGGAGTAAAGATTTATAAAACGTTTCTTTGCTACATAAGGATGAAACCACAGATAATCATTGTGTTTTTCCTTATTACTGATATAACTGGTACCTTCAATTCTTGTAAAAACTTCTTTCGAAACATTCCAAAAATGAAAGTCATTTACAATACAATTAGAAATCATATTCTTTGGGTGGAATCCCAAGCGCGACAGAGGTCAAATCTTCGGGAGGATGGTGAGCGGCCCCGCTTATCTTCAAAAGGACCCTGGCATAAAAGTATTTGAAAGTAATGAGGTTATCTTTCAGCCACATAGGAGCAGCATATAGAAGTTTTGTGAGTACTACTGTTCTGAAGAGCATTCTGAGTGAGCTTGCATTCAGACCTCTGGGGCGGATGGAGTTTTGGGTGATCCTGTGAAAGGCAAACCAGCATTGTTTGAGTTTGAAATTTGCGTGACCCTTGAACGTAAGCTTGTGGTAGATGCTTAGTCCAAGAACAGTTGATTGACATGTATATATTATGGGTCTATTGCCGACAATGAAAGGTCTATTAAGGTTGTGACATCAGGTACAGGTGCAGGTGAGGATGTTGGTGCGATCATTATACACTCTGTCTTGTTTTTATCACAGTTCGGGATTAGTTTCAATTTACTGCACCAGACATGAAGGTATTTGCACATCAGCTGCATTATTCGGTGAGCACATATAGGATTTATGTGGGAGACTAAGTAAAACAAGCTGCATTCCAGTGGAAGCTGGTCCTTACATAACATATCCAAGATGTAGAGGATAAATAGCTCAGAGGTGCAAGGACAGAGCCTTGGGGAAGCCCAAACCATCCACATGAGCGTTGGAATCCGAGACTTTTGTCAACCCTCAGCTGTGGAATGAGAATGAAAGATAATACTTTCTTCAAAAACTTAGCTAGAAAATCAGGTCAAAGACATAGTGAGGCGACAACATTTATCAGGAAAAGAATAAGATTTCACTCATTGAGAACAGCCATTATTGCCTTTAAAGGAGAAAAAGGGTTTAAAAGTAGTACTTGTGCAGTTAAAATAGCAGAATTAGCTATAAATTTAGAGCCAGTGCATTGATTGTCATTTGCAATGCTCTAGTTGGGAGAATGTGCGATCAGTGTGCAATGGCACAAAATAGTTTAAATCAAAATTTAGGGTAAAAATTAAAAAATTTTCAAAATATAAAAAAATTTTCGCGCGGACTTCACTTTTGGTGATATTTTAAATAAATATCATAAAAACTTTTATCCTATTGATTCACGATATTAATCCTTCACATCTCGGTAAGGTTCAATGGTGCATTATGCCAATCTAGTGGCTTGGTCCAGTAGTGCATTGCATTACAACTTTTATTTCTTCATTCGTATTATCAGTTTTACAATTTACATTGTAGGTTTACAACCTACCAGGACGCGCGCCGAGTTGGACTCGTCGACGGTCCTGTCCTGTCCTGTCCTGTTCCAATATATGGAACAAATATTTTACGAGTATCACCCGTTAAAATTTACACAAAGCTATTGTCACAGAATTACACTAGCGTAATCATTTGGAAACCACATCTCCCTCAATGGATAACGTATTATGCAAACGACTCCTTAGTACAGTATCTGGTAATGTCTAAAATTGTTTTAAAATGAAAACATTTTAGGCGCGCCGCGCATATTTTTGCCAATTTGCATCATAGTATGAAAATCGAGCGCTGAGGCAAATTCTGTAATATTTTCATACGAATACCTTAATATACACTTAGTGATATCTTTGCATTTGAAAACTTCTTTTGCAGTTTTGCCTCTATTTTATTATTATTTCTAGCCTAATATTGTTCGTTTTCCTTCCCTTCATAATGTGTGTTTTCCTCTCCCTTTTATTGTGTGTGTCATGTTTCCCTTCGTGACCAAGTAGAACATTATTGTTTCGATGTATAATTTTATGTATCTTCATTGATATGGAGTCTTTATCCATACTTATTCCCATCGTTTTTATCGTATGTTTTATTTGGATTTGACAGAAATTGGAGAATCAAAATTAATGAAAGGGGTTGTGTTCATTTTGAAACATTCAATGAGCTCATTTTAAAAGTTTTTTCGAAGTTACTCTTTGTCGAATTATTATCAAACATGTCAATCTTACAAATGTCAACAATCCTAAAATAATTTAGAACCGAAATGTGATCCTTTGTCAAATTGACTTGTACTCAAGTATAAAGTCGAACAATTTACTCCAATAACCACGGTCACTAGCAAGTTCTCTCAAATGAAGAATATCATCATACGACTCAAGCAAGATGAAACGCTTCCAGAGGTCAACCTTCAGGTGGTGTAGGAGGTTACGTCTGCAGTGAGCCCCAAGTCTACCAACTTCACTACACATCTCGACAGCAAAACACAGCGCAGCTTGAGCTGGTGATCTTTCATTGCTCCTCAGTATGTGTCCTAGCATCTTCCACCTAGATAACTCAGCACGCTCAGACATAGGGGTAGAATTACTCTGTTTGTAGAGGGTATCTTTGGACATCATACTGCGTGGCCAGCTGACATTCATGATCTTTCTGAGGTGGTTACGATGACATGCATCTATTTTGTCCCAGTACGATTTAGGCATTCCCCAGCAACTAGAGTTATTCTTTGTCGAATGCACTATTTTGATAATTACTTAGCTTTTCTTTACATCCTAAAAGTTTATCAGTAACCCCAATATAAGGTGAAGCCTTGACTGAATCCAGAGGCGGCTATTGAGGGCGTCCAGGCGTCCGTGGACGCCTTAAAATTATTATCCGGTGGCTGGTGCTTAAAATAGAAATAGTAATTAGTAATAGTGTTAGGAAATAACAAATCGCAATATAAAGGTCTTCATTTACTATCATACGTTTTAATGTAAGTGCTTGCATGATCTTCGTGAAATTTTGTGTTGTAGGGAGTCCAATCCTACCTCTGGACTACTCAGCCGCGCAGTTTTAACACATAGTTAATTGTAAACGTTACAAAGCACATCGTGCGCATCCCACTACAGGTAATCTATTATGATTTGCCTCGATTTGGGGGTCCAGGACCCTTTGCAATTTGACTGCTATATGATACTACGCAGCTGAGATCGTACACGTGTGGTGTCCTGTTTCACCCATGTCATAAGTTTTTGTTTTTGTTTGCTGTCGCCTGTAAAGTGTTACACATTACATTTACAAGGCCCTGTGTGTAATGTAATCGGTAGTTTGGAGGGATCAGCCCCCCTCCCCCCAGTCCATCGATTGGACCCCCAACAAAACTGCCAGCCAGCTCCCACGAGCCGCCTCTGACTGAATCTCCAGGCTAATTTGGGATCCTGGAGTGAAGTTTGCAGTAAATAAGATGTTCATTGATGCGGGAAAACTGGTGTTTTGTAGGCTGTAGCTTATGATTTTAAAACAAGCAGTATGCTATCTTGAAATCGTTGTTTTCTTGAGTTCTGGCCTCCATCCAACAAACACTCCCTGAGCATTCATATGATCTAGGAGTGTCGACACAATCTTTCAACTGTTTGATTTATTGTGTGATGTGTTGTAACTTCTAAGTTCCTCTATCAGGCTTCAATTGACTGATAAATCTTGTATCTACAGGTCAATCTATATGTCTGGTGAATGGAACTCGTGCTATAATCCTTATCCTCCTAATCCAGCTGAACTTGGAAATATCCAACCCAACTCAGTGGTTCCGGTAAGAAGATTTATTTTAGTAGTAAATTGTTTACTTTTTATTTTCAAGCAATTTCTATTTACCAAATAGATACATATATTTTGTGATTTCTCTGCAAGTTGTGAACTCATTGCTCACTCTAGAATTATTAATTTCAGACTGGCATTCCTCATTTGAATCCTCCTAGTTTGTCCCAAAATTTCATCCCTGGACAGCTTCCATATGGTGCGCCATCTGCACCACAGTTCGGGGCCCAAATGTTTGGATATGGGACCAATACAATAACTCAAGATGGACCTCAGCAATTCTGTATTAACCAGAATGAAATGGGAACAAAAAGGCAAAGGGATGAGCAAGTAGGAGGCATTGACGGAACTGAAATGGCCATAGGTAAGTGGTGTTGTTGGGGGGGGGGGGGGGGGGGGGGAGGGGGGTCGTAAAATAGCCTTAAAAAGTGTAAAACAGTGACATTTTTCAAATGTGTAGCGACCCCCCCCCTTATTGTTTGGTTTTAAAAGTGATATTTTAGTCAAACCAGCTACCTTCTTATCTCTAATCAATATATTCGGTTAATTCCAATTCGGATAACTCAACACCTTTTCTTGAGGTTGCTATTGTTTGGCTTTTTTATAAAGCTAAACAGCTAAACTGCCTCAATAATTATGCCAATATGTCACAGTTTACAATTCAGATGGATACCTTCAAACTATGGAATCCTCAATGAATCACAGTTTTGGACAGAATCAGATTCCATCTGCTCCCAATGTTACAGGTATTGTTTACAAAAAAGAATTCCTTAAAAGATCAATAACTTTACCAGTCGTCTATGATATAGTGATCATAATTACTCTGTTAATTACTCACAGCTAATCAAACATAAGAAGTATTTAATATTTATTACACTACTGTTAAAGCATGCCAACTTGAAATCGTGGATTCTGGTTATACAGATGCAACAATAATTTGTGGAGCTGTTCTAGTGTTCTAACCAGCTATTTACTTTTGAAATTCAATTCAATCCAAATGATTGTATTTGAGGTTATGTAAGTTTACCACCAGGTGACAGTCCAATTTACTTTACGTAATTTAAAAGTACCTGGCTAGTGGCTACTCAGCTCATTCAGTCAGCATATAAAATTAGGTACAAATTTAGTTTCATTACTGATACACTACTATATGATAATTAATGATAATTAATTTGAGTTTTGCCAGCAAAACCAGAAAGCCTACAAGATCGGCTATCAGCTATGGCGGCAGACAAAACTGAAACGATGGAGGTAAAACAATGATTGGTGCTTACTCAGCTCTCACATAACAACTTCTTATGCCTTAATGCGTTTGAGAGTTAACGAAACAACTACTATATAAATAAATTCTGTGTCATTGCAGATCAATTGGTTTATGATTTGTATGCAGACACTGCACTGTATATTATTGACGTAAAAATATAAAAATATTTGATATGTAATAAACTCTTCCTCTTCAGGTGGAAGATTCTGTAATGCAGACTAAAGCTGCCCAATGTGGACCACTACCTAAGAAAGCAAAAGTAGTCACGCAGAAGTTGGATCCCACTATGTTTCAAAGAAAGAGCAGGTTCGATCAGAGCCCTGCTGCTGCTGGGAAAAGTGCCTTTGCTACTGGAGCTAACGCGACACCGTTGGGCAAACAACCAACTGTGGTCCTTAATAAATACAGCATTTCAAGGTTTGGAATTAGAAAATTACCTCCTTAATAAATGCAGCATTTCAAGGTTTGGAACTAGAACATTACGGTCTCGATATTCAGGATAGTCATGCTATCTAAACTAGAACTATCACCCCTTCATTATAGTTAAAACTAAATTCTCACACTACATAATTTACAGTTCGTTGACTACAAAGAAAAAGGATCCAGTGAAAGCTCAACTTATCGGATTCAAGATGAAAGAAGATGGCACTTTAATAGCTCCAGAAAACTCCTGCACAGTTGATATCAAGGTTTGTAGCTGGATATACCCATACTGAGCTGTTTGAGCTAGTAGTAGTACTAGTAGTAGTACTAGTACTACTAGTAATGATAGTAGTACTACTAGTACTAGTACTACTAGTACTAGTAGTAGTAGTACCAGTAGTACTAGTAGTAGTACCAGTAGTACTAGTAGTAGTACTAGTAGTACTAGTAGTAGTGGTACTGTGTGAAATAAACGGCTATAAACACTCATCAAACTTGTTGGTGCCTTGTGACATGCTTAATAATGATTTTCCCAATTGTTGTATTTTGCAAATGGCCTTTGATAATACATTACAATAACACAATAACTATATTATATCGTTATCTTTCTGATTTTAAGATTGATTATAACACCTCTATATTCTCTAGATACAGCGAGCAATAATGCAAGAACTCGCGCAAATGCTGGAGTTTAAGTTTACAATTGGTATCAACAAATTATACAAAGGAATCACGAGGAATCAGAAGAATAAGAAGAAGAATCACCCTCTTAAAATAGAAGAAGAGTTGGATATAGGCAGTCTGATGGCGTACTGTGAAGGTAAGTGTATAATTACACTTACATTGTATAAATTATACACTTACATTGTATAAATACACTTACATTGTTAAATTTAACATTTCACAGTACTACAGGTTTAGTTGTCATGGTGTTGTCACCATTTATAACTTACTATCATAGTAGCTGTACTTTTAGCAGCTCACAGCTGGTAGCAGCTTTAACAGGCAACAGCTTTTCTGTTTATGTCAGTTTCAAGCTGTAATATGGGCTTGAGAGGCCCCGTTAGTCTGCATCCATCTAACTCAAAAACAAAAAGTAACATTATTTTGCAGAAATGACACATTTTGTGAGGGTTAAAAAGCAGAAGTACATTAAGTTGCTCCCGAACATAACTCCTTACATACGAGCTGGGGTAAACTTGTGGGCCATGTTCCACGGGAGAGGCACTAGGAGGATTATCAGAGACAACTGGGTCCACTGGATTGGTAGGAGTTACTTCTAGCACCTTTTAGTTATTGCTACCTTTTAGTTATTGCTACCTTTTAGTTATTGCTACCTTTTAGTTATTGCTACCTTTTAGTTATTGCTACCTTTAAGTTATTGCTACCTGTAAGTTATTGCTACCTTTTAGTTATTGCTATCTTTTAGTTATTGCTACCTTTTAGTTATTGCTACCTTTTAGTTATTGCTACCTTTTAGTTAGTGCTACCTTTTAGTTATTGCTACATTATAGCTATTGCTACCTTTTATTTATTGCTACCTTTTTAACTTATTAAACTTATATAATGACTGTACTATTATCTGTTGTACTCAGTAATGATAGTTCCTCTGTACAGATTTGCAGACGATCCATCATATTTTGCAATCGCTTGTGTTACCTACAAAATGTAATATTACCAAACCTCAGGGCCCTTTTCTCCGCAAACGATGAATATGGACTGGGATTTCTACTTCCAAGTTATACGATCATGTTACATGAGCTGCCACCAACGCCAACGTAGCAAATTCAG